TTTGAAGATCAAATTTAATATAGCTTCTTTGAGTTTTTGTTTTAAATGTCAGAAAAACAAGATGGAGTGATTTCTGAGTTTTCACGTCATTAGATAAAGAGTGAGCGGTGAAATAAAGTCGATCAGTTCTCCACATCGGCTCTTGTGTGTTTGTGTAGACGGGGGTCTGAACCGTGTGGGTGTGTCTTACCTGTGTGAGCTGCTGAGGGGGCGTGGTCAGCACGGACACGGTGCTGTTGAGTTTGGTGAAGAATTTATCCGACAGGTGTCCCAGACCGGACTTCTTCGCCCACTCCATGACCATCCGCAGACACGCCTGAATCTGCAGCACTTTGGAGCGCTGGAACCAGCCCCGGGTCGGACCTTCACACACACACACACACACACACACACACACACACACACACACACACACACACACACACACACACAGTGAAGTGAGTGTTTGGATATTTCATCAGAAACATTGTGACGGCTCTCTGCATCCTGAGAGAGAAGACTCTGTGTGTGTGTGTGTGTGTGTGTGTGTGTGTGTGTGTGTATTACAGTCATTAATTTTTAAATACGTTGATATTGACGTGGATGAAACAGCAGCACAGTCACCAGCTGCCGGCTCCTCCTAGAATACAAATCATGGTGTCTGCTGCAGAGCGCCGCGGCTCGCAGGGTTTTTGTGTTTTACTGCACGACCTAAAAAAACTGAACCCTCCCTCTGCGTGTGTTTCCTCCCGGAGCCTGAAGGAAGTTTTGTGGCGAGTTAGACCAGAGATGACTTTAAAACGGAGCATTTGTCAGGCGGGCGTCCCAGAGTTTATCAGTCTGCCGTCCGATTACCTCGCTGCAGCTCTAAGTCCGGTTTAAGCTTTCTGAAATACCCCCTAATGTGAGCTCAGGCTGGGCTTTGGTGCAAACAACGACAAACTGGACTAGAGCCGGACTTCAGTTTTTACATTTTCAAAGGGGACAGACGGACCCCAGGGTTTCTGCTCAGATACAGAAGGAAGAATCTTTTCAGCGCCGGAGAAAAACCAGCAGGAGACAAAGACACGAGAGAAAGACACGATGAAACATGGAGACGAGCTCAGAGACCGACGTCAACAAAACCAAGAACACAGAGATACTTACATCTGCTTTTACCTATGAGCTGTTACAGGATGGAACTCAAAGCCGAATTAGATTAAAAATACAAGCACAAAATTAATATCTTTTTACTTTACTTAGTTTCTTCATTCTTTAATTTCTCTTTTGTTTTTATCGCTGCTTGTTTGGAGTTTTTTCTTGTAGGACTAATAAAAGGAATATCTTATTTTAGAAAACAAAGAAATAGTTCCTGAAAACAAACACTAATCAGGGTTGACTCGTGCACGGTAATTATCGTATACGATAGCCCAGGAAAAAAAGGCTAAATGTACGATTATTTGGCAGTTTTCTGAATGTGTGGTTCAATGGGACACTTTATTTTTTAATTTTTATTTGCAAACCCTAAAGACATCTTTTACCACGTGATGTTTCCATCCCATCGTAGTTTAACGGGGAAGTCAGTTTAGAAAAATGACCACCGCTGAAGAGGGCGGTGATGAACAGGAGCCGAATCCTCCTGAGGACAAGTTGATTTTCGTGTAAAATAAATTTCACTCTGTAAAGTCGGATCACTTTTTATTTCCTCGTCAGTTATTATGAATAGTGTTTCAGCAGGTGGCTGTAAGGCCTCATGATTTGGCTCATTAGTTCCCACCTGTCATTCGTTTAAAGGGGACGCATTAGTGTAACACAGCTGAGGTGGAGCTGCTGATGTGGGGCGGGGGGGTGAATGACCACAAAACTATAGGACACTAAACAGAGGGACTATATGTGACGATCACAGAACAGAGAGATTGTTATTTTGATGATGACGGTGTTCGATAATTTTACCAAAAATCTCTGCTACGATAATTCAATATTTACCATCCGACAAAACTGATCACTGAAAACAGAATCAACATCAACTTATACTAACACTATAAACTCATATATACACTTTATACTTATACTATGTTTGTACTAATGAACATATTAGATAATATATAAAATATCAGTGTGTAAAGAGCAGCACAGTCTAAATATGGAGGGACAACAGCACACACACACACCTATACACTCACACACACATTACCCTTCAAATATTCTGCCATATGTTTTGGATGCACTCACACACACTCACACACACACACACACACGCACACACTCCTCTCTGTAATAGGCTTATGTCTAGGCATACAGTAATCTATGTGTAAGGCTTCACAAACAGACGAGACATCACTTAACCTCTTAACATAGGTGTCATAATGCTTCACAGCAGCTGGTTTCCAAATACACACACACACACACACACACACACACACACTCCCAAAGAAGAGTGATCCGTTACACTCCGGCTGCAAGGAAGACGTCACGACACACAATCGACAAATCCATGACAGAGCAGCCGAGCGTGTGCGGAGTATTATTCAATTATCTGATCGGGTTCTCCTCCATAACAATATCACTGTGTGTGTGTGTGTGTGTGTGTGTGTGTGTGTGTGTGTGTGTGTGTGTGTGTGTGTGTGTTTGTGTTGCAGAGAAACCCAGTGCAAACGTCAGCGTTACCTGCTCTAAACTCACTTCGCTGTTACCATGGACACCGTTGGCAGAGAAATATAAATGAGCGACACAAAGGGGAAGGAGGGAGAGGAGGAGAAACCAGACCCAGACAGACGGAGCGAGAGAGAGAGAGAAGGAGGGAGGTGGAGAGGAGGTGGGGGAGCCTCTGCGTGAATATAAAGGTATTTCTCCTCCTTCCTCCTTCTCCTTCTCGCCGGACATGTGATCTCTGCTGTCTCCACCGGCTAATGAAGACTTATGGCGTGTGCCGGAGGAAACAGAAATGAGGGCGTGGAGAGGGTGGAGGTCGTAAGGTGGAGGCTCACATGGATGAGGATGGATTTTTTCTGTTTTTAGACTCAATCAAAGATGATATTTGTGAGGCCAGTCTGATCCCTTCACCCTTTCCTTCTCCTTTAACCCTTCTCTCTCTCTCTCTCCCCTCCTCTCTTCTTTGTCTCACCCCCTGATGGCCAGATGGAAGGAAGGACAGCGAGGAGGAGGAGGAGGAGGAGGAGGGAGAATGCAGATAGGAGAAGGGCATTGAGGACAAATCTGGGTTAGTCACTGTCAAAACGCTGACAAGGACACAAGGACGCTCTCTCCCTCTCTCTCTTTCTCTCTCTCTCTGTCTCTCTCTCTCTCTGTACAAACCCTGAGGGAGGTCTAATGGAGGAGAGGGTGCGTGCTCTCTAGCCCACCTTTGTCCATCAGCTGGTTGAAAAGTGAGACGTTGGAGAAGAAGAAGAGGTAGGCGAACATCTGAGCCTGGATCTCCGGGTGGACCTGGTAACTCTGCAGGAGCTCCTGGGCGTTCTGAAACACCTGAAGCACAAAAAACAGACGAATGAGGAGCACTGTTCTTCTCCTGAGGAGGAGGAGGAGGAGACGCACCAGAGGAGCAGCTTATTCTTTGTTTTTCAGTCCTTTACAGCGTTTATCCAAAGTGAACTGTTCATCAGTCTGAAAACTTTTTTATTATCTTTTATTAAACTTTAAAACTTTGTCATCTTCACTTCATTGTTGTGTCAAAATAACACACTGAAACATCTAAAATAATACCTAATGAGTGGACACACAGTACGTGAAACATTCGACCGTGATCCGAAAAAATAAATGCCAAAATATCGCAGGACGGGAAAACGTCTCTGATGTGAACGCTTGTATTGACAGGATACGGGTTCTAAAAAAATATTGACGTCTGAAATAATCGCACGAAAAAAACGCTCCCGATGTGAAAGGAGCTTAATTCTTATAACGATTTTATTACTTTAATCTCAAAGTCTTAATTTTTTGTCCTTAATGAGGCCCTAATACTCCACTCTAGAAGAAAAAAAATATACATAATTATGATCACAACAAACGTCACTCTGACCCAGGATAATTCTGGACGAGCGCCTACCTGCAGGACTCTGCGAACAGGTTCAGGAAACCCGACACCTCCTTTCCAGCAGGGCTCCGAGTTGTCGACTGGGAATGGATTACAGTCCAACAACCCCGGTAAGACCACATACAGAGCCTGGACACACACACACACACACACACACACTGAAATAAATAACCTTAATTCATTCACAGTCTTATCTGCTCATTTATTGTGTTTGTGGGTCCGATCTTAAAAAAACGTTTTCACTCATTTAGGAGACGCCACAGTCGCCGCCGCTCTGACAGATTACCTTGGTGATATAGTAGACACATTGCTGGAAAGTGTACATGATCACTTCTTCCAAGATGGTCATTGCCTCCTCATTGGCTGATATGGTCGCCGATAGCAACGACTCCTTTGACCCTAGACAGAGATAGAGGCGTACTTAAGAGACTCAGAGAGGGAGGGAGGCTGCAGAGCTGGTCCAGGATCTGCTGTACGTCAGTTTGAGTAATGAGCTGTTTCACACTCATTCAGACGCTGCGTGTGTGTGTGTGTGTGTGTGTGTGTGTGTGAGTGTGTACCCTGCAGTGTTTCTATGCTGTGTGTGTATGCTGGTGCTCTTTGCTGTATGAAGTAGAGGATCTCAATGGAGTTGGACATCCAGAAGAAGATGGTCTGCAGGTCTGGGATCAAGTCTGAGATACTGAGGAGAGACAGAGAGGCCGGGTCCTGGCTACACACACACACACACACACAGACACACACACACACACACACACACACAGAGGAGTGTTAAATATAGTCAGTCTGACTCTGAAATAAACGCTCATTTTAACGTCTCATGGCCACAGTCAGTCGCTCGCTTCACTTGAAAGGAGATACTCACTGCTGAGCTTGCTTCTGAGCCAGCTCCTTTGTCTTCTCCTGCAAGACACACACACACACACATACACACACACACACACACACACACACACACACACACACGAAGAGCAATTAAGCGCTCATTAAACTTTTAAGAAGTGCGCAGGAAAACCTCACTTCACGACACTATCACTAACCTGCAGAGAGAAACAGCACTATCATATTTACAGACACACACACACACACACACACACTGACACACATTTCTAACGACTCTGAGCCCTCCTGGACTAAATATCAGTTTACTTTAATTACAGGTTTAGAAACATAAACAGCCAAAAGAGGTCGGACACAGAAACAGGAAAATAAACAGAAACAGTTTCCTTCAAGGAGACGATTCTGATTTAATAAACAACAAACATTCAACGTTACGACGTTCGATGTCTACGCCAAATCTACGAAAAAGTGTCATGACGGTAGGGCTGCACGATTTTGGCCAAAAATAAAATCCAGATTTTTTTTCTCTGAAAACTTGATTTTTGATTTAGTGACGACTTCACTTCACTTTAATAAAAAGTATTTCTATCATCTCTAAAAACTAAACCACTGACAATGATGTAGTGCATATGCCAAGCCAGTAAGTGGCGCTGTAACAGGAAATGCACAAAATACAGAGGAAGAGTACAGAGCATGTGTGTAAAGGTTGTTTTGGCGCCATAAAAGAGTTACTCTGTGTGTCACATGATCGTTTCCAGAGATGCAGATAGACATCCACACGGAGATGAAATGGTCGTCGTTTACAGATTTATTCACAGAGCATTTTTCCATCGTCACAAACCTCAGCTCTTTTATCAACAAGTGAAACAGACTTTGTCCAAGAACTTCAGCTTCTACTTTTCAACAGTTGTTATTTTTTTGCTGCTTAAAACAAGATCAACTCAAACATTAAAGTTGATCATCAATATTTTTTCATCGGTCATAAACTCTGTAGTTTATTTCTGTGTCTGATGTTCACACTATGATGTTAAAGTATCGGAGGTCATGATGGTGAGAAATGGTTGATGATTCAGACTAAAACAGCGAGTTCCTCTGAGTTCGACTGACATGTCATATGAAACCCTGTTTAACTATTCACCTGACCTGACACGGCTCAACAGTTTCTCTCTGCAGGAGGTCGACTTAAGTCCAGAACAAAGTACCTCAGGACAGACTGAACTGGACGTACAGACAGACAGATGGAGGGACAGACACACAGACACAGACACACAGACACACAGACAGACACAGACAGTGAAACAGGCAGGGACTGACCCACGCAATGGTCTGGATTCTTCGGACAATCTTGAGCAGGAGCTTTCCGAAATTCCCGGGTGGGAAGGCGGAGGCGGAGTGTTGGATACACAGACACAGCAGGTAGGCTGGTGTCAGCTTATGGTCGTCTCCTACAGGGAGTTCAAAGGTCACAGGAAGTTCAGGTCACATGGTACACATAAACAAAAAAAAAGGAAATTATGGGAGAAAATAAAAAAGAAACAACAAGGAAAAACTTAATGAGATTCTTTAGGCTGTAAAAGACTTTACAGGGAGGGGCTCAGCAGAGATCTATGTAAAGATCTATGTGAAGCTCTATGTAAAGATCTGTGTAAGCTAAAGATCTATGTTAGCTCTATGTAAAGATCTATCTTAAGAGAAATGTAAAGATCTATGTGAAGATCTATGTAGAGATCTATTTAAAGATAACTGTAAAGAGCTATGTAAAGATCTATGTAAAGATCTATGTTAGCTCTATTAAAGCTCTATGTAAAGATCTACGTAAAGATCTATGTAGAGCTCTATGTAAAGATCTATGTAAAGATCTATGTTAGCTCTATTAAAGCTCTATGTAAAGATCTACGTAAAGATCTATGTAAAGATCTATATTAAGATAACTGTAAAGATCTATGTAGAGCTCTATGTAAAGATCTATGTTAGCTCTTTGTAAAGATCTATGTTAGCTCTATGTAAAGATCTATGTTAGCTCTATGTAAAGATCTATGTTAGCTCTATGTAAAGCTCTATGTAAAGATCTATGTTAGCTCTTTGTAAAGATCTATGTTAGCTCTATGTAAAGCTCTATGTAAAGATCTATGTTAGCTCTTTGTAAAGATCTATGTAAAGATCTATGTAAAGATAACTGTAAAGCTCTATGTAGAGATCTATGTAAATTTCTATGTAGACCTCTAAAGTTGGTCTGTTTGAGGACAAACCTCCTGGTTCTATGAGAGACACGATCCTGTTCAGCAGCTGGTCTTCATGGGTTTGATCAAACTCTAGCTGGAGTCTTCTTTTCTGACCTCCTCTTCCTCCTCCTCCTCCTCCTCCTCCTCCTCCTCCGCCCTCCCCTCCAGACAAACTAAGCGGCCCTGCGGCCCCCACGCTTCGAGGTTTCACCAGGTGCGGTTTGAAGCTGCGTCGTACGGCTGGGACACTCGACACCTGCGCTCCTCTGTCCTTCAGCACAGAACCGCACATCTTACAAGTCGGAGCCCCGCCCTCTCCCTCCTCCACCCCGATGTCGTAGAGCTGCCCGAGGGAGCGGAGGCGTGCCAGGGTCTGAGCCGGAAGCGGCTTGGCGCCCGTCGGGTCCTTGTAGAGAAAGATGTAATGTGCGCCGAAGGACAGCAGGTCGCCGTGTCGCAGCGTGGTGGAGCGTTCGCAGCGAGAGAAGTTCACCAGAACTGTGGCGTGGAGGACCGGCTCGACGGCGACACAAAACCGCTGGCTCTCCTCTTCTCCCTTGTTGTTGTTGTTGGCGTGACGGCGGGGCGCGGGGACTCGGCGCAGACGGCAGTGGAGAGGCAGGATGTCGGGAGAGAAGAGGCAGATATTGGGGCGAGCTGACGGCGTCTCCTGACCAACCGTGTGCTGCTCTCTGTTCAGCAGGTACACCAAACAGTCCTGCAGCAAAACATGACAGTCAAGATCACGAAATAAGAGAAATTAAAAAATGGAGATCTGAGGAGGAAGAAAAAACTGGGAAACTTCAACATTTTTAAAACCCGAGCTGAAACCTTTTTCCACAAAAACACCTGAAGAGGGAAACGCCCAATTTCCACCGCATCCGGAACGACTACGAAAGGGTCATATCCGCCGATCACAGCTGACTGACCATTGGTCGGTGACCTTCAGCTTTGGTATGAACGACACTGCTTTTTAGAGTTTAGAAACATCACGAGGTCGGCGTTTTTCCCCATCTGCCTCATTTGTACATTATGGTCGAGGTCAGCAGATGTTAGCGTGCAAAAAATGACAACTAACCCCTGATCTCCACCTTCATCCTGATCGTCTCCTAAAAGGTCGTATCCTCCGATCGTAGCTGATCGTAAACATTCAAGTTAACGTGTCAATTTACACCGACTTCTTTCCGTTCCTCTGCGGATCGCCGGACTCCTCAGCTGATCACAAGAGTTCTATTTTTTCTGGACGCCGGAGCATGGCGGATAAATTCAGCACAGATTAACCCGTGCTGGAAAGGAAGTCGGGCACAGACACAAAATAAAACATCCGGCTTCTTTTCAAAATAAAACACTCGGGCGGAGACGAACAAGTGAAAGGTTTTTAGACGTCATTTCACCCCGATGACACCATGGATGAGGAGATGCTGATTCTAGAAGTCTAGAAGTAGATTTCCTCCTCTGGAAGGACACAATCTACTGCTTATATGTCTATGTGTCTGTCTTTAGAGAGACGACTCGTTATCATGCGATTGAACGTGTCTGTGATCCACCAAGAAATTCGCCTTAAAAACAGACGGACAGTGAAAATCGGAGCCGTTCCGGATGCGGTGGAAATTCGTGGTGACTCATCCCAAAAGCGTACCTGTCTGTTGTATCCCTGCAGCAGTAAGAGGTGAGGTGACTGGTAGAGAGAGTGCCTCACCCCTCCTCCCCCTCCCTGACTCCCCTCCTCTTTCCTTCTGCCGCTCGAGGCCGCCTCCCGTTCTCGAGCTCTTAAAGGTCCCGGCAGAGTGGAGTAATACCGCTTTGGTTCGTCCCCTACGCCCAGCTGCAGACACACACACACACAAGCGTTGAGGATTAGAGACCAGCTGATAACGGGTCTCTGAATAAGAACGATCCTTTATCCTGAGGAGGCTCCGGTGAAGGTCCCACCTGGTTGAGGCTGGTCTCGCTGAGGCTGCGGCAGAAGGATGAGTTGCTGGAGCGGGGCAGGGTCAGCGTCCCCTTCGCCCTGTTCCTCTGGAGCTTACGAGCCTGAGCGTTAATGTCTACAGGGAGGAGGAGGAGGAGGAGGAGGAGGAGGAAGACAAAAAAGAAGAAGCAGGGAGGGAGAGAGAGAGAGAAGGGCAAGACGGAGAACAGGAGGAGAATAACAAGAAGAAAAGAGGCAGAGCAGAGAGAGAGAAGAGAAGCGATGAGTGGAAAATGAGAAAAGAAAGCGTCTTTCAGGGTCACATGTCTGTTACTGGTTTGTATGTTTGACTGGTGAGTGGACGGACTGGTCACGGAGTGCAGGACAGTCATGTGTGGAGACAGAACCGGTCAGATGAGGGCGATGTTGCTGGATGGAGCAGAAACACAGTGAACCTGATGACCGAGCAGCTCTCCATGCAATGGCCCACACAGACTGCACAGACACACACTCATACTGGTTGGATCACTGGCAGATGGGGGGGGGGGGGGGGTGGCGCTGGTGACAACGCAGGTAGAGGTGGTCTCCATGGCAATGACTTGACAGCCACCCTACCTGAGGCCAGTCCCCACCTTTAGAGCTGGACTGTACCGCTCGACCGCAGCGCAGAGGGGAGCTCCTGTGTTTGCCCAGCCCGGACCGACCCATTAGAGCCGCCAGGAACTGGGAGGTTTTGGGCCCTACAGCAGGGTGGGAGGGGTTATGGAACCCGGCACAGAAAACCCCCCAGATACACACGTTACAACCACAAGGCGTAGGACTGGGCGATTTGGCAGAAAAGACATGATCACGATATTTCGTCATATCGTCCGATCTTGATTATTATCACGATTTTTCTTTTTTTTTTTAAACTGCTGAACTAAAAACTAAAGAAACTAGAAATTAAATCAACATTTTATTAACATGCAAAGTAAATAACAAAGAAAATTAAAAAAGATAAACTTGGAAAAATATAAAAAACATTTTAACTCAACAGAACAACAAATGTAGATAAATACTAAAAAATTAGGGTGATTATTTTCAGAGGTAAAGGAGGCGGGACCTTCTCCTACCATCCTTCAAAAAAATATCGCGTCTTGGGAAGTTTTTAAAATCCTTCAAATGTCGGCGGTTTTGTACGTAAGTTTCGATTTTGTGTCACGTGGACTTAATGAGTCAGAAGCTCGTAAAAGACACTCGAGCCGACCTAAAGACTCCAAATTAACTTAGTGCGACTCCGTGACTCCGCCCCCCTCATAGTCGTGTTCTCTTTTTGGGAAGTCAGAGTATGGTCACCCTAAAATAATACAGTGAACTAGTTTACAGTCCTAGATATTAATCTAGATTTAATTAATTTTACAATTTTTTACTTATTATCATCTTTTTATGTATTGTCTGCCAACCTCTAATATTTCAGGTTTATTCTACCAAAATATGAACTAATATTATCCCAATATCAGAGGGATTGACCTCACTTTTATCCTCTTCATTCCTCTGTGATGATTTTGACCTCCTGAATACGATAGTTCGTGTCTGCAGAGCCGATGAATCTGATATTTTGTGTTTTTCTCGTATATTTTCATGTTCAGTCTCCTGCACATTATTAGTCATCACACTTCTGTTTCATTCACTTCAACGCTAGTGGCCTATGGGTCAAATCGTACATTTCCGACTTCCGACAAGCTAATGTTAGCATTAGCTTGACTGAGACTCGGTGTGTATTTCAGACTATCATGAAAAATGGAAAAATGTCATAAACAGAGTCTGTCACATTTGCATTTAATTCTCCGTCAAATCTAAGACAACTGTTTTATTAATGACTAAAAAACATGAGATTCACGTTTGATACTCGATCATGACGTCGCTCCATTCGAGCCGATAACTTTGGAGGAAAGAGCAGCGGTTAAAAAGAGGGTTGTAGATCTGACATGCAATGACCTACTCTGTCCAGCAGGGGCGCAAAGAGGGTTGCAGACACCCCCTACTCGTATTTGAGGGCACCGACCGCCGACATACCAACGTCACTTTGGAGATACCCGAACCACCGCCACACAACCGACGTTGAACAACTTTTCTTCTCAATAATGTCTTTTTCGGAGGATGACTCAAAGTCACGGCTGACGTCTATTTTGCTGACCTCAGCTCCACGTTCGGTCATTCTGTTTACATCTCCTGCGATTTACAGAAGCGAGCAGGAAAAGCTCGACTCTGATTGGCTGTTGTCACGCACATTTCTGCTATGAGTGATTGAGTAAATATGCTCACAGCTGATCATCACGATCGAATCGAAATTTATCACAATCATTAATCGCAACCATATAATCGCCCAGTCCTAAGAAGACGTGCATGTACTGTGGAGCTGCGAAGAGCTAAAGGAGATACTCAGTTAAAGGTATGAGGTTCACAGTCAGCGAGAAATCTGCAATAAACGTCAAACAACAAGTTCAACAGATCAAAACAGAGACTGAATCATTAACAGCCGTGATGCACTCATAGAAACACTCACATACCTTTAAAATGCTATCTCAGTGTGTACTTTAACTCATGTGCATGCACGCTCACACACACCAGGGGAGTAAGAAAAGGGCAGAGAGAGAGAGAGAGAGAGAGAGAGAGAGAGAGAGGGAGGAGACTCCGGGGTGTGTGAGTTTTCTAAACACTACAACACAAAAGAGAAAAGGTTAGTGTGGAAATGAAAATGTGTGTTTTAATGTGCATTAGTGAGTCAGCCGGTCTGAACCCTGAGGGCGCGCTCTGCTGGGACCAAAACTTCTGTTTGTGTTCTCAAAACCTGAGAGTCAATATCAGACAGGAGGTTTTCCTTGAATACTTCTGTAGGATCTACAGTCAGACCTCCTTTCTGCAGACATCCTGAGAGCAGAGCTGATTGGCTGCATTATAAAACAGCTTTTTAAACATGTTTGCTAAAAAGTAAAAAGCAGCCTCTGAAAAGATCCTCAAGATTCAGAGAAACAGGTCCCCACAGGGATTATACAGCTCAGAGGAAAATCTTGTTGCATGTTGTGGGAAAGTCACAAACAAGATCGACCGTCATGATCATTTCACAGGCTGCTTCTCTTGTGGACTGTTTGAAACATCGACATCAAATGTTTTGTGCACAAATGAGAAAAAAATAGAAAAACATCGCCTGACTCTACAAGCTACAACAGAGGTTGGCATGGCAACCAGGACTCTGTGTTCAGTGGTGGAGGGAGTGCAACAGTAATACAAACAAAGATCCAGTAATTAAAACAGGAATAAAAACACGTGAACTAAGACTTAAAGAGCTGCAGTGAAGACATAAATTCACAACAGCTATGTGAACAAGTGAGTTTAAAAATCTAGGACTGATATAAAGTCATAAAGTTAAACATTTACGATCATCACTTCATGGAAATACAATCAGACCGAGACGCTAAGGCAGAAGAACTACAGTGTCTACAGTGAAAATGATTAATATGGAGATTATTACTTCAAGGAAATGATAAAGAAATGATCATAAATGTTCTTCCTTGAGCTGCGTCACCCCGCTGTAGTCTGTAATGGACTGGCCTGAGGTCTCACTACAAACAAGCGTCTGCTGGAAGAGAGTAGGTGAGTTGTGTTTAGTCTCTTTGCTAAAGAAATGAGTCAAAGTTAAAAGATGTTTGGTGTCTAGTACTATGTCTGTGACCCTATATGTACTAACCTCAGTAGAACATGGTGTAGTTTCATTCAGTAACAGAACCTCATTGGAAAATTAGCTGATTTAACTTTACTGTGCTCTTGTTCAAATATATTAACTCAACAGCACATAAATTCATACCTGTTAACAAAATCATGATTTTATTGATAATTCGGCTCAATAAAAACACCTTTACCTTTTTACTACAGTAGAAGTTTATTGGCCCAGCTTATAGACTACAGAAGTGGAGGAACGCCCCGCTAACTCTGAATATAGTACTATGTCTGTGACCCTATATGTCCTGTTGATGAAGTTAGGTGCTGTTCTGAGCATTATTTGTGGCTATAGAGTGGCGTTTTGGTTGAGGGCGTGGCTCTCTGTATTACTATCCTGCGGTCGTTACTAAAGTTGGTATAACTAGAGAAGCAAGCAGTCGTCAACATTCATCTCTGGAGGGGGGGTCTAACTCGGTGTTACGGTGAGTTTGACCCTAAATTAATTTTACTCCAGAATATCCCTTTAAACTGCTCGGTTTTACCTCCACAGGTGAAGTTATGATGAAAGGAAATGATCTGTCATAAAACCAGAGTCAGTTTAGATGTCACTCCATCTATCAGCCAGCTGTCTCAGACTTTCCACTGTGTGTGTGTGTGTGTGTGTGTGTGTGTGTGTGTGTGTGTGTGTCTATGATAAAACTGTAATGAGCTCCAGTCTTCACAGGACAGCTCTTCACTTCTTAAATACACGGTTAATCATCCAGGAACAATGTCTCCTCTCCAGGATAATGACTCTGACTGGAGCTCTTGTTCTGCATCTCTACGTACACGTTTGTGCGCACGTCCACGCGCACGCACGCACGCACACACACACTGCAGAGGAGGTAACGAGCTGTGCTTTTCTGCTGAGTTTGACATGTCAAGAAAGGAAGGGAATTAGACCAGCTGCTGTGTGTGCATGTGTGTGTGTGTGCATGTGTGTATGTGTGTGTGTGTGTTTTCATGCACTTCCTCACCAGCAGTGATCGTATCCTTCTCCTTGGCGTTGAGTTCCTCCACCTCTGCTCTCCTGCGCAGCTCAAACCTGCGAGCGTGTCCTTCCCGAGGTTTCCACAGCTCCTGGAGCAGCAGCGGCTTTTCGTTGTCCCCCAGCGCACGCAAGCACTCAGTCCGCCACCCCCCTCCTCCGATCCCACCGCCCTCCTCGAAACGTCCAATCACGTCACACAGGATGTAAGAGTGGGCGGCGTTCTTGTTGAGCGAGTAACGCTCGAGCGCCTCTTTGACCAGCTCTTGGGCGCTGGAGCGCGGCGTGGCCAGGACGCTCTTGTAGTTGGCACCGGCACAAATTTCATCCCCGAAAATCTTCAGCACCCCGGGGGCGGAGCTCTGCGTGGAGAGCTCGGCTGGATCATCCGCCGGTCGCTCTGGGGGTTCAGTCGTGGACCGCCGGTCCCCCCGGGTGTTTGTTCCTGTTTCTACAGGGACCCGGTCTCTGTAGCTCAGAGTGCGGTACAGGACCTAAAGAGCAGACAAAGAACGGTGGACTAAAAATACATGAAATCCTGATTTAACAGGGCTGTGAGTAGGGCTGGGCGATACGGCCTCAAATCAATATCAATATCATATCATCGATAGCATCAGGGTAAGCGTCTTAAAGGGACGAGACCAAAGTCTACCTACACACATCCAAAAACAACTTTGGTTTATGGATCTTTTTGACACTGAATATACCGATATGGACAAAATGACGTCGGATATTGTCGTAAATTTCGGTCTCTGTAGATTTTCGGTGTATCGCCCCGCCCTAGTGGTGAGTACACAGTAGTACAGCACAGCATGAGGGCTGCAGTTTTCCACAGAGGAGCACAAATGTGTGAAAACTGTCATATGCTGAAACTTTGCAGGAGTCAGGTTTGCCAGATTTGCGACGGTAACCCTGAATTTTCACCGCATCCAGAACGGCTCCGATTTTCGCCGTACGCCAATTCCTACCGAAACCGTTTGTGAATTTCGTGGCAGATTACAGACAGCAGGAATTGTGAGAACTCACAAGAACCCGCGTGCAAGCGTGTGATAACGAGTCGTCTCTCTAAAGACAGACACATAGACATATAAGCAGTAGATTGTGTCCTTCCAGAGGAGGAAATCTACTTCTAGACTTCTAGAATCAGCATCTCCTCATCCATGGTGTCATCGGGGTGAAATGACGTCTAAAAACCTTTCACTTGTTCGGATGTTTTATTTTGTGTCTGTGCCCGACTTCCTTTCCAGCACGGGTTAATCTGTGCTGAATTTATCCGCCATGCTCCGGCGTCCAGAAAAAATAGAACTCTTGTGATCAGCTGAGGAGTCCGGCGATCCGCAGAGGAACGTAAAGAAGTCGGTGTAAATTGACACGTTAACTTGAATGGTTACGATCAGCTACGATCGGAGGATACGACCTTTTAGGAGACGATCAGGATGGAGGTGGAAATTGGGGGTTAGTCGTCATTTTTTGCACACTAACATCTGCTGACCCTGAACATAAGACCTCATGATGTTTCTAAACTCTGAAAAATAAACAGAGCAGTATCGTAATACCAAAGCTAAAGGCCACTGATCAATAACTGATGAAATATTTGACTCCAAACCCCATAAATAAACTTTATACCAGTCATCTTCAGATCTGGATAAAAACTGTGCGAGTACCTGAGTGAAGGTCCGACTCTGGCGTTTCAGGCGGCTCTTCGAGGGGAGGGACATGCTGGCCCCGGAAGAAGAGCCGTAAAACATGATGCTGCTGTTGGTTTCACAAACTCCACAACTGCTGAATGAAGAAACACATGTCAGCTGTTTCATCCGAACACACCGACATAAACACTGAGCGTGAACACAAATGCATGCATCGCACACTTACTTTTGGAACATTTGCAGATCTGGAAAGGTAAAGAAAATCTCCACTAAATGTATCAGGTATGTGTGCGACCACAAACGCACAATGAAAACACAAAAACTGTTGGTGAAGGTGAGACTGCCAAGTACCTGTTGTTTGATATCGTCACCCAAGAGAGAGAGAGAGAGAGGAGCGGCACCAAGTCAGAGTTTACAGTCGAGGTTGAGGTTCAGCGTGTCTCATGTCACCGTCACCTTTTAAGCTGGAAAAACAAGAAAACAAAAGTAGGAGTCAGTGATTCAGAACTCAGAGGTCCACTTTGGATCCAGGTCCTTAAAGGTTTCTTCAAATACTGCAGCAGCTTCAGATTTAGCAGAACTAAAGCCTGTTTTCAATGTGAGACCGTCTCCAGAGTCCGGGACACCAGTGTGTGTGCAGCCGACAGAAAACAGATGAACTCTGAATATATGAACCAACTGTGCTGCTCTTTCAAATCCATTTAACATGTTAGTGATTCTGGTTCCAGTACCTGCAGGGGAAATGATCGATCATTACTCTATCATCATTTTTTAATGTGGGCATTTTCAACCAACAAACCAAAACTAGGGCTGCTACGATCACGTCTGTGGATATAAATCAAATATATATCCGATGTGACTGCAGTGTGGACGCTCAGGCACGTCATCAATATGCGACAAACGTCACCATTGTTCAACAACACAAACAGGCGTGGAAAGCAACTTGTGCTTTGTGTGCACGCGGGTCACTTCACGAACACATTCGTTGTTATGATGTGGACGACCGCACAGAAAGATCCGATTGAACAAAAATTCCAGACTGTGCATCAGAACCTGCAGAGTGAACGTAGTCTTAGTCTGCAGCCTGTTTCCCATCACAGTTCTCTGGCTCATTCACTTTCTTACTTTGACAAAACAGACGTGTCTGATTATGATAAACAAAAACAAACAAGACTGACGATCTACATATGATAATTTTAAACACCTGAAACCACGTTTGACAGCTTCATAAACAATATTCAGAACAGGTGAAATATTTGTCTTTTAAGAGACATTCTTTGTTAGTAGACACGACTTCAGCGTGTGGACTGATATACATGATAAGCAAATGCTGTTTTGTCCAGAGGGGGCGCCAAAATGGACAAAAATCTGACATTTCCCCACAGGAGTAGAAAACTGGGTGGGTGTTTTAAGATCAAATCCTCATTATCAGGGTTTCTCTCCAAACACCATGAAGCAAACTGCTGCTGACGGCACAAGATCCCAGAACAAGACTCCCACAGACCGAACAACATCCACACAGCTGTTTGAAAATAAGCACATGTGATCAATCAAAGAGCCGTATTAACAGAGACGTGATCAGGACAGACTGAAATAAACGATCTAAACATCTTTATCGATGGACATGTTAACCAAAAAAAGACGCACATGCTGCAAAAGTCAGACGCTCCATGTGTCTAGGGATGGGAATTTATACGATTTTATGGATATCGATGCCGTTATCGACTCTGCTTATTCCCTTATCAATGCCCTTCCTTTGATTTCAAGAAAGTAGACTATAAGTTTTCATCGTTAACTCAAACTTTTATTGAGTCTCTGATAACAGAAACAGATGTACGCCACCTTCAGTGAGAGTCTAAAATAATCAAACTACAAACCGTTTGTACAGCGTTTTATTTGGTCGGTATGAAGTCGAATAAATGATAAATTGGGAAGTCTGACATCTGTTGTGTTTAAGTTAAAACAGGACGTTTGTGCCGTGCTGAGACGGAGCTTTATTTTTGTACTGTCTGTCATGTTTTCCCCTCAAAGTCTCTGTTCTTGTTCGTGTAGACCGGCTCTCACGACGAGACACCCGGAAGAAAGGAATCGTCGAGGGAATCGTTGAGATGAAATGTAAACAAGCTGATGGACTGAACCATTTGGAACCGGTTCTCAATTCCCATCCCTACATGTGTCCATGAAATCCGCAGGTATGCAGAGTGTTGATTTTAAGAAGGAGAAACAGGGTCTTAACTTTGTCCATAAATGTTAGCTGGAAGTGGATTGACAAGGTCTACACTTGTTGTTTTTGTAAAGGACCTAACGATAACTTTGATCATGATCAAGCACATCTATACTCTCAACATTTAGTCCAGAACGACTACAAAAAGCAGATCTAAAGCCAAATGTAAGTTTTTATGTAAACTTACATGTAAAAAAAGTCACCAATTTTGTGTCCATCTACTCACAAATGACCCATCTAACAGATTTATAATTCCAGGTTTTGACAGCAGCATTATTTTTCCTTCCATGTTACCTTGGTACACAAAAAAAGACATGTGCTGCAAAAGTCACAGCTGTCCATGTGTGAAATCCACAGGTATGCAGATTTTTGATTTTATGAAGGACAAACAGGGTCCAAACTTTGTCGATAAATAATAGCTGGAAGTAAAAAGGAATAAAGGTCTACACTTGTTGTTTTTGTGAAGCACCTGAAGATAACTTTGATTATGATCTTGCACATCTATACTCTCAACATTTAGTCAAGAACAACTACAAATAGCAGATTTAAAGCCAAATGTAAGTTTTTTAGTTTTTCTTCTTGATGAATATAATTCACTAATTCTGTGTGTGTGTTATTCTTAAGACATGTAAAGGGTGAACGAACAGGAAGGAGTGATGGTAGGTACATATACGCTAAACAGCTTCAACCTCCTTTTTAATCTCCAAAAAATAGAGAACTTCTTCTCTAAAATTGTACTTTCTGTATATTTGATCAAATAAACTATCTCTTAGTTTTGTGTCAATCTACTCACAAATGACCCATCTAACATATTTATAATTCCAGGAATATTTTCCCCACTATGACTCCTTTTTGTCGACCAGTTTTACCTCTAAATCTGTGAAGTGCAGGCCTCACACCCACCGCCTGGCTGCATCCAGGTCATGCACTATATCTCAATAATCAGGTGTCTCTGCAGAAGGTGAGTCACGCCTCACTCCTGGTTCTGGATGAAGTACTGGAGTGAATCTGACAGCAGATAAAAGCAGCTCTCACTTCATGCAGAATCAAAGTTGTGCAGTTCTCCGTTCATCTCACTTTTTGTTCAGATATAAATAATTGGCAGGCGGCCTAAAAGGTGTTGTTGTAGCTGACTCTGCAGCCACTGGTGGGATAACGTGACTATTTTAAATGCCTGCTAATCCACAGTAATCTGGCTACTTGGCCGCAGTTAACTCAATCCTGGGGCCATCAAACCGCACATATACACACAGAAACAGACACACACAGAAAGAGGCCTGAATGTTGCAGTAGTGGGTCTGTTTGGTGACCCTGGAGGTTGTGTTACATTTATAATCATGTCACACAGACTCCAACTTCTCCTTCTACATGTCTGCCCTTGTTTTACACCCAGAAGGTCGGGACTAAAGACTGCATCTGAGACACTTCACACCCACAACATCCAGACTACATATGGGACCCGGACCCGGGTCTGCTGGGTCTGTTTTTTCGGTGTCAGTCCGTCTGTTTACGGATCTGGACTCTCTGGTCGTCAGTAGCAACCGCCGTCCCAACAAAAGGGAAGGAGAGAAAATCCTCAGAAATTAATCCGCTGATGAGTCTCCAGGCTCGGCGGTGAGAAGCTCACACACACCGGCCTCTGAGGGTCCGAAGGTGCGTCTGATGATCGGAGTCGAGCTCGTGACACCCTGATGAGAGCAATTATCGGGAATATCGTTTGGACACGTGAACAACACAGAGAAACAATGAGAGAATCAGCCGCATTAACCCGCTAACGAGAGGACAGATGTGGAGAGTCTACGTGTAAAAAAGGAGAAACAGGAGCGTGGAAAGTTGAGGTGTGATCCCCACAGTGACAAGCCCACTCCCCTGGGGGCTCTCGGGGGTGTCTGTTGTACTCACGCTGCCTGCAATGCGTGGCTCCATAGAGCTGGGGAATCCGTGGTTCCTCTCTCATTCCCTCACAGACAGAAAATCCCGAGAAAAATGTGAGGGGGGAAAAAAACACCCAGCTGCTCTGTTCCGAGGGACACCCAGCCGTCCAGGACCCCCGCCACATCCCCACAACAGCCGCTAACTTGGAGCACAGCCAACCGCGGAGGGCTCCGGTCTGTGTGCGCACATCTCCGCCGAGAGTCCAGCAATGCCCGCTGCCTCAGGCAACCGCATTCCCACATCCACGGCGAGTCACTGCCGACGGCCGAGCGGCGACGGAAACACCCGAGTCCTCTGTGCTGCCTCACCTCGGCGCACCTGCTCGAACATCGAGTGTACGGAGATACCGCCGCCTAGCGGACATCAGCGGTAAAAGCACAACATGGAGGAAGCTCTATGATGAAGATTTGTTAGTTTAAAGATATATGATTAAATATTAGTGCTTCAATCTGCTTTTTACAGATTTTAAACTTTGTCTACTTTTCAAATTAATTGTTTATTAAGTATTTTATTCTTAAAAAACTCTTGAAAATATTGTAGTGAAATACACTGACTATTCCCACTGCTGCTGTGTGAATCCTACCTCAACATTATATAGAGGCATAGAAACAAATAACAAGCAGTGCAATAAAAATGAAAACGATATACAAGAATAGGAAAAGAGATAAATATTAAGAGAAAAAAATATTTATATATTTCTATTTTTTTTTCTTGAAATTTATCTCCTTTCCTATTCTTGTGGATAGTATTCATTTTTATTGCACTGCCTGCATCTATATACATATTTATTTGTATATATACAAATAAATATGTATATAGATGCAGGCAGTGCAATAAAAATTAAAACTATACACAACAATAGGAAAGGAGATAAGTAATAATATTGATGATAATAATATTAATAATAATAATAATAATAATAATGATGACAAAAACAACAACAATAATAATAATATATTTCATAATATTTATCTCCTTTCCTTTTCTTGTATATAGTTTTCATTTTTTTTGCACTGCCTACACTGAACTAGAGAATTTTATCTTGTATATAGTCTGTACCTATTATTTTTTATTATTATATAACTTATTTTTTTACAACTATTTTTGTACTTTTAATTCAATCTCTGTTTTCTTATTTTAATCTATTGCACTAAAGCTCTCCAATCTCGTTGAACTTTCTGTATAATGACAATAAAGAGCATTCTGATTCTGATTATCTTCGTATTAGCACTTTTTCATTCATCACAATCACTTATTAACTAACCCAATCTAATTTTCAATAGTCTGGTAGATTGTTGATAATGTTAGTTTATTTCCTTTTTAGTCTTTGGTTAAAATAATAAATAGTGAACATTAAAAAAGAAGTCCTCAGTAATTTCTAACACCAAAATACTTCAGTGCTTCCTCTCAGAGCAGCAGAAATCATCCTCAACAGCATAACATTCATATATCATGGTGCAGGTTTACTTTCAACAGCTGATTTAGACAAAAACATGTTTTTTTTTCCAAAGAGGTGAAAAGATATGAAATGTTAACTCAAGGAATATACTGCATGAAAAACTTTTTTATTCCAAGAAAAATAGAAAAGATAAAAGCATTGTTGGCATCATATAGGCTTGTCACAGCACAAAAGCACCACAGACACATAAAACTGAATTTGAAAAGTAGAGAGAGAGAGAGAAAGAACAAGATATAATATGATCAGTCTCGATCAGAAAGAAAACACCAGCAGCACTGAAAACAGAGTCAGCAGCTCCACAATCACAGAGTGTCTATAAACCATGTACAGAGGGTCCATGAAGGCATCATGGAGAGTTCATTAATCTCTATACAAAGTCAGGTGGGCACTGTATGTCTGAATGAGACAGATATAAGAACCAATACAAGACAGACAGACATCAAAGAATCAAATATTTCATCTCAGCCCTCTCTGCGGAGTGAGAGAAAATACTGGCAATGATAGGCTATAATTCCCCCAAGTAAAAGCTCAAGCATTTCGTGTTTTCTCAGAGGCTCAAGTAAACATCAAGAGTACAAATGTTAGAAAGTACTCTTATATTTGAGAATAAATTCATATTTATATATTTATATATATATGAAGAGTTTAATTCAAAACTGACATATCTACAGTGACGACCGCCATCTCCAGGCTGTCAGAAAATTAGTTTGCATTGAAAATGACTTTGTGTCTAATGACCAAAGAAAGAATAAGAAGAAAGAAAACACAATATTTGTCTATGTATATCATATATCAATACTTTGAGTGTTTCCATGTTCTTTCTGACTCCGTCGTCGGCTGTATGTCACGAAAAGGAACCAAAACAAACCTCTTTTTTTTGTAGTATTAGTTTCTACTTGCACCAAATGTAACGACAACGGTGCGTTTGTTCGGTGTTCCTGCAAATATGTTGAATTTTAAAGGTCAAACAGTTTTGAAATTATAGACCAAAGACAAGAGACAGTTCCCTGCGAATCTGCCCCGTTCCTGTCATACTTGAAAAGATTGTGTTTCCTTTTTACTGACTTGTAATTGTGTTTGTCTGCTTCATATCAGTAAATACTGCAAAGTGGCACATATAAATAAATGTATATTTTAATCATAGAGCAAGTTTAGTTGAATAGATCTGTAAAAGCATCATTTGTGCTGTTATATCTGCATCTGCTCATATTAAACCGACTTAAAAAACAATTCTCGTTAAACTCTTATTTCTTCCTGTTTCTGCTCTTCTAATTGGAAACGAAAACGAGTAAAGCTGTAAGGAGCGGTGCCAGCATTTAAGAAAACAGCTATTTGATCATTTTAGTTGCTGCAGACAGCGCTCGAACGTCGGAGCAGCTTTAGTGGTCCTTGAATGTGGCTTCACAGGCTTTTAAGCCCAAATGATCCAAATCCTGAGAGACAGCCAGCAGAGAGAAGATGTCCGACAGGAACAGAGGTTTTCACACCTTCTTCTTTAACACCTACGATTAAACTGAGACGGTTCAACCTTTTGGTCCTTTAGCCTTATTAATCACTCTATAAAAGCTTCTCCAATATTCTGTGTGCCATAATATACAGCTAGACACTATAAGAGTACATACTATACTGTATATTTCAAATATACTTTATGTGTTCAAGGTACATGCGTAACGTGTAAACATAGACTCAGCCAGTTAGAGGCTTTGGATTCATGGGAGTCAGAAAGTAGAGCGCATACACACACACACTCTTACTCTCACACACTCTCTCTCTCTCTCACTCACACACACACACACACACACCTGAGATGCCTTAATATTGGGCCGGATTGTTCAACAATACTATAGCTTCGGTTTCCTTTCAAGTGTGAGCTGTTAATGGTAGTAGTGTGCTATCAGTAACGGCAGTAAGTCTGGCAGTGCTTGATGGAGCAGTGGTTCTCCCCTCTGTGGCTTTAATGAAACTCGATCTATCAGCTCTCCTGTCCACCATATTCACACGGCAGCCTTTCTGACTGATCGGAAACTTTGAGTGGGAGGAATCCGTCTGTAACTTCATCACAGACAACAACTCGGTACTGCTTAGTAGCAGCGCACGCCCCCCATAACAACCCGCCATAACAACTGTTGTTTGTTCAGGACTGAGCGCTTTGCAACGTGCTCGCGCTTCCCATAGGTATATATAAGAAACGCTAGATGACTGGAGGCGGAGTCACCAATGTGCGAATTTTTTTTTGTAGAATGGTAAGGGAAGGTCCCGCCCTCTGATTGGTTATTCCTAATGGAATAAGGTTAGGGTTAGGATGAGGGTAAGGGTTAGGGGGTTAGGGTTGGGTTAGGGTTCAGGTTAGGATTAGGGGTTAGGGGTTAGGATGAGGGTTAGGGTTAGGATAAGGAGATTCAGAAGTGCGATAATGTTCTGTAATGTCCCGTTCGATGCACAGAGCTGACAACCTGCGTTTGGCTTGAGCATGTGATGACCTTTTCAGCTTTTTGTAACCAATCAGAGGCAAAGGAGGCGGGACTTTCCTCTACCATCCAACAAAAAAAAAACCGCCCCCTGTAACAACCCCCCGTAAAAACTGAGCGTGTCGCAACATGCTCGCGCTTCCCATAGATATATATAAGAAACGCTAGATGACGTGAGGCGGAGTCACCAGCATGGGAAATTTTTTTTGGAGGATGGTAAAGGAAGGTCCCGCCCTCTGATTGGTTGTTCCTTATGGCTGTGAAACGTCATCGTCTGTCGGGTTAAGAGATTCAGACGTGCGGTAATGTTCTGTAATGTTCTGTTCGATGTACAGAGCCAACATCGCGTTTGGCTTGAGCGTGTGATGACGTTTCTAGCTTTTCTAGCCAATCAGAGGTAAAGGAGGCGGGACCTTCCCCTGCCATCCGACAAAGAAAAATAATGCTAGCCGGAGACTGTCCCACTGTGTTAAAGCAGCCGACCAAACAATTTAAGGTTAAAACACTGAGGAGCATCGAGTCACGTAAGCTAGCTAACGGTCACGCAGGCTAGCATGAACACGTTAGCTGGTTAGCTGTTGTGACTTGGATGTCGGCCATGAACGAAATGAGAAAATAAAGAAGAAATCTCAAACTTAATTTCCTCTCTGAGCTATAATTCTTCTTTTCAGCTGCAAACCAAAACAGAAAAGTTAGCCAAGTCTTGAAAACCTCGATCTCAGCGGGGAAAAAACTGGTTTTGGTGAAAGTGGTTGCCATGTGAACACAGTGAATTCATTTATTAAAAGAATCTGAAGAAAGCTCAACCAAATGAATTAACATATACTTCAACTCACTGATAAATATGTACCGTAAAAACTGTATTGATGATTTCTTATATGAGAAAACTATAATGAACGACAGTAAACTATTCAAAATGTGTAATTATGCTCGCTAAGCTACACCGCAGAGCTAAATGTGAGAGTGAACATGAGATCTCTCTACAGTCATGCTTGATTTGTAAAAATCACAGTAAATTACCGACTAAAACGACTGCGGTTTATGATGAAAACACGATCCAGCGCTCTGAGTTTCTTACTGAAGATGCAACTTCTGAAATATAGTCAAACTCAAGAAAAATACTCGATTCATAATGATAAATGTAATATAAATAATTCTAATAATAACGAAGGTAAAGTCAGCTGATTTCAACACTGTCCTCTTCTCAACAGGGAGACAGTTCAGCAGCACAGACATAGAAATCTCCAAGAAAACTCCTGATCGTCTAAATTAAACCAAAACATCCTGAAAACATCCTAAAAACATCCCTTTAAATTCATCTGAACTGGACAGACTGAGAATGAAGATCTCAGGTACGCGTCCTTCAAATACAGACATCGTTTGGACGCATTTTCAGAAACAACTTGTGTATTTGCCCGCAGCGCTGTGAAATAAAGTGTAATGGTGCTTCAAATATCAACTTATCAACGCAGAACAATAAAAACAGACACCTCAGCCTTTTCCCAGGGAGGGTAGGTGAGGTTATCATCCGTCATGTTCATACTCCTCCTATTAATACAGTCTGTTTCAACTTTGTACCAACTAGGGCTGGGCGATAAACTGGAAATTTACCAATACCAAGATTTACGACAATAACCGAAGTCTTTTTGATAATATCCGAGGACGGTTCAAAAGTTGTAGCGGCTGAAGTAGACGAAGTTAATGTGGGAGGGGCTGAGCAGCTTGTGGAGTAGTTATCGTCCATTTACCGTTATCGAGGTGAACTGATCAATATATCGTGATATTGATTTGGGGCCGTATCGCCCAGCCCTAGTACCAACTCAGTGCAGCTTCAGGTGATGAAGATGGATGTTTCTGTTTTTACGAGTTAAGAGAGAACACCTGAACGCACCATAATTAAGAGACTGATGGTCTCCTTTTTTTTTAATCAGTAAAATAAAACGATCTATTTTTCAAAGTTGACGGCCCCTAAACCAGGACACAGCTCACACCGTTCCCTTAAAGAGTCGCCAGGACAGGAGTTACTTTCTGTGAGGTCAGCGGCGATGTCATCTGGAGGTCTGGACCTCATTGGGCGGCAGGGCGTAGAGGTATTTCCAGATGGCGTAGTAGTGTATGGCGGCTCCCATGGCAACGAACAGGTGCCAGATGGCATGAGCGAACGGGACAATACCATCGCTTTTGAAAAAAACAATCCCCATACAGTAGCAGGCTCCGCCCATCAGCAGCTCGCACAACCCCGCCTGCTCCGGCTGAGGAGAGACAGAAATGTGATTATTATGTTTTAAAGACATTAAAATCAAGAAATAATAATAATAATAAAAACAGCTGCTCACCATGGAGAGGATGACCAAGGCAGGAAAGACTCCCATGACGGTGTAGCAGATCAACTCCATGATCTTATACCTGATACAGAGAGAGAGGTTTCAGCGCCTGTTTCTACTTTGACTGAACTCTCACATGCTCTTCCTCTCTCTGTCCTCCTCTTCATTGACTCTATGTTCAGCTCTGTGTGGGAGGCTTCTCACCACCATGAGTCGATGTTTTAAAGCTCAAATATTCGGCTTCAGTGGACAAACTTTTACACACCGATGCTGACCTTGATCGGCCTCCTGGGTATCAGCCAAACACTCCTAATCCATACTGAACGCTGTTTCCCCCGAGGGTGTTTTTTAGGATGGCACAGTCAAAGACTAGTCCTCTTCATTATATCTGTTTTCTTTTCCAACTTTTAAAAACCTTTTTGTTTTGTGTGTTTTGCTTTGATTTTTCAGTGCAGAGCTGGACTTGAACTTTTTCACAAGGAGCACAAAAAGAACTTTAGAGGCACGATGAAAACTGATCAAATAATGTTTGTCTTATTGGTCGATCTTAGTGCTATTATTTGAAATCAATTTTAGGTCAATTGGTCACATGACATGGAAGCTACTGAAGGAGAACGGCCTTTTTCGAGAACATCAACTGGTAATTTATTGACGGTCCCTTATTCAACACCGACGTTGACAGTGAGGGTAGACTTATCTGTGCAGCTGTTGTTATTCCTGGTTAAGGAGAGTGAGAAGTAGTGTTGTGTTGTGTTGTGATTCATTCAAAAGAACCGAATCTTTTAAGTGACCGAATCACTTCCTCGAGTGATTCGTTCGTTTCTCACTTCTGTTAAGCTGAAGTGAGAAACAGCATCGCCAGGACAGCAGCTGGTGAACGATGGACCACATGCACCGACGCCTGAATCACGCACTGAACTAAACTCTCTGGAATCATTTTTGTCGGACAAAACGACCTTTTTTTTTACTACTAAATTGCCACCAAAACAACTTTCATACAATAGGACACAGCATGTAACAAGAAGTGCATTAAACCCACAGCATCCTATCATTGAAGCGGTTTGTGAGGGAACGGTTCATGTTCAGTTTGAATTCATCTAAACCTTCAGTGACCGAATCACTTACTGAGCTCAATTTACTGAGCAGACCTGGTAAATAACAAACCATAGGACACTTTAAACATCACGACTTATAAACAAGTTTATTTTTACAAACCTGTTTGTCAAAGAAACACAGACAAACACTCTCGTCTCCAGAAGCTTTGATCTGAACTGAATCTTGAACCGTTTGTCTGTGAATCAGTTCAGGAGGTCGGAGTCACAGGCTTCTCCCGCCAAGCACTAAATGATTTGGTGATTTGGTGAATGAATCCTTTGAACGAATCTTTTTAGTGAACTGATTCTAATTCAGTACATGTAAAAGAACCGCCGTGCCCATCTCTAGTGCGAAGACACCGGCACAACCGCAGTGAATCCAACCTAAAACTAACTTCACTGCTGTATTTACATGAAAAAACTTTTGTTGCCTCGGCTGATTTTTTTTTATGCGCACATGTGACCCTAAATACATTTTACAATTCGCTCACATCTATTTTTAGGAGTGAAACGGTCGAACTGTGGAGTCCTGCAGTGTAGGCAGTCCCTGAAGAAGTGGTGGTGATGTTCCTACAAGCTCCACAAAGACCTGATCGTGGACCTGAATCCCATCAGTAAACAGAGTAAACACAGACATGAACTGACCTCTCGTGGAAGAAGAAGACGTAGGTGGTTCCAAAAGAGGCCATGACCCAAACCAACCAGCGCATGTGACTCGCCCAGGGACCGAGCTCCCGCAGGTTCAGCCTAGAGAGGGAGAGAATAATTACACACTGCAAAGAGTATAGACACTTCCTACACATGTACTGTAGATCTGTTCACCATGGAGCGTAGGAGGCAGCGATGAAGAAATAGATCACCATCCTGTCGCACATGTGGAAACAGTGTTCCACCGACCTGAGGAGAGACGAGAACCGAATCAGAACGGTCAGAATCAGCTGATTCTCAAAGTTTCTCTGACTCTAAATCAGACATTCAAAACTGACAGACATTCAACTAGAATACAGGTTTATAAATATGAATAAAAATCAAGGGTAAAAGACTGAGACTGAGGGGGAAGCTACGACAACAAAACAGTTTCTTAAAGCTCTTTTTCTTTTACACCCTTCAGCAGTGACGTGTCTGAAAACTCCTCATCCAGCTGGTTTCTGACAGTCAGAACAGAGATATTCAGGTGACACCTACCCACTCACACTGGTTTAAAATTAGGGTTAATAATTCCCCATCTTGATGCTGATGGTCTTGTTTATTTTTGGATATTATTGAAAGGCATCAGGATGATTTATATACAAAAATCTGCTCATAGAGGCTTTAAGTAAAATCGCATAATTCAGCTTTAAATGGCTAAGGCAGATGACTATCTCGATCTTTCTCGACACAGACGAGAAAACTCGGTCACCTCGGTTTTTAAACGAGTTTTAGGGACGATGAGTTGGAGCATTGAAGAGGTCAGAGATGTAGTGTGGTGCTGATCCATTTAAAGATTTAAAAACAAACAATAAAATTTTAAAATGAATTCTAAAATGATCAGGAAGCCAGAATAGGAGTGATGTGGTCATGTTTTCATTAACCTGTTAAAAAAACGAGCATTTTGGACGAACCGTGAGCGTGTGGAAGGAGCCTGATTAACACCGACGTAAAGAGCGTTACAGTCGTCCAACCAAAGTGTGGAAATAAAAACATGAACAACTCACTCAAAATCATGAGAAGATCAAACCGATTTAATCTGGGATAAAAGTCTCAGATGATAAAAACTGGATTAAACAACAGAGTTGATTTGAACTAATTTATAGTGTGTAATGTTGAAAACTCCACATTTGATAGTAAGAAGATCAAAAACTGGTGTATCCAAATAACCTGGTATCTGTGTTGTTGTATTTTTGTGTATTTTTGTGAGTCCAGAATCCCTAAAAACTGAAGTACAGAGATTTCTGTTCTTCTACTGCGAGTCTGTTTGGACTCTGAATCAGACGCCCTGCAGCTTGGATTTACACTCGAGCCGGATCCATCCTCTGCAGATCTGTGAAAGAGTTTACCGTAGGTGGCTCTTCTTCCAGGCCACCGTATGGAACAGGGTGGAGATGATGAAGAGCGAGCTGAGCCCCGCCCCGTACACCCAGGCCGACAGCCGCTCCCATTGGTCCTCCGACTGGAAGTGCAACACTGAGCTGCCCAGCAGGCTGGGGATTATCCATAACTAAAGGAATCCATGACATTAATGAAACATGAGACGGAGATAAGAGAGAGAGAAACAGACAGGCGGGCAGGATAAAGATGGAGGTGTAGATCTGAAAACACTCGTGTGGAGGTGTCGTGTTTTTATCGCTTATGTAACACCGCTGGATTTATTCTCCTGTTCAGTCCGTGTGAGGTTAATGATCGCTCTTCAACGTGTGTGTGTGTGTGTGTGTGTGTGTGTGTGTGCATTCACCGCATGTGTGGCACAATTGGCAGCATGCTCATACTCTGTGGGCTGGTATCTCTTGTTAGAAGGAACACGGTTGTTCATAAACCTGAAAAAAACAGAGAATGAACATGTTAGAGTCGAGCTACGAACCCTGAGGTATCAGACAGAAGAGCGCAGATTTAAGAAGAAGAAGAAGAAGAAGAAGAACTTTATTGATCCCTGAAGGGAAATTTAATTGTCTGTTGTCTCATTTGATACGTCTCTAAAAGTTATCGACTATTTACAGAATAACTATAAAGTCTGATGTCTGTTGGTACCAAAGATCTTCTGAATCTTTCTGTCCTGCAGTGAAAAGAGAGGATCCGTCCACCATCGTCGGTCCTTTGGTCCATCAGGGTGTTGTGAAGTGGGTGATCCATGTTCTTGAGAATAGTCTCCACCACATCCTCCACAGAACCAGCCTTTTTCACCAGTTTGCTCAGATGTCGGGGCGGCACTGTTAGCAATGTCGCCTCACAGCAAGAAGGTCCTGGGTTCGAATCCGGGTCAGGGCGTTTCTGTGTGGAGTTTGCATGTCCACCCTGTGTCTGTGTGGGTTTACTCCGGTTTACTCCCACATCCCAAAAACATGCAGAAGTGGGGTTAGGTTAACTGGCCACTACCAAATTGCCCGTAGGAGTGAATGTGAGCGTGGACGGTTGTTCGTCTCTGTATGTCAGCCCTGAGATGAACTGACGACTTGTCCAGAAGATGCTGGGATTGGCTCCAGCCCCCCGCGACCCCGGGAACAGGAATAAGCAGCAGAAAATGGATGTTCAGACGTCTTCATCTTTGTGTTTGATGTTTCCTCTCCAGCAGACTGCAGCGTAGATCAGAACACTGTAGATCTACACCACAGACTGATAAACATCTGCAGCATCTACCTACAGATGTCAGATGTAGTTAAAAAAGCAGCATCTATGTTTCTATGATAACTCTGTCAACCATGACCACCTCCATCATCTCCAGGATTTGTAAAAATTCGTCTCTCAGCGATGCTCAAAAAAATTCTCCCCCATCCATCCCTTCCTCTCGCTTAGCAACGCTCGATCATGCTTCAACTTGTTGCCATGACTGCTGTTGCCTGGTAACAGAGGGGGTAACCACGGACCGACCGAAGCGGGAGGTTCCTCCCGATGATCTCTTTAATAAACAATTCACATGTGCGGATATTCCTCTGCAACCACGCACACACACACACACGCACACACGCACGCACGCAAAACCCCGACCTATTCCTTTGAACGTGAAACCCAAACAAACACACAGAGCGGCTCAGGAGGTAGCGCTCCGTCAATGATGTCACTGTTGTCATGGAAACCTCCGAGCAGGGGGATTGTCTTTTTTTTTCTTTTTTTCTTTCCACACCAGAAAACTCCTCGTTTCTTTCATCTCTCTCTCCTCCGTCTCCTCCATCTCCCTCGGCTGCTCCCCGGCCTCCTCGTCTCCTTCCTCTCTGCTGCCCGATGATTAAATTAACATGCAGGAACGCAAATGGACAAAGACGTCTCTGCAAACACACACGCGCACACACACACACACACACACACACACACATGCACTCAGGAACCACAACCCCTCCCTGTTCTTATGCTTCATCTTGAGGAGGAAGATTTCATAAGAGACCTAGATTTAGAGATGTCTCTGTCTCCCTCACACACACACACACACACACACGTACGCACAGACATGTCTAAGAACGGTGAATACCACTCCGATTAAAAACGTTCACACACTTCTCTGCGAAGGATGATCAGATGATTTGATCCTCGCCATCGTCTCCCACAGGAAACAGATGAACCCACGCCTACAGGACTGGAAATATTTCATTTGACGTGAGAGAGCGATGTTACTCTGAAATAAATTCTCTGTTTCCATCTGTGTGTTTTTGTGCAGCAGAGTCGAACAGAAGAGCAGGACGTTTCCCTCCTACACATCAGCTGATTCAAACCCTTTTTTTTAACAATCGCACCGCTGCTCCAAGACGGAGAGAGAGAGAGAGAGAGAGAGAGAGAGAGAGAGAGCTACAGGCTGTGTAAATATCTCCTCCGCTCGATTCTCTCCGTTCTCTTCGTTTTCAGAGTGACACTCATTCAGAGTTATTAATACTAACTGACCCACTCTGTCCTGTCCCAAATAAAGAGACTCCCTCTCCTGCTCTGTCCCCCTCACACTGACTGACTGACTCCTCTCCGATGTGTGTGTGTGTGTGTGTGTCAGAGCCAGGCCCAGCAGGCTCGGTCGGGTCATTAATGACTTTATCAAGCTGGCTGATAATTAGCAGGCCAGAGGCCAGACAGGCAGAGACACACTGAGTGGACAGAGTGGAGCAGAGCTGCGGAAACATCATGAGGACTCGTCTCATCAAACGGGGACAGGAGGAACCTCCCCGCTTCACCACCAAGACCACCACCACCACCCCCAGAGCACTTAATGCTGAGCAGTAAATTAAAATAAGAGCGTTTTGATGGACAGGCAGGTCCCGCTCTCTTTGTGTGAGTGGATGAAACGAAGAATAAGTGGAGAAACGACTGACAGTTAACAGGAAATTAATCTGAAGGTGAAATATGAGGTTTGTTCAGGTACACATGAGCTAAACAGCTTCAACCTGCTCCAAAAAACAGGGATTTTCTTGTCTAAAATTGGACTGTATGTATATTTGATCAAATAAACACCATCTGTCTATCAGCGGTGTGTTCTCAGACAAAATCACATGTAATTTTTTATAAATGCACGTGATTTAAGCTTCTTTAAAGTCGGTCTGGAACAAAAAAAAGAGCTAAATTAAAGGAAAAAAAAACAACATGATTGAGCTTTAATGAAGATAACGAGATTTAAGTAAAAATCAGGTTAATGCAGAAATACTAATGAAGAGTGAGGATGTAAATAATCAACCCTGGGTCAGTCTCAGTCCTGTGCTGCAGCTGTTTTACATGTTTGAGTGTGATATAGAGAAACCCTTCATTAAAGACAGATTTATGAACGACCACCGATGATTGTTCAGGTTTTAATGAGACAGTTTGATTAATAAAGTACAGCTGACGACAAGAGAAACAATTCACAAAATCTCCTGAGTTTGTCCTGCTGAGCTGTTCAAGTGTAAACTCTCATAAAATGTAAATTTTTGATGTAAATTTGTAATAAAGCTGATGAACCTGTGGAGTGGTTCAGATTAAATTTCATGAATTAACTGTTTCTGGGTCGTCTGCTCTCCAGTTGGACAAATATTAATTATTCATTCAATGTTTGAGTCGTTTTCATGCAGAAATAACAACATTTTCGCCTGTTGCACCGTCTCACATGTGTTTTTTCTCACCGATCAGCAGAAATCGACTCTTAAACAGAACACTGAAGGGTGTCAGTCTGAGCTTTGTGGGTCCTTGTGAGGCACACTGTGTACTGGTTTCATAAATCTACAAAACCAAACGATTCATTTTTGAGTTTTTTTACTGATTGATTCATCTTTGAGATTTCGATGAGGAGAGAAAAACGGTGAATGATCAGAGTCAATCATGGAGTCTGCTGCTGCTGCTGCTGTAACCCTCTTTAACAGGCTTCAGTCCTGAACCAAAACACTGAGAGGGTTTATGTTTATGTGGCCTGACAGAGAAGACAGCAAGATGATGGTGATGATGATGATGGTGGTGATGATGATGGTGAAGAGGGGGAGGAGGATGGAAGTGGCAGGTGTGTGTGTGTGTGTGTGTGTGTGTTATTAATAAGGCTTGTCAGGCAAATGAACCCTGAGCTACACGACTATTACATCATAACATTAGAGAAATTTAATGTGGACTTTTCTGACAGCTCAGTCTCCAAATCCTTCCTCTTCTTCTTCATCATTAAAACCACAAACATGAACAGATTCTGCTTCTCTGTGAAAGTATGAATCATTATTATTAATATCATGAACACAATGGCAGATCTAACGGAGTCACCTACCTTACAAGATTCATTTACAGAGGAAATCAGCAACAGTTGACAGCAGACGGACAGTGTACGGCCAAAGCCCGAATCCCCCTCTGACTGTGGAGCGAATAACCGACGATTATTTGATCGGTTCAGCCCGGGTAGAGTCAGTCAGTCAGTCAGTCAGTCAGTCAGTCGTCTTTAATTTAACGGAACTAACAAACATCGCCGCTTCCTCGTCGTCGTCTTATCCTCATCTCAAGCACCGGGAGACGGATTCATCCCGACCCAGCTGCCTCCAGAGGCTCCAGTCCGGAAGTGTGGGCGTTGGGGACGGTCTCTCCGAGGAGGGGGGGGGACAGCCGTTTTATCCTGCACGGTGGTCGCTCTCTCTCACTCTCTCTCTCTCTCTCTCTCGCTCTCTCTCTCTCTCACCTCATCACGACTCGGTGTGGAGGGCTGTTTTTCATCACTGAAGCCTTCCGCATCAGTTCTGTTCAGGGGTCTGACTTCTGTTGGAGGAGATACGGTGGCCGAGAACCGCCACTGCTGCAAATAAAAAAGAATGAAAAAAAAAAAAAAAGAAGCCACAACTGAAGTTTACAATGCAAAAAAAAAGAAACGAAAAAATTGAAGAAAAAAAAAGCCACAACAGAAGGCAACATTGCAAAAAAAGTGGCGATGAAAAAAAAAATAGGATGGGGGGGGAAAAGGCACAACAGAAGTTAACGTCGCAAAAAAAAAAAAAAAGGAAACCAAACCCGCAGCAAATTAAAAAAAGAAATGGTGCAAATTAAATAAAATTTCAAAAACAAAAAAAGCCACAACTGAAGTAAGCAAAGCAAATAGAAGTGGCTATGCAAAAAAAAAGAAAGAAAAAAAAAAGTTCCTTACTGCGAAAATTAAAGGATGAGGGAAAAAAGCCACAAAAGGACTGATTCCTGTTTGAGGGGATACGGTGGCCAGAAGTGCCGCTGCTGCAAATAATAAAGAATGAAAAAAAAGAAGCCACAACTCAAGTTAATGATGCAAAAAAAAAAAAAATCCCGCTGCAAATAAAAAATCGAAACAGTGCAGTTAAAAAAAACGCGAAAAAATTGCTCCTTTTTTTAAAATCTCCATTGTTTCTTTTTTTATTTGCAGCAGGCTTCCTTTTTTTGTTTTTTTCACCAGTCACTTTTGTTGTGACTTCTTTTTTTTGCATTCTTTTTTATTTGCAGCAGTGGCGGTTCTCGGCCACCATAAAGGATCCTCTGCATCTGTTTTCTATAGGGGTGCAGTTTGGGGTTGAGCCTCTAGATGGCGATACAAGGGTGGACTTTGAGGTTGTTTGGTGATATGTTGATGATATTTGAAGTTATTTTTTTTTAATATATACTCAGACAGAAATTTCTGTTGGAGGATCCTGTTGACTTCCTTGGGCTTCGTTTTTCAGTATCTCCTGCTCTGGAGGATCGAAGTCGTCTAAAAATAACCCCAGATGATGTCACGCTGATGTCACCACGACAGGGTCCTCACGGTTGTGTGAAAACTCATGACAGAAAATTGACAGAAGCTCGGACTGAGAGTAGCGCTTCATGTCAGGGGTGCGTCAAAAGGGGCAATGGGTGGCATGAGTCCCCCTGAAACCTGGTCGGCCACCCCAGGTCCCAGCCTGTTAGAGGCGGAGCTTATGCTCAGTTCAAGTTTTTAAGCTATACTGGCTTGTATTAATTTTCTTTTTGTGGCAGTTTTCAGTATGTCCGTTTTCCTCTGCTGTACATGTAATTAGACGTCTTTTTAAAGTCAGTTTAGTACTCGTCTACCTTAGCCATCAAACAAACCTGATAATTTTGAGTCGCTAACAATAATGCTTATAATATTAGTTTACTTATTTGTGGGGCTAGGATAACAGTTTACCTCATTTGCGTGTGTGTGTGTGTGCTATGAAACGGATAACACTTGAAGATAATAAAATTAAAAAGAATAATGCGACAGAACAAAGGGACAAAGGAAAATAAATAAATGAAATATATATATATATGCATACATATTTATATACATATAGATATAGATCGTAGTTCATTCTTTTTTTATCTTTAAAATTTTCCTCTTTTTAAAAATGTTTTAATCTTTTTTTTATTTATTTAATTTTATTTATTTATTTGTTTATTTTTAGCTCCTTAACCCTTGTTTCTTTAAACTGTTTGGACTGTCAGACTTAGACTATGTTCACACTGCAGGTCAATTATGATTTTTTAACCATCTGTGACTCATATCTGATTTTTTCATCTAAGTGTGAACAGGTCAATTCTGATTGGATCTGATCCGACCCAGGCCTCTTCTGTATGTGGATATAAATCAGATATGTATCTGATGTGACTGCAGTGTGGACGCTCAGGTTCATCCGACCTATACGTCATCAATATGCGACAAACGTCACCATTTTTCGACAACACAAACAGGCGCGGGAAGCAACTTGTGCTTTGTGCGCATGAGGGTCACTCATTCACATTAGATGCTGCATTCGTTGTTGTAATGTGAACGACCACACGAAAAGATCGGATTTAACAAAAATCCGAATTGTGCATCAGAACCTTTAGTGTGAACGTAGACTTTCCTTTTATTCCTTTTCAAAACTTCTTCAAACGGTTCATTTGGCCTCGACTCTGACTCTGACTTGGACAAACGTACCCGTAATGACTTGTTGAGCGCTGTAACAGCAATCCTTTATTTAATGCATATTATGACCAGCATAAGCTTTAAAAAAATAACAAACACTTTCATCGCCTTTCATCCTGATTGATATAAACTCCAGCTTTAAGCTCTTTGTGATTAAACTAATCTAACTCTTTAAGTACCGTTCGCAGCCTGCGCTCACTCCCTCTGTTTACTGTGCCGGACTTAACAAGCTCAACAGAGAGTATTACAGAGGGATTACAAACACAGGCTGACCTGAGGAGTTGGACGATCGTTTAACTTGAATATCAAAAATACCTGATTAAAATACAGCTAAGAAGCTTTGTGCTATAAGGCAGCAGTTTCCTTCATATCTCCAGAAGCGCATGTTGGAGTGACGTCAACTTCATTTGGACATCAGACTATCTTCAAGTTCTTCACTGCAGACTCCAGAGTCTAAAAAGAAAATAAAAGTCAAATTATGAAGAGTAACGTTCATGTTTTTAACAAATCAAACATCAGACCACATCAGTGTTGTTGGTACGAGCTCCGGTGTGTGTTACCTTGACGTCCCAGAGGCCCATTCCTCCATCCATGCCAGTGGTGCAGAACTTGGTGCACTGGTTTCTTCCTCCTTCCAGCACTGAGATTTGACTGAAGAATAATGTTTTAGACTCATCGTTAGTCCGCATACAAACATGTGGGTGTCTTATGTTTAACAGAGATACAACAAAACGCCTCAAACACACAGCTGAGTCTAAAACTGAAGGTTTCAATGTGGAAGAACAGCGAAGGACTTATTCGAGGGTATTAGAATAATTTTAATTCCACTTTTATCGCTCCTGATCTGCTGATTTTAAAACTGTCTGGACATAGAAATATACTTGTATCCACAGGACAGCAAAGAGCATATTAAATGTATATATGATAATAAATGAGTGTTTTTCTCATTTTGTTCTCGATTCCTTAAAGACCGAAGTCCAACATTTATACCCTAACATGACTCTGAACATGTTTTTCTTCCTCCTACCTGATGCTGTTCTTGTGCAGGCTGGTCAGGTCCTTATCAGTGGACTGGGTCTCTGAGGCCCGACGGTCCAGGTTCTGGAAACGTTCCCTGGCGCTGATCCCCTTCTGGGCCGCCTGCTTGGGAACGTCCAGCTTACCCCCAAACGCCAGGCTGCCTTTAGCGCTGTCGTACACAAACAGCACCGGGTAACAGTCGTGGCCCTGAAATACAGTCAAAAACAGAGCAAAGACATTTTCATTTAAGTTTTTATTTTCCTCTTTCAACTCATTCAGTGCCAACGATGAATTTGGACGGATTTTTCAGTTTTTTTATTTGTGGTCGGTTTTAATAGTTTTCTGACTTTTTATTGACTTACTTTGTTTTTTAGCGACTGAAGGGACAAATTAAATAATGTGTTGTTTTCAAAAAGCAATGTGAAAGAAGTTTTGGTTCAGCATTTTGTTGTTTTTTTATTAATAGTGAGACGGCAGACGTCAGACTACAAACATCCACACACCGACTAAATAAGTCAGGGTAGACGACGTCTCGGTGCGTCAATGTTTTGGCAGGAAAAAACCACAACATAAATGTGTGAAATTGATAAAAAAATAATAATAATAACCAAGTAACTGTGTTCTGAATCTGTACTGTAAAGGTCTGGAGTACTTACAGCTGCTACGATGCTGTTCTCAGTGATGAAGGTGACACACAGCAGAGGAAGTGTCTCAGAGCTCAGACTGTTCACCCTGTGGAGTCATAAAAAAAAGGTCAGACTGCACACACACACACACACACACACACACACACACACACACACACACACACACACACACACACACACACACACACAGACCACAGTCTCTTACGTGCCGGTCTTGCCTCCCTCGGCGACAGACACTGTGGAGTCATGGCAGGTCCAGGCCAGACGGTTTCCAGAGTGAGAGAAACACACACTGTGCACCCAGCCGCCACCTCCACCTGAAGTCTGACTCGCAGCTCCAGATCCTCCGGACTCAAACAACATCTCACCAAACGGCATCTTGCTGCCCCAGGGGGTGGGACCGGGCTTCTCCTCCACCTCCTTGATGTAGGCGGAGAACACCCTGAGGAGGCCAGAGGGGTCAGGAAGACGACGTAAGGAGGCGAGAAATTAGCTTTGGATTTAAAGGGATATTCCGGTGTAAAATTAATTTAGGGTCAAACACACCGTAACACCGAGTTAGACCCCCCCCTCCAGAGATGAATGTTGTCGACCGCTTGCTTCTCTAGTTATACCAACTTTAGTAACGACCGCAGGATAGAAATACAGAGAGCCACGCCCTCAACTAAAACGCCACTCTATAGCCACAAATAATGCTCAGAACAGCACCTAACTTCATCAACAGGACATATAGGGTCACAGACATAGTACTATATTCAGAGTTGTTCTAACTCCAAAGAAAACAAACTGAAGTGGGGACGTTTCTCCACTTTTATAGTCTGTAAGCTGAGCCAAGAAACTTCTAGTAAAATGAAAAGGTAAAGGTGTTTTTATTGAGCCGAATTATCAATAAAATCCTGATTTTGTTAACAGGTATGGATTTATGTGCTGTTGAGTTAATATATTTGAACAAGAGCACAGTAAAGTTAAATCAGCTAATTTTCCAATGAGGTTCTGTTACTGAACGGAACTGAACCATGTTCTACTGAGGTTAGTACATATAGCCATAGTAGCCATAGTACTAGCCACCAAACATCTTTTTAACTTTGACTCATTTCTTTAGCAAAGAGACTAAACACAACTCACCTACTCTCTTCCAGCAGACGCTTGTTTGTAGCGAGACCTCAGGCCGGTCCATTACGGACCTCAGGCCCGAGATCTCGCTACAAATAAGCAGCTGCTGGAAGAGAGTAGGTGAGTGTTTGACCCTAAATTAATTTTACGCCGGAATATCCCTTTAAATCATTTCAGACAGGAGCTCCTTTCATGTAATTGTTGAGCATGTGAAAGAAAAACAAAAATCTCTCGTGGTCGTCTGGTACCTGCATTTGAAGTCACATGACCCTGCAGCCAGGAGGACATTGTTGGGATGCCAGTCCAGACTCAGGATGGTGGAGCGGATCGGCTTCTTGATGTGCTTACAAACCCACCTGAAGGCAGAAACACCAGAAGACCCCGTGAGTGAAGTTCAGGATTATCACACGCCGTTTTTCTCGTCAATTAGTGGGAGAAAAAAAACCTCACCAGTCGTTTTCCTGCTCAAAGTAGCAGATGGAGATGAGGCGAGAGCCGCTGCCCACGGCGAACTTGTTCTCTCGTGGCGACCACTTCACACAGCGAGCGGCGCGGTTGATCCTGAGGATGACCAGGGTGGGCTTCCACGCGCCCTCTTTGAGGGTCCACACGTAGGCGTTACGGTCGGCTCCACAGGTTACGATACGGTTACTGTCAGGGGCCCAGTCTATACCTGTGAGGGAGACACACCTGTCAGTGTTTACAGCTGTGGTTTTAAAGGAGTAGTTCAACATTTTCAGAAAAACAGACGCCTTCCTCAGACTTCCTTGATCTGCAGTGTAAACGTGATGCTTCGGTTTTAAAGCCGTCTAACTGGACCATATTTTCATGATTCGACATTTCCAGAATAAAGTCAATTTCATGAATCAAATTTAAATTTCGAGATTAAAGTTAAAATTCCAAGACTAAATTCAACATGAATAAAGTCGAAATTTCGCCTGACATCTGAGGTGCAGGCATTACTTAAACCGAGGACCCAATGCGCTCTGGCACATGGATGGCGACGACAAATTTAAGCCATACAGAATTTCATTTCGACTTTTTAAAATTTTGATCTTGAAATTTTAAAAACTTTTTATTTTTTAAATTTCGACTTTAATCTTAAAATGGAAATAAAAAAAAAATCTCCCTCCTGTAATTATTTTTTTCTCTTTATCTTTCGTATGTTTTTGTCTCTTTCCTTTTTTTTGCTTGTTTAAAGTAAAAAAAAAAAATTAAAAAATTAAAATTAATCCTGTATTTTAACTAAATTACAGCCCTCACAGTCAAACAGCTTTGTTATAAAAACTTGTAAAGAGCTGTTTCTCTCTCTGTGTTTGTTTTTGGGTATTTTGTCCTAGATTAGACAGCCGAGGAGAGACAGGAAATGTTTATGTGCCTGTGTGTGTGTGTGTGTGTGTGTGTGTGTGTGTGTGTGTGTGTGTGTGTGTGTGTGTGTGTGTGTGTGTGTGTGTGCGTGTGTGTGTGTGTGAGAGAGCAGGGGTGACATGCAGCAAAGGGCTCTGGCCAGGAGTCAAAACCAGTCTGTTGTGATGAGGACTGTAGCCTCTGTGTGCACATGCTCAGTAGGTGTAGAGTTGAAGGTTTGTGTATTTGTGTTTCTTTGTTTGTTTTGTGTTTCTTTGTTTGTTTTGTGTTTCTTCGGTCGGTTCGAGTCTCTGAAGCTCCTGTTCCTCCTACAAACAGAGACAGGAGTGGGGTCCCTCTCACCTGTCACCTGCCCGTTGTGCTCTTTCAGCTCATGGATCTTGCTCCACTTGGTCCCATCCTTCTTGTAGATGTGGACCTCGTGGTTGTTTGGGCAGAGGGCGATTTCTGAAGCGCAAAGAAAAAAGACAAATTCAGAGAGATCAGGTACGAGGAGAGGAAACAGAGAGGAGAGCTGTGAAGCGAATAAAGAGAAAATACATCAGTGTGAGGACAAAGTCCAAAGATCGAAGGGGAGGAGTTTATGTTGGAGCGATCAGCTGAGCGGAGGAAACTAGATAAATACAGTATGTATCAGCCTGCAGGCAACACACACACACACACACACACACACACACACACACGGTTTCTTTAAATAGACAATGTGCGACCTTTCTTCCCATGGTGTTGTAGCAAACCCTGCACATGTTTTAGTCAGCAGATGAGTCAGAAGCTGTGTGTGCACGTGTGCATGCGTGTGTGTGTGTGTGTGTGTGTGTAGCAGCAGTGGGGGTGCTTCTCTGTGCATTTTTGTTCAGCCTCTAACTGGAGCGAACTTTAGTGTGCAGCTTGCAAGTTGAGTGAAACTACAACTGTATGACTCAAGGACTCGACCACAGCCGCCTGTTACATCCGCTCTGCCCAGAAACTGAAGCTCAGATCAAAACGACCAAATATGGCCTCAGTTTCCTGCAGCTAACGGAGCACAAGAGCCTCTCTCAAAAGGCCTCCGAGTCGCCGCCCTCACCGTTACAGGAAACAGGAAATACCTTCACCCACCTGGGAGCCAATCGCAAACCTCCGTCTAATGCAGGACTTGGACACTCAAGAGTTAGCAAGATCTTCCATGATGTGTGTGTGTGTGTGTGTGTGTGTGTGTGTGTGTGATTTAAACCGTTTGTAACAGAAAGCCAGCAGCCAATCAGAGACGGCGGGGCAGACTCACGGGTCCGATCTTTGTTCCAGGCGTGGCAGCTAATTGGTTCCAGCAGGAAGCTATGGTACGCCATGGCCAATCAGAAGTTCGAACACGGACCAGGAAGTGGTGTGAGGAACCAGCGGCTGGTGGGCTCTGGAAAAAAACAGAAGTCCAAAAATGAGATGAGGAAGAAAACGCAAATGAGAAAATACGATTTGGATGTTCGAAACAGTTTAAAAAGTCAAACTATGAACTCAGATGAACTTTTCTGCACATCCTGAACAAATCTCTGTAAAGCTAACCAAATCCAGACTCTGAGAGGAATGAGAGGAATGATGGAGGTCAAGGGTAACACACATGAAACAACCCCCACCTTAAACTAACTTTACAGCAGCAGCAGCAGGGAGAGAGGAGGAACATCTCCATCATACTGTCCCAGAGTTACATCCTCACTCTGCTCTCCGAGGGAGTTTGAGCTTTAAAGTACCTGTTACACACTTCTCCCTCAACCTGCAATACACTCACCAAGTGTGTGTGTGTGTGTGTGTGAGCAGACTCAGTCAAGTGTGAAATATTTTCTGGACTACTTACCCTGAGGGCTGGACAGAGATGAACGTGTGAGGAGCTGCAGTGACAGAAAAAGAGAGAGAGAGACAGAGAGAGACAAAGGGAGAGGCTGAGGGAGGAAGGCGGCGGATCAGACGGAGATGATGGTGGCGTTCAGCTCGCGGACTCTGGCCAGTCAACACGAACGCCAGCGACAGAGTGAGCTCAGGAAGAGAGAGGGTGAGCTGAAGAGAGGGAGGGAGGGAGGAGAGGTCAGTGGGGGAGGAGGAGGAGGAGGAGGAGGGTACAGTGAAGAGTATGAAGGAAGAACTATACAGGAAGTCTGTGCCGGCCTCTGCTGAAGGGAGGAGAAAAAATCAGGGGTGTAAGGTTTCAAAAATGTGAAAGAAGTGGAGCAAACTTTTTATTCTTCAGAGGAACAAAGAGGAGCAGAGGTGAAGAGCTTTTTTTTCTGCAGCAGTTAAAGGAGAAAGAGGGAGGAGCATGGACACAATACAACCTTCTGAAGGAAGTAGAAGCTGAGGGGGAGAAAAAAAAACGTGAAGCATGAAAGACACAGAAAGAGGGGGAGGGACTTCTGAGCACTTCTGCATAAAGAAAGAGGAACAAGGACAGGAGGAGGGGGGAGAGGGGAGCTGCAGGGAGGGGAGGGGACAGGAGGGGAGGGGAGGAGACTTTAGGGAAAAGTTTTGAATCATCCTCAAGTTCTCTAAAAGTTCTGAACAGTTAGAAAAACCCACTTAAACTTTAAAACAAGCGTAGTCTGGTGTTTTTAACCTGAAGCTGCTTCAAATGAAACTTCATATGAACCAGTACGAGGGGGGAGAGCTGCCATGAGGTCATTTTTTCAAAGAGGAAGTTCAGATGCTGTAACAGCACTGCACTCAGAAAACCAGAAAAGTACGGAAGCCTACTGCAGTCACCAAAAAAGAGCTGTTTTTTAGATATATTTTTATTTCTTTTCTGTTTTTTTGTAATATTTTTTTCTTTACTGTTTTTCAAAGTAACTTTTTTCTGTTTTTCAGAGTATTTTGTTTTTATAAATATTTTTTGTCTTTTGTTTTTCAGATTAATTTTATTCTTTGCTATTTTTTAGATTTTTTTTCCTTTTCTGCTTTTTGTATTTTTTTTCTTTACTATTTTTAGAGTAATTTTTTATTCTTTTCTGTTTTTTTGCAATAATTTATTCTTTTCTGTTTTTCAGAGTAATTTTTTTTTTCTTTTCAAATTTTTGGAAAAAAAAATTTTCTGTTTTTCTGAATTTTTTTTTTCTTTTGTTTTTCACAATTTTTTCTGTTTTTCAGATATTTTTTCTTTTGTTATTTGTAATATTTTTTCTTTACTTTTTTAGTGTAATTTCTTTTGTTTTTCTGAATATGTTAATCTTCTGTTTTTCACAGTAATTTTTTTTATTCGTTTTTCAAAACATCTGTTTTTTGTTACACTTTTTTCTTCACTGTTTTTTTTTTTTAGAATATTTCTTTCTTTTTTATCTTTTGGAATATTTTTTTCTTTTTCCATATTTATTTTTTCTTCTTTTCTGTTTTTCGGAATATTTTTCATTCTTGTCTTTTTTTTCAAAATATTTCCTTCCTTTTTTAATTTTGGGTCATTTTTTTTCTTTTCTTTTTTCAAAATATCATGTGTCTTTTCTGTTTTTTTTGGTGTATTTTTTCCCCAATTTTTTTCCGACTCTTTTTTGTTGTTTGTTTTAGCAGATCTGCATGCGGTGGAATCCCAGTATCTCAGTCTGTTACATAACCAGCAGAGAAAACTCATGTATCTTTTATCAACTTCAAGTTTGTCTCATTTAGGGTGATCATATGTCCTCTTTTTTCGGGGGGCTGTCTTGCTTTGTCCGGGGGAGTTTACAAAATCCTTCAAATGTCCGGAGTTTTGAGTTTGTGTTACGTGGACTTACTGAGTTAGAAGCGCGTAAAAAACCCTCAAAACTTAACAAGCACAACTCCGTGACTCCGCCCCCCATGCCTCAGAATATGGTCACCCTAGATAAGTGTTTTTTTTGCTCTGGTCATTTGTATGACTTCAAATAAACGTCATTCCCTTCACCTCCCTGTGTTTTCATGACTGACTGACGATAGTGCACACCTGCCACACACTCGCACGGTCCCAGTCTCTGATTCAGCTGCAGCCCAGAGAAGCGCCAACGTGATCATAGAGGAGCGCTGACATTTCAAGGGTTTCTTCTCCAGCTCCTTCCTCCTCGTTGTACTCGACCCGCCCAGTAATCAGTGCAGTCAGGAATCACAGGGTTGGCACAAATGATCATTTTCCTCTGACCATCCAGCAGATCCTCTGAAACTGGGAGAAGAACTGAACACACTGACTTACACGGTGACAAAGGAAGAGAGCAGTCGAGGAGCTTGAGTACTGTAAATGTATTTTATCTTTATTTCATGTCTACCTCATGATCAGTTACATAGAAATCCTCCATCTTGTGTGGTTTTAGTGAAGTAGCTACAGAGCCTAGTGCTGCCGTGACTCTGTCCGCACAGAGTTCAGACAGCCGCTTTCTCTCTCCACCATCAGATCCTGAACGGCTCCCTACAGCTAACCAGCAACACCAGCTCTGAGTATCAGGATCCTGAAGGATAAAACATCACACCCTCCGATCTTCTAACCGTTCATATCCAGAGATGGTGTTGGGGTTAATCTGTGTGGAAAAACAGGCTGATTTTTGGATAAAACGCACCTCTTAGTGTCGAACTTTTGGTACAGGAGGTTAGAGAACATAAAAACACACATTTCACGTCACGTTTTAATACGTGTCAGAGGACCTTCTCACTTTGACACCTGGTTAACCTTCATTTAAAAACAAACGAAAAAAAAATCAACAGTGATGTCACACGTCAGCTCAGAGTGTGTGTGTGTGTGTGTGTGTGTGTGCGTGTTTGTTTACTTTAGTGTGTGTGTTTGATAGTGTTTTCTCACACTCACGGAGAGTGCGTTATGGTCTGATCAGTGCTTCAGCAGACACTCGATAAGGTGGTCAGTTATGTGTGTTACTGGCTGCGTCGCAGGAGCAGAGGGGGGCGGGGTCGGGAGGCGGGGAAGGGGGCGGGGCGAGGGGGGAGAAGTGAGGCCGCAGCGTCTCTTCATTCATTCACGAGATTTCTTCACATGATGCGGAGACCCTGGATAGAAGCTTCTAGACTCTGGAGGAGGAAACACAGACACACACAGAGGAGTCAGAGCTGAAGAGAGAGAGACCTCCGAAGAGGGTCTGGGTGTGTGTGTCAGTGTGTGTCAGTGTGCGTCTGTGTGCGTCTGTACCTTAAAGTCCCAAATGGTCATTGCTCCGTCGATGCCTGTGGTGCAGAACTTGCGACAATCCCTTTTGTCTCCCTCATAGATAGACACTTGGCTGAAGAGAAGACATATGATAAACTTTAAAAAGGGTTCAAAGTCGTGTTTGTTATTATTAAAGTCACAGTCACCTGTGATGGGAAAGAAACATCCTGATCCTCACAGACATTCAGAAAAACTCATGAAGAAAGAAAGTCAGTAGGGCGGCGACGATTAGTCGACAAAAATCGATCATGAAAAGTCGACAATCTATTCCATCGTCCACTATTGTGGCCAGACGTGTTTTTTTCCAGTGAAGTGAGGCATCTTACTTCACTATAATCTCACATGTGCAACAGCGTCTCTGCCGAGAGGTAGGGTATTCAAACATGGCAGCAGATACGAGTACGCGCTTAAAAACCTCTAAAGTTTGGTTGTTTAGACCTTGAGAAGATTCGTTCCTCGGTTGCAGGTCATGACAGAAAATTCAAAAAGGTTTGGGACCTTTTCTGGACTACATTCAGAAACTCTCAACATTTTGAATCAGCGCTCTCCCCTTCTAGTTGTTTTCTTTTTGAAATATATTTCTGTGATGTTTTATAATCATACAATTTAAATTCTTACCTCTTTTACGGACTTTTTCAGTTTCCAGCAACTTGTCTACATTTGTATTTCTCTTCACCTACAGTAGTTCATTTAACTTATTTTCTTCCTAAACTTTTATTTCTCAACGTCTTATATATTTCAAGAACCTGAATGACAGCACCCACTTTTTTTTTTACTTTTGTTTTCGCTCCAGAATTTGATATTTAAGCACAGTAACAGGAATATCCAGTAGAAGACGGGGTTTTGAGGGAAAGGGGTGAGTTTTTATTTTCTGTTGATTTTGGCGGCTACTACGGACTGTCTGTCTGTCTGTCTGTCTGTCTGTCTGTCTGTCTGTCTGTCTGTCTGTGTCTGTCTCCGGTGTGGAGGAGCTTCTGCAGCTTTAGCATGACACGGTGTCTGCAGGAGTCTCCTGCTGTAAGACGTTTGTGTAGTGACAGTAATATGTGTGTTTTTTTTTTTAGTGCAGAATAAAGAGAAAAAATGCGTGTGTTGTCTCTGGTCTGAGTGCCGTAAAACATTTCGTTTGTGGTCCCGACCCGACCACTCGCTCCCGTTTGGAAATAACTTATCTTCACACAGATGGGCTCATTCGCTGTTAAAGGTGACGGGGAGACATCAGCAGAAACGAGAGATTTTTTCAAATCGAGTTAAAAGTTCCTCACAGGAAGTTTAAGAAAAAACTCAAAATCACACGATTAAAATAGTCGTTAGTTTCAGCCTTAAAATCCAGTGAGGAACAACAACAGAAAACTACAATGTGAGGTTCTTGAACTTCATTATGTGTACAGAGTCAGACTGTGACAGGGGGCGCTGCTGGCCTGGAGGTACGAGCGTGTGTCCCATATACAGAGGTGACGCCTGGAGCGGTCGGCCTGGATTCACTTCCAGCCTGAGGCACGTCGTTCCCCGCCCTCGCTCTGTGTCCCTCTCTACCCACTGTCCTATCCTCTCCACAGTCAGACAGCAAAAACACTGAATCTGGATCACGGCAGACTTGGGTTCAAATGAGCTCCTGCAGTACGTGACGTTCAGTGAAAACCCTTTTCTGAACTTTTCAAAAGGTACTTTTATGTACGCTGATCCTGAGGGACTTACGTGATGCTGTTCTGGTGCAGTGTGTCCAGGGCAGTGTTGCGGTCCTCGGTGGTGGCTCTCTTGTCCATGTTCCTGAAGCGCTCCATAGCCGAGATGTTCCTCTGGATGCTCTGCTTGGGGAGGTCGAGCTTGGACACAAATGTCAGCGTTCCACCATCGTCGCATCGGAACAGCATGGGGCAGCAGTCGTGGCCCTGAAGACGCAGACGGAGGCGTTTCCATTAACATCCATCACTCGCTGTATGTGTGTGTGTGTGTGTGTGTGCGTGCGTCTTCTTACCGCAGCTACTAGACTGTTCTCTGAAACAAAAATGACGCTGAGGAGGGGGAGGAACTCCGTCTTCAGCTGTGAAGGACTGAAAACACAAAAATCAGTCAGACGTCATCCTGCTGAGAACATTTGAACGTTTGTGTCGTTCGATCAAAACCTCAAAGATTAAAACTGTTTTTTTTTTTTAAAGCTGCTGTCGGTGCAGGTTTCCAGTCTGAGCTCGTTTTTATCACTGCCTCTGCAATTTATGTCACCTGCACTTTGTTGACAACAGCGTATCATTATTATGTAAGTGTGGCTCTGGAGCCGACTCGCCTGCTGTTTACCTCACTCACACACAGAGAGAACATGATCAGAGACCAACGACCAGATCACCAAACACACCTGGAGAAGTTCCTCTGTGATCTATTTCATCATGACTGTGTGGGACTCAAATTTCAGATAATTCAGAATATTGAATCTCATTCACCCACTTATCATAACTCTGTTAATCTGAAAGACTAATCCCTCCATCTCATCCCTCATGGTTCAGGAGATTAACACTCCTGTCAGTTTTAATGATCTGAACCAGAATTTCACAGTTGTCCTGACCATCACCAGTGTTTCCCCTTGAGTGTATTCGGCGCCCCGCCCTGCCAACGAGATCCCAACACAGAAATTGAAGTTGTAGAATAATACATACATTTTTATTTTTATCAGAACGACCTATTAAACTATAATTTGTGCAATTTCAGACTCTAAAGCTTTCAATCTGTTCAAACTGTTCCTCTCCGCTCGCTCCATCTCACAACATAAACGCGTGCTGACATGCCGCGCCGCGTAGTTCAGAGGCGCGGCATGTCAGCACCACTGATTCTGGTATTCTGGTCGCGAGCGCTCGCCGCTCATACCCTGCCAGTTTTGCGCAGGATGGTTTTGACAACCCGGGACTCTGGCTTCTTTCCATCATGTTTGCCGCCAACAAAACCATTTAAAAAAAACTGGTCTTGGAGCATCGAACTGTCCCTGAACGTTGAGCACCGCAACTGAACATTCCTGCAAAAAAGACGGTAGTCATGCGGACGCCACACAGTCTCTTGTAGTCCTATCAATTTGTGCTAGCCCTGAAAACAGCGCTGGCTCATCTCCCTCCACCCTGCATGACGTAGACATACATCATCCTCCCCCCTGCCCTGCCAAAGTAGAAAAGCTAGAGGAAACACAGATTACTGTCTTTATGTTCAGTGTGCCCAATAATCACATTTTTTAGAGACTCTTCTCGTGGTTCTCCACTCCATCTGAGCGGCAGTAGCGAGCAGTTTTGCAAAGTCGTTGACTTGCAGAGGCAGGACCCCTCCGCCTTCAGCTGAGTCTGTTTTTGAGCGACAGAACGTGGGGATGGTTCGGAGAAACTCAGACTAGTTCGATAAACTGGAACCCTCCACAGGTGGCAGTAACACACAGAGTAAAGCAGGAATGCCTCATCGGTTGGATTTGATTGAGCTCTCTAAGAGTTTTCTTTGGACATACCTGGCAGTCTTTGAGCTGTCCACCACAGTGACAGTGCTGTCGTGGCTGACCCAGGCCAGGCGGTTCCCAGAGGCTGAGAAAGAGACTGAATGGACCCAACCCCCTCCACCTAACCGACACAGAGCGCATGAAAGAGCAGATCCAATTAGACTAAAGGGACTCTGTAGGAAAGAGCATTTTTACTGTCGTACACAAAGACACGGATACAGACCCGCTCCTCCAAATTCTGCTAACACAGCCCCAAATGGCATCTTGCTGCCCCAGGGTGTGGGGCCTGGTTTCTCTTCCACCTCCTTAATGTAGGCTGAGAACACCCTGGAGGCCCGAGGGGGAGGGGTGAGAAGAGAAGAGAAGAGCAGGAAAAAAACGTGAGTATGGAATAAGCAAAAAAAAAAAGAGCGAGAATGATGGGAGGATTTCGAGCAGTCATTCGTTTTTTTCTCACCTGCATTTGAAGTCACAGGATCCAGCAGCCAGCAAGATGTTGTTGGGATGCCAGTCCAGGCTGAGGATGGTGGAGCGGATGGGCTTCTTGATGTGCTTGCTCACCCACCTGAAACATTAAAAACAATAAAATTAAATAAAAAACACCCGCAGATGTGTTCATAAAAAAAACTTCTACTGCATACAAGAACAAATCCACGGCTCAGAGACGGGAACAATTTTAGAAGTTCACCAAAACTTCACTTCTGTCTTTATTGTCTACATTTCATGGGCCAGAATGAATAAGACCGAGTGGTTCAGTGTTTAGAGTCGTAAATCTTTCTACTGCTGGACTGGATCTTTGTTGACAGATTCAACCAGGGGATGAAAGGAAAAACTTCAGGGTTGTCAATGTGTCTAAAGGAGATACTGTAAATAAAAACACTTTTTTTTTTAAAATACAAAAAGGTGTTAAAAGAACTGATTGATACTCTTAAAAGTTTCCACAGATGTCATATTTAAAAGCAGAAATCAAGATTTCCTAAAAACTCTCACCAGTCGTTCTCAGACTCAAAGTAGCAGACAGAGATGAGTCGAGCACCGCTGCCCACTGCAAACTTGTTCTCCAGTGGGGACCACTTGACGAAGGTGGCTGCTCGGTTGATCCTGAGGATGACCAGTGTGGGCTTCCATACCCCCTCTTTCTGGGACCACACGTAGGCGTTACGGTCTGCTCCACATGTCACTATACGGTCACTTTTGGGAGCCCAGTCGATACCTGTAAACACACAGGAAGAGTCGTCACTGACTGACCGTCGTTACAACCACTAAGTTCAAGAAAATACCAGTAAGATTCCTGGGAATGAAGTGAATCGAATGAACAATGGTGGTTTAATCCGCTCTTGTTTAGAATGAGTCAGGGTTTGTCACAGGGACACAAAGAAATGAAACATCCCATTATTCACTGACAATGAGGGTGAGAAGTACCTGTTATGTGTCCATTGTGCTCCTTCAGTTCATGAGTCTTAACCCACTGGTTACCACTCTTCTTGTAGATATGGACTTCATGGTTATTGGGACTGATGGCGATTTCTGGAGGGAGAGGAGATTAAAAAGAAGCAGGTTTTAGAGACGTACGTATTTTATTTTTCTATCTAAACTTGAGCTGAAATAATTAAAATCACTCTTTAAATCAGATTTATCAGTCAAGTGTGTGCAGAGGGACAAGTTCAATAAAAGGTAGCACAAAAACTTAAACACTAACATCTTGACTACTACTTAAATTTAACATTTTTATTGAATACAAAAAGAACAAAAATAGTGCAATAAAAGGTGCACAGGTGCTCAGACAGATACAGCTGCAGAAGAGACCGCTACAAGGGCGAAATGGTTGTAGAGTCAACAATAAAGTCATAACATGGATATCAGCAGGTGATGGTCTACGCTGCAACAATATGACTGACAGATGAATTCTAGCTGAGGAGATACTCGCTATTCCATACAATGAAAAAAAGGTGGGTACATATATATATATACACTGACCTGCCACATTACAAACACATGAGAAACCTAGTGTAACCCAATATGACAGTTCTATCAATAATTCTTTTTCAGCAAGGTTTCTATATTTATATTTTTTACACAGTCAGACAGGTGAGGATTGGTCTTTAAATCATCCCTCGGCGGTGTACTAGAGCGCACAAACCTGAACATGCTCCTTATATTACACTCCCCTCAGGCTTGGTAAGGGAGATCCCAATATACAAGAACATATTTCAATTTAACACACTCCAGTACACCACCACCACCCAAAAAAATCACCTGTTTGATCATGCCAGCAAAAAAAGTGTGATTTATAAAAGAGCTGTTTAACTAGATTAAATTAAACTGGTGTTTATAGTTACATATAGAGCTAGTTGTGTTTAACAGTATCAGAGAAAATGAGAAAAAATGTGAACATATAGGACATCAGCAGAGATTTTTTGTGCATCCCTATTAGAGAATTTAAGGTATTTACTGAAGATGTGGACAGGCCTTAAAAAATTTGAAAATGATAAAAACAGAGGATGACTATAAATAATAAACAACATGTTCAGGGTCGATTTTTTAACTATTTCAGGGTCCATCCTTATACACTTTAAATCCAAGTTTAACAATCTTGAAAATAGTCTGTGTGTATATGCATACGTACTCTTGTAAATATGTATACTTGGGTGCTCGTCTTGAATTAAGGGTTACGTTGCACTTTTTTTTTTCTCTTCTTTCTGCTTTATCTTGAATTTATGTGTTAATATGATTTATGTGTGATCACATGAAAATAAAACTAAATATTATGTCAAAAAAAAAAGAGAAAGAAAATAGTGCATGGAATAGTGTAATTTTAGGGCTGAAACTCCACATCAGCTTTAGTATTGGTAATTAATGGCACCACAGTCACCATTCAGGCCTGGTATTTAGAGTAAGAGTTGGTGGTGGTTCATTCAAATGAGGGATGGGTCTGTGTATTATCCGTCCATTCAATTATTCCATTCAATTTAGTGAAAGAAAAACTAAAAAACAGGTCAATATTTTGTTTACTTGTTTTTCAAATTGCATAGCTCACCAGGGGGATACGCTGTTTGAGCCGAGCGTCATCACAGCAACTCTCCCGCCGAATGCGCATAATGCTACTGAGCGATGTTGGTTTCAGGAAATGAAGAGAAATCTTCGAAATACCGAGAGCTTTTTGGCTTCAAATCTGTATACTGACGGGAGGCGGAACCAAGTTGTCCATAGTATATACAGTCTATGACGTATACTCAAAACAGGCGCACTCAAAATTAATAATTGTAAATTAGATTTATTATTTCATTTTCATTTCCTTCTCTATTATATATTCATGTTATGAGCTGAAAATGCGAAAACAAACACTTTTTTTTTCTTTTTGGTTAAACAGAAAAACAAATTGACAAAATATTGACTCTTTTCCCTCATTTTTCATTTACAATACTGAATGGAATAATTGAATGGACGGATAATAATACACAGACCTATAGGGTGTTATCGAAGACTTACGTGTCCTGTCGCGGTTCCACGCGTGGCAGGTGATGGGTTCCAACAGAAACTGATGAAGGGACATGTTGTCTGGGTGTGGTCCTTAAGTGGAACTCTGCGAAGTCACACAACAACAAAAACTTAGTTCAGCAGTAGAGAGGAGCGACAAAGTCATCTGAACTTTGCTCCTGTCGGCTGTAAAAAAAATTAAATATTCAGTAACTTCGAAGACAGGCTCACTGTTCTGTTTCTAACCATGATGTTGGAGACACCCTTCTACAGGAGGTGTTGTCTAGAATACACTGATTAAATAATGCGAAATACTCCTTTAATAAACCAACCATAACGTTTTGTTAGCTAAATAAAATCATCAAGCTAACATTAGCAACCTTAATTCCACCTTATTATCAGTTTATTTTTAGTGGCATGTTTTATTAAATGATTTTCAGACCCGGAGTTGCTTTACTTTGTAGGTAACTCTAATATAATCATGACTCGGTTAGTTTTTCCCAGTAAACTGACTCCCACCGATCCTATCAGGGTGGACTAACTGCTAACAGCTAATGCTAACAGCTCGCCGGTGTTTCGCGGGCCTTGCAGACTCACTGGTAAACCGAGAGAATTAAATATGTGTTTCTGAGCATGAATTCACCAGCAGGCCTTCTTTTACCACATCACACCTCGTTTTTTCTTCGTTAGGGATGCCTTTACTCGAGTAGATAGCCGCTCCCTGAGCCGTAAATTCCGCTAGCCGCTCATGCTAACTCACCTCGTCAGTCCGGTTCTTCGAGTCTGCACCCTCGTTAGCCGGCGAGCTAAGTTAGGCTAGCGGGGAAAAGGTTCGATCAGGAATGGACCTGAATTCGCGGACTCTGGGCAGTCGACACGAATTCGTCCGGGAATGTTGAGGGAATGTCAAGACGACCAGTAGGATACGACCGGGAGCATCCGGCAGCTAAACTCGGCGGCGAGACCCGTGGATGCCTGGGCTGACAGCTAGCTTAGCATCATCACGCTAGCTGATACATTCAAGTGAAAATCCACGGCGAAGTCCCGGACACCGACTACGACGAGAGCACGAAAGAGCTCCTCTAGTGGTTCAAATAGAAACACAGAAAAGTGGCCCAACCTGTTTTCAGTCAGAAACACAAAAACACCCTCATCTAATGCATAGTTTAGCCGTAAATCAGCAGGGCAGGGGCTGATCCAGGGCGGAAACTTCAGCAAACTGAGACCGGGGAGGGACCCACAACCCCGGGCCAGGCCTCACCTTTATGCTTACCTGTTGATGAATTATTGTTTTGTTTAACCTCAGAACACTAAAATTAGTAACATTAGTGATTTTTACCCGAAATAATATACACAAGAAAAAATACTTGTCCCCAAAATATCAAAATAGTACAATACATGACAAATTAAAGTAGTTTTCTTTTATTTTTAACTGTGCAATGTCCAAAGAGAGGGGGGAAAGTGCCATAATAATAACTTCATTTGTATAGGACTTTTAAAAAACAGTTTACAAAGTGCTTTAACATGTAGTCATAGAGCACCTAAACAAAGTTAATGATATAAAATTGAGACTAAAAAGGTATGTTTTGAGTTTGGTTTTAAAGTCATTAAGACTAGTTTCAGTCCTCAGGTCTTCAGGTAAGCCGTTCCATAGATGGGGGCCATATTAATAAAAAGATGTCTCACCTTATGTTTTAGTTTTAACTTTAGGGAATGTTAACAGAGAACTTCCTGAAGACCTGAGGACTCGACCTGACTCACTGGACTGGATTTTTCAACAAAAAGATTTAGTTTACAAGTTAATCTGAATCTTTTAAAATTTAAGAAATTCAATTAGATCTGAATCAAATAAATAACACTCAAAGTAATCTCTCTTATTTCAGCCGGACTATCACTTTTAAGGTCATTCAACTCATGGACCAATCAGAGAAGGGGACAATTATCTTCTCTGCATTGCACCTGGTGGATCTGCAGCTCAAGTCCTGCTAGCTGCAGACATCAACACCCACTCACACCCTCATTTTTCCTGTAAAAGCTGCAAAACCTAAATGTTGAGAATGGAGTCATTGTCAAAGGTGGATGAGCCATTTCCTACACCTCCACCTTACTTCTTACCAGGTAAAGTCCTCTCTCAAACTGTTCGTGTTACACATCTGTTTTCCCTCCACAAACGAATGTAACATCAACTTTTTTCAGATGAAAGTCAGACAGGACATCACGTGTCAGTGTACCACATTCACTCTCCTTTCACCCCTCCACCACCTCCGTCCTTCTCCTTTTCCCCTGGAGTTGCCTGCTCCACCCAGAACAACACACCTGTACAAGGTATGAGCACACTTAATCTCCCTCCATTCTGACAGTCTGGGCTTGAGTTTCACCTTTTGTTCACTTTAGATTTCAGTACAAACTTTCCACAACAGCCATTTCGGTGGTTTTTATCACTGGTATCACAGTTTAGATGTGAGTGTTTTTTATCCTTCTTTGTCCTTTCTCTCTAGTAGGTGCTCTGTCTACTCCTAGACCAAAGTTTGTGAGCTATGAAACTCAGCTGCACCGCTACCCGGCTCTGACAACCTGCCCGTCCTGTCAGACTCAGGTCACCACACAGGTCACCTACCAGGTCGGCACTTTCGCGTGGCTCATGTGTCTGGTGTTTGTGTTATGCGGGTGAGAACAGACTCATACAAACTGCCCTCTGTGTTTAATCTAATTACCCAGCATCAATCACCCTGCACACGCTCACAAACACACAGTCAAGCTGCAGATATTGATGTTGTTTCCGTCTCCCAGGTTGCTGTTTGGATGCTGTCTGATCCCGTTTTTTGTGAACCGTTTCAAGGACGCCTTTCACACGTGTCCCCGCTGCCGACGGGTCCTTCATGTGCACAAGAGGACCTGCTGTGATTCAACGCTGATATGACTCGACTTCTTATCGCAGCAAAGGTCCAAACTGATGATCACAGTGAAATGAATGTGAGTGTTTTAGAGTCAGTCAGGATGACTTGAATGTGAAGATTGTGTTTGAATGTATAATATATTAGGAGAAACCCAGTAGTCCCTATTGTTTACAGTTCTGAGATTTTTAACTCTGATTTTTTTTATCATGTTTTGTAACAAAAACTTTCAAATAAATGTTTTTCTGTGGCAACAAATGTTCATGCATTGTTGTGTAAAAAAATACGGTGTTCCTACGCAGGTATGGAAAAGTATGGAAGTAGTTTTATCAGTTTCCAGGTCCTAAAAAGTATGGTAAATGAAAAATAAAGTATGTAGTATAAAGACTATTACCAAAGTTCTAAAATACTGTTTTCTAAAAATATAAAAGTCGGTATTTCCAAGATAATTCAAAAAAGTGGGGTATGGAAAAGTATGGAAGTTCCAACTGTGTAGGAACCCTGAAATTATCCATTAGCTCCAAGCAAGTGGCACATCTCATTTAATTAGAATATAGTGAAGGAGAATTTTTTTTTCTTGAAATTCATAAAGACAAACTTTTATAATCTAATTTTCATGACATGCAAAATAAAATAAAATTTCATTATTTGCACAAAAATATCAAACTTCTGAAAAGTGTGTTCCTGGAAACAGACTCTGTTTAGTCTGGGCTTCTTTGTCAAGAACAGTCGTGTTCCTCAGCCCCCGACTCTGCTGAGGTGTTACTGAAGTCCAGCTGTGATAGGAGTGGACTCCAGCTTGTCTTGTCATTCTCAGCCTCCTAGATTTTCTCTGAGGTTCTGATCAGACAGCTGCTCAGATACTGACATACACAGGATCGATTCAGTTTGTAAGTTATTTAAAGTCCAAATGAAGTATTCTTCTATGTTTCTAAATTATGAGATCTTAGCTGTAATCATCGAAACAAAAAGAGAAGAAATAATGTGTTTGTTTGAGCTTGGATGTAACGAGTCCAGAAATAATTAAAATGTAACTTTCTTATGTAACTGATGGGAGATATTGAAAAATATTTAAACCTTGGAATGCTACACAAATAAAACATTTACATATTCTCTCTTCTGAATGAAAACTTTTGTCAAATATAAAAAATTGTAATTTTAGAGAACGTCTTTCCCAAAGCCTCAGAGCTTCTTTTCGTCCCATTTACAGACCCACTCTGATGAAAATCAGGTTTTTCTTGTTGTCTACATGTTAATTTTTCTGATACTACAGGATACATCATGAGAAAAATAAGTGCGAAATTGTATTTCTGAGTATTTCTGCATTCAAATCTCTGTGAATCTCTGGCAGACCCAAACAGCAGATTCAGCCACAGTGAGATTTCTAACGTAGCAAATCCAAGCTCCGCCCCCAGAGCACCGCTGTACAGGCCAGACTCGGAGAAGTAGAGAGGACGATCGCAGAACAAGTGTGTGTGTTAGCAGATTGCAATGATTGTAAGAAAGCTAATTATGATATTAACTTTCATCATGTCCTTGAAGACATTAGTGTCTCAGAGCTGAATAGCTCCTATGTTACCTGCTTCTTCTACTACACCGGCAATGTTAGGCTACAAGCTAGCATGAGGAGGAGTATGCAGAGCAGCGCTGACTCCGCGCACGACTCAGAGGTGACTTGTTAATGAGCTACTGGAGCTCTGCAGAAGAAAAGTCTTTGAAAATGACACAGGTAATACAACTCTTGGTAAAAACTTTATAATCACAATTCAAAGACCACTGGGAACAGTTTAAGGAGTAAAAAATTGATTGTAGTGGGACTTGAAGCTATTTTTAAGTGATTTTCTTGATTCTTTTACGAGCTCCGATTAAAATCTTAATATTTTAAATTTGTATTAGAATGAATAAATTAAACATAAAATACTGAATGCAGCTTAATGAATATTTACTTATCTCCACACATGTGGATGTCATGTTTGGAAATCACTCTGCAGGTTTTTTACATTAGATGGAGATAATAAGAGGATTTCCTGTGGAGAAGTTCGTACATGAACTTGGAGTCACTTCATTATTTGTCTCTCCATCAAACTAAAGATCAGGATCACGCTGAGCTGAATTGGGTTTTAGTGATTAATCCATTTCCTCCAGTCGTCTCTGTGCAGATACTGATGGTCACCTGACTTTCTCCCTGCTCATCATGACAGCCGCTCTGGATTAAGCCTGCATGTGCACTTGTACGGTGCGTCCCGAGGATTAGAAATGTGCGTTTATTTTAGATCTTTGAGCCCTCAGATCTTGAGGTCGTGCACGCCTTTCTCAGAGCGCCAGGCCCCGCCTTCCTGCCTCTCAGGTATAAGCTTTCTGCTACTCCAGGGTAGATGAGCTCGAGTGAATCCCAGCGGAGACGTACAGCTGACCCCTGCATGGAGGAGGATGCACCAGAGGACCTCTCCTCCCTCAGTGAATCACTCTCCTCCTTAGTCTCCTTCTCGTCTCCTTTCTTTAAACACTTTGAGCGTAAAACTGAGCTTCTCTCCTATCTGATCCTGTGCATTGCCAAAATGCCGTTCATCCCACCTGTGTCGATCGCTCGATCCGTGTCAGGACTGACCAACAGGGAGAAACACATCAACAACTCTTTGTCTGCACCGACTTTAGGAAAAGCGAAGCTCCAAAGAGAGGACAAAGGCAACTCGGTGAAGGAGAGACTGACTTCAAACTTGAAGCAGCTGGGGAAGAAGAGTCAACCCAGGAGTCATCTGCAAACATCCAAAGGTTTGTCAGGAGCAGAGCTGCACACCAAGAGAAGAGACCGACTGTTCCCTTCATCGCAGACGGACAGTGTCCCCGGCTCCAGCTCAGGGGAGTCCCTCTCTAAACCACAGCAGCACAGACACACCAGCCAGAGCTCTTTAAAGAGTGAACCAGAGGTGAAGACCAGAGTGAGGCACCAGGAGGAGGCCCGCTTCACCCTGACCCTCACACCCGAGGCCGTCCTGCTGCTGCAGAGGAGGAACAGCGAGAGACGTCAACATTCGGCCTCAAGAAACACTGCCAGTGTTTCTGGGAGCGCTTCAGAGACGAGGCGCAGGAGGGAGAACGTCTCCAAGAGGCATCAGCAGACCACGCAGAGACACTCCGCCCAGAACAACGGCGTGGAAACTAAACACAACTGTGATGCTGAGCTGGCGGACATCAGCTCGTTTGTGAAAATCTCACTGCTGAACGAGAAACACAAGTACGATGATGTGGAGTACGAGGACGAGGACGACTACGGTGTGGATGAGCGGGTGGTGCTGAAGTGTACAGAGTGGCTCCGTGGGCTGGAGAACTCACCTGTGACAGTGGGGAACAGTCTGAGTAAGAGCGCAGGTGGGGTGAAGAGTTTCTGAAGAGGGAGGTTCAGATGCAGCTTCTGTTTTTGTGTTTGTTAGTTTCTGCGTGACGATGCCCATGGATTAGAGCTTTTAACTTTCCCATGATGCCTACGTGTTTTTCTTTGAAAGGCTTTACAAAGTCTGAACAGACACTTCCGTTTGTTTGGAGAGTTTTCAAACATCATTTTCCAGCCAAAGGAAAGGTGACGATGACCCCTGCGCGTTTAGATTCACCAACAGTGTTATTGTGTGCAGGGAGTGATGCTTTAATCCAACATGGTTAACATTAGAGCAACGTCTCTTTGTAGATTATAAATCAGAGACACAGTTCACCACTGAGATTAAAAGTGACTTATGATACAGAGCTGAACCTGCAGCTGTGTGGGGGGGTCCTCTTTAGGGTCTCCTCAGGGAGGGGTGAACCTGCGGCCCCTCTCTGCTAACATGCCTACATGCTTGACCTAATGCTGTGTAATCCAAAATGCTGGGCAGGACCAATGTGCTTCAGAAAGACCAGAATAAAAGAGTGTTTTTTATTTTACTCTAGAGTTAATGTTTTATTTGTTTTATCCTGTTTTTAAAGGGATCGTGTAAAATATCAAATATACCTGTAACCATTTGAATCGTTGTACTGGAGTTGGCTTAAAGCTAATTTGCGTAATTTGCGCATTAAAGTTCTGTGTGCACGTGCGTGGGATATTCCCATTAAATACGAGGAAACAGCCTTTATAATCAAAAGTTTAATCTTGGTATTTTACTGATTATGAACAACACATTATGACAAACAACAAATATACACTTTATATGCTGGAATGTGATGATTCTTGGTCCTGAAATCAAGTTTGTCAATAAGTTATAATTATTTCTGTAAAACTCTCCTGAAGTTTGTAACAATACAAATCTGTGAGACTCCTGTAAATAAAAAAGGTCAACCTCTCTGAGTTCTCTGGTACTTTAAAATGCTGGTGTAATGTAGATAATAAAATGTAGATCAGGCTCATCTCCTCTGCAGCACGGTTCATGTGGACTCAGTGTAAAGAGATTAGAGAGGACTTAGACATCAGCTGGGTGGTTGTCGAACATCGCCCTCGTGCACACACCAGGTGTGCCTGGAGGCGGCTAATCCACCGAGGACTCGAGTGTTACAACACGTGTGTTTGTTTACGAGGACGAGACAAAGAGACAGAGAGGCGCTTTGATTTTAAATCATAAATAAATTCAGTTTTTTCACTCAGGAGAGTTTATTTACAAAAGAGGATCAGGGCCACAGGAAGAGAAAAAAATAATTACAGGAGGGAGATTTTTTTAATTTCCATTTGGAGATTAAAGTTGAAATTTAAAAAAGTCGAAATATAATAAATTAAAGACCTTCAAGTCTGTCTGTTTTTTTCTTCTGTCGAGTCAAAATCCTCGACTCGGTCTTTTCAGAGTCCAAAGATTTATGACCACACTGTGTTTGTGCCCTAAAAGAACGAGGATTTCCTTATTACTGAATCCAGTTCTAAAGAACAGCTTTACAAACTCTTCTACATGTGATGAGTGACAATAGTGGTGATTTATTAAAGTTAATCTCAACATTATGACTTTATTCATGAAATCTCTTCTTTATTTGCGTCAACTTTAGTACTCTTATTTCGACTTCAATCTCATAATTTCTATTTTAATCTTGAAATTTCGATTTATTACATGAAATTTCAGCTCTATTCATGTCAACCTAATCTCGAAATTTTGACTTAAATCTTGAATTTTTTTAATCTTAAATTTCAACATTTTGTATTCTTGACATTTCAACTTTAATCTTGAAATTTACATTTTCAAACTAAAAAAATTGACTTTATTGATATTTCAGTTTTTAATCTAGATATTTCGACTTTAATCTTGAAATCTACATTTTTAAACTAAAAAAAAATTTACTTTATTGATAATATTTCAGTTTTTAATCTTGAAATTTTGACTTTATTCTCAGAAAAAAAATTATCTCAAAAGTCACAACATTTTCGACATTTTGTAATCTCAAAATTTTGACTTTATTGACATAATTTTGATTTTTAATCTTGAAATTTTTTGGCTTCAATCTTGAAATGTTGACTATATTCTCAAAATGTTATTTTTTATCTCTAAATTTCGACATTATTCATGACGTTTTGACATTTGGAATCTCGAAACTAAAATTTTGATCTTGAAAATTTGACATCAATGACATAACTTATTCATCTTAAAATTTCAACTTTAATCCTGAAATTTCGACTTGAATCTCCTTCCTGTAATCATTTATTCCTCTTCATGTGGCCCTTATCGTCTCTTGTACTTATTCGACCTGGTCCACATACAAAAGAACAAATCACCTCTCGGGTTTCGACGATAGCCCGAAGTCGAGGCTTGTTAAATAAATAAGATAAAGACAGTTCTTGGTTCATGGATACAGGGACAGGCGGACGTGCTTCATTTCCAGCGGTTGATTCGGCGCAGCTGCACATAGGACAGGAACATGCAGACCAACGTGATTCCCAGCAGAGCCACCTGGTTCTGCCAGAAGCCCCACCTGGAGTAGTCGATACCCTGGATGTCCAGGAAGGCCTCCCCGGGGACGCTGCAGCACAGAGCAGAGAGACTCAGAACGAGTGGGTGTCGTTGTGTTAAAGTGAGAAGCTTTATCATGACTCTGTACTCACACGGTGGAGCCGCTCTCAAACAGCTGTCCTGCCATCTCGTTGATGAACGTAGCCTGAGAAAGAAAAACTGGATTTAATCTCCTCACAGTAGAAAGATGGAGGTAATCTGACCCTGAAAGCTGCATCCCTCTGTCTTCTATCTTACGTCAAGTCCATATTTGAAGATACTGATCCACTTGAGCCAGGAGAGCCAATTCAGCATGTGGTTGAGGTTGACAAGAAAACCACCAAAGACCTAAAAGACGAGGGAAGGACATGTGAAAGAGAGCTGAGATTACACACCCTCATGTGGATCCTGAACGAGTCTTTACATCTCACCATCATGAAGACGAAGGGCAGAGCGATGAGGATGTTCGCCATGGCGAATGAAGACACGCTGGCTGAGACCAGGAAGGCCAGTCCGACCCCAGCCAGGCTGACCAAAGACATGGTGAGAGCGAAACACAGGAAGGCGGTGAAGGCGGGCTTCAAACCTGAGAGGTGAGCGCAGAGACACAAAAGGAGAACGTGAAACAAAAGTCGACTTCAAAACCGGATTCAGGCAGATCCTCGTGACCTGGACTTTGTGTCTCTAAAGTGGAACCCCACTGAGAAGAAACCAAATCTCTTCAGAGAGCATCACTGTTCAGTTTAATCACTTCAAGTCAATTTGTGGAGAAACACAGAAGCAGATCACAGAGGACTGATCTCCAGTGTGGTGTGTGTGTTTGTGGAGGCTAAGTGCTCGGTGATAATCACCCATCATGTAGTAGGCGATGGCTGAAAACACAAAGATGGGGATGATGCGGTTGGGGATGAGGTCAGCAAAGATCTTTGACAGGAAGTAGACGGAGGTCCGGTAATAACCGCTGGAGTTCTCGTGACTGCGGCAGACAAAGCAAAGACTCCTGAGTGACTCGTAAAAAACACACATGAGAAAGATCAGGTCCACACAGACAAACAAAGACCACTTTAGTAATGTCTGATCATAATAATAATCCCCTAAAACAGTCAGGAAAATGAACGCTTCACAACCGCAGCCTGATGCTGAACAGCTGAACATCAAACTTTTATCTTCCTGCCCCAAAAACCCCGGGGTTTGCGTCCGACCTGCGGCCGCACTCCTGTATGTCCCCCTAAACTCTCTCCTCTGTTCATCTTGGTTGGTGGTCCTCGATCCTCTGTCTTTATCTTATAATGTGGAGGAGACAGCAGGTGGAGTACCAACACACCAACTGAAGGTAAGAGGCAGATATACTCACACAGAGAGACTAAAGCAGATCCCAGATCAGGTTAATGAACCAGCTGGTGTCATGACCGATGACCTGACCGCGCCTCTTTAGCTCACTTCAGTCAGGTGTGCTGGTTCCTCACCTGTGATCTCTGTATGTTTTCCCTCAGTACAGACTTAAAGGGATATTCTGGCATAAAATTAAGTTAGGGTCAAACACACCGTAACACCGAGTTAGACCCCGCCCCCTCCAGAGATAAAAATGAATTTTAACCTGCTAATATATATATATATATATATATATATATATATATATATATATAGACACCAAACATCTTTTTAACTTTGATGCATTTCTTTAGCAAGGAGACTAAACCATAGACTGTATATAGAATGGAAAACGCTGTCTGCCTCCTCGCTGGGTGAAGCCACCATGAGAACAGCGCCCTCTGGTGGCGGGCTGCAGTATAGGTCATAAACCCCGCCTCCTTATGGAGCTGTGGACAAACTTTATAAATGAATGACACAGAATATAAATGTTTCTCCCCCTATGTTGATATGTAGTTGATGATCTATGATTGACACTTGATACGCAGAACAAGCGTCTGCTGGAAGAGAGTAGGTGAGTTGTGTTTAGTCTCTTTGCTAAAGAAATGAGTCAAAGTTAAAAAGATGTTTGGTGTCTAGTACTATGTCTGTGACCCTATATGTCCTGTTGATGAAGTTAGGTGCTGTTCTGAGCATTATTTGTGGCTACAGAGTGGCGTTTTGGTTGGGGGCGTGGCTCTCTGTATTTCTATCCTGCGGTCGTTACTAAAGTTGGTATAACTAGAGAAGCAAGCGGTCGACAACATTCATCTCTGGAGGGGGGGTCTAACTCGGTGTTACAGTGGGTTTGACCCTAAATTAATTTCACGCCGGAATATCCCTTTAAGTGTCTTTTTTTTTTTTTTTGACGGTCTGAGTCGGCGTTTTCTCACAGCAGGCTGATATCCTCTAATAAAGATCTGTGATTGATCCAGAATGTCTGTAACTGGTGGGAAATCTCTGATGAGTCATATTTCAGTGATAATCAATCTGACTGCTGATGGTCTTTTGAGCTCCTAACAAACATCACTGTGAATAAAATCAGCAGATTACACCTTTAAATGAAGATTTTAAAGGGATTCATGTCTGTGTGAAGACGGAAAACATGTAAATCTGCTCTTCAGCACACAGTTACATCACCGTTATCTGTCACTCACATGAAGATCGCTCTCTCGTTGATAAAGAGTTCAACAGCAGAGAGGTTTCCAAACACCATGTTGATGATAAGGAAGAAGAACGCCCCAGTCCTGTTGTGGAGAGAGAGAGAGAGAGAGAGAGAGAGAGAGAGAGAGAGAGAGAGAGAGAGAGAGAGATAAGGATCGCTCTATCTGTTGGATACTTAAGCAGAAATGTCAGCAAATGTCATCCTCTCTTCAGTTTCATGCCCAATAAACTCGCTCGTATCGTCCCACTCCATTTGGAGTTATAAACTGACTCCAGCCCTCGTACCTTCGCACTTCTTCATATTGAAAACAGTGAATCTTTCTGTTTATTTTTCTAAAGAGGAGATCTTCATAATCACATTTTCTTTTTTCTTTTTTCTTTTTTGTATTGACTGCAGAGGTCTGATAAAGGCCCAGTATGTGAGCGCGGCTGGCTGCAGGTTCGGGGTCATGTACCTGTTCTGGATGGCCTCCGGCAGCTTTAATGACATCTGGTAATAAATGAGTCCCACCAGAATGGCAAAGAAGATGTTCAGAGCCAACTGGGCGTAAGAGGTCTGAGGGTTCCTCAGAGTGTTCTGCACTGTCCTGCCGCACACCACACGCATCTACCACACATTCACACACACACACATACACGTGCGCACACACACACAGACACACACACACACACACACACACACACACAGAAAAGACTTTTTTATATGGGTGTGGTGACAGATATTATAAACAGGGTTCATTCAGCGGGCAGCCAAGCTGAAGTCGTAAAGACCGGCTGGCACCGTCATTAAACTCGGAGACACAACGTCATAAAGTCACTTTGTGTTTTTCATGAACAACTGAGGCTGTGACGCCCTGAAACACGCCGTTACTTCAGCGGTTTTTAATGTTGATAAATGTTGATGTGAGATGGCTGACCTGATAGAAGAAGGATGTCACGTAGTCAGCCACCTTGTCTTGACCTCCGGCCCCTCCAGCGATGCTCTGGTCCACGTGGTCCAGCTCCTCCAGGGTAGCCTGGCACAGTTTGGACTGGCGGTACTGGGTCGCCAGTGGGTTTTTACTCTCTACTGTAAACGCAGACAAGAGCAGTTATACCTCTGACTTTTTTATTTATTTATTTATTTTTTTTATTTCGAACATTATTTAATCAAATAAGACAGTAAAATACAAATCAGGAAGAAAAAGAAAACCAACAACATTGTCCGAAAAGGAGTAGGATGAAGTTTAAAACTTATCGAGCTCCTACCCCCCTTTTGCCAACACAAACTTCTTTACTGCATATACAATAGTTTAATATAGATAAGAGTTATACGACCACCTTTACCTGTTTTACACAGGGGTCAAACAGTTTAATAATGACAAACATCATCACGGCGTCTGGGATTCATCTGAATCTATCAAGTTTTAAAAGTGTTTACTTCATGAAAATATGGTTTTATCACTTCCTGTCAGTGTGGTCATCACAACGAGGTTGTCCTGCAAGTCCTGCAACCTGTGGAGGGACAGTAATGCTGGGTTCCAGTTGTTCTCAGAAGTCTTGATTTCCAAGCTCTGAGTCGGAAATTCATCTGGAACGCCCCCCCGAAGTCGGACGATCCTCATCAACCTCGACTTGACGACAACGTCAGAATCCAAGATGGCAGCGCAGCGCATCAACAGTGAAAACTTTCGTAATGTTTTATTTATTAGCACTTCTGTTCTGTTTTTATGAAATTACATAAGTAGTTTATTTGTCTAACTGTGAACACGGCGCTGTGGTGTTTGTGAGAGTAAAATACTGTTATGTTTGTCTACAACTGGTATAGCTAACAACAACTAACGACAACTTGGTTTTCCGACTTGTTTACTGGAAGCGAATTTTTTTTTGTAGAATGGTAGGGAAAGGTCCCGCCCTCCTTCGCCTCTGATTGGCTAGAAGTGCTGGGCTCTGATTGGTTATTCTTAATGGCTGTGAAACGTCATCGCAGTCGCGGGTTAGGGTTAGGAGATTCAGAAGTGCGATAATGTTCTGTGATGTTCTGTTCGATGTACAGAGCCGACAGCCCGTGTTTGGCCTGAGCGTGTGATGATGTTTCCAGCTTTTCTAGCCAATCAGAGGCGAAGGAGGCGGGACTTTCCCCTACCATCCTCCAAAAAAATATATTGCTTACTAGAACACCGTCAACTCGTGTGACGTCATTCCCAGCTCCGACATCCAACTTCCGGATGTGTGTGTGTGTGTGTGTGTGTGTGTTAATGGTTACCTGCAGTAGATGGTTCTGATGTAGATTTTGCTTCTCCATTGGTGATGTCCATGAAGAAATCTGCAGGATTGTTGAAGGGTTCGATTTGGTAGCCTGTAAAAATATAAATGTTTTGGTGTGAAAGTCCAGAGTTTGAGGATAAAATTAGTAAACATAGGTGAGGTACGAGACACTTGAACTCCTCCACATGAGGCAGGACCGCCCCTCCGACCTGGAGAAGGTAATCTACCTTTTGCCGACTGAGGAGCATAGCACCACGGTCACATATTAAAGTTAACGCTAATGAGAAAATCAAAGACTCAGGTCGTCCTGATCCCAACATAAAACCACATCTCTCTTTGTCAGGATTCATTTTAATCTTTAAAAAGGTCCCATCATCGTGTCCATCGTCCGCACACATACCCAGGTCTGTGAAGTACTCCAGCGCCTGGCCTGCTGCTCCTGCATACACCACCTCTCCTTTATGCATCAGAGTCAGGTGGTCAAACTGTCTGAAGATGGAGTAGCGTGGCTGGTGGATGGAGAAGATCACAGTCTTTCCTCTTCTGGACAGCCTGCACACACACACACACACACACACACACACACACACACACACACACACACACACACACAGGGACATTTACTAACATCCATGTTGTCACAGTGAACTCTAAAGTGAAGTAAATAATGAAGATGCTGCTGATTAACCACGCATCAGTTAAAGTGGCGCTGCTCTAAAACAAGTGGACGTTAATGAGAGTTGACAGTCAGCGGTTCTTTGCCCGCTGTTTTACCCCGCCGTCTTCTGCAGCAGCAGCAGCAGCGGCGGTGAATGCTTCACTTGTTTCATTCGTGCCTTATGTGTGAGTCTGTGCTGGGATTAAATAGTTATAGTGTTGTACTTGTGCAGCAGGCCGATGATGCAGTTTGCTGTGTTAGAGTCCAGGCCGGTGGTCGGCTCATCCAGAAACAGCAACGAGGGGGAGGTGATAAGCTCCATCCCGATGCTGCAGCGCTTCCTCTCACCTCCAGATACACCACGCAGAAACTCGGTCCCTATCTGCACACAAACACACACACACACAAACACACACACGATTAAATGCTGAAGAACACAGGTGAGCGATGATATTACATAATAATCTTTTTTTGCACATGTACTGTACTTTGAGGACTACAGCAGAAGGTGGGAGTCGAGCTTCAGGCCCCAGTTTTCAAAGTTCAGCCTCAGTATATGTGCTCCAAACCAGCACCCTTTACTTTGGTCACATGACAGATTCTTGTGTTTATGGATCTTGTGTTTTAATGTGTTTTATATTTGAGTCTTCCTGTTTGTGTTTTATGTATGTGTTTGGGTTCGACCTCGCTGTGCAAAACAAACATCCTGTTTAAGATAACAAAGTTGAAATTGATGCCTGAAGTTAATTTGTACAGAAGCATATTGAATTCACTTACAACAAAATAAAAACAAAACAGTTTTTATAGTAATTTTTCTTCTTCCTGTTTTTCTATTTTTTTCTTCTGTTTTTTTGATGATATTTTTTCCATGTCTTTCTGTTTTTCTGACTAATTTTTTTATCCTTTTTTTTTCGTATTTTTTTTCCGTCTTTCTGTTTCTCAGACAAATTTTTCTTCTGTATTTCATACTAATATTTTTCCCCTCTTTCTATTTTTCTTACTATTTATTAGTCTTTTTGTTTTTCGGACACATTTTTATTTTGCTTTTTGTACTATTTTTTTCCCCCTTCTTTTTTTTAGACTTTTTTTCGTCTTTCTGTTTTTTTGGACAAACTTTTATTCTGTTTTATGTACTGTTTTTTTCTTTGTTTTTTTTTTTTGTATGAATATTTCCCCCCTCTTTCATTTTTTTAGACAAACTTTTATTCTGTTTTTTGTACAATATTTTTTCAATGAGAGTAAAACATGTTATTATGGGTATGTGAATCCTGAGGTGTCTGAGCAAAGTAGACAAACTCATGACGATTCCATCTATCTGACTTAAAGAAAGGAGGATCTCCCAGTGACTCAAACCCAAAAGAAAGTCAAACTTGATTAAACTAAACAAGTGGGTCATGTTTGCTTCCAATAAATCGAGCAGAGGGGGACGAAGGTGTCTGTTTTTAAATGATCATGATCCCAGAGCAGAGGAAAAACAATAAGGAAGAAACAATTCTATCCTATTCAGAGCAAAGCCAACTATGTTCTTTATCACTTCTACAGGCATCATTTATTAAAAATTATTTACTGTAACACAGTTTTCTTTGGTTGTTTTTGTTCTGGCAGAGACCAAAGATACTGAAAATTTCTGTTGGAGAGAGCATCCATGTATCTTTGAGTAGAAGATATTCAGCGTACCTTGGTGTTTGCACAGTCTGTGAGGCCCAGGTCCTGTATGATAGCGTCCACTTGGCTGTTCTTATCAGAGGGGGTGTGGTGCTTTGGGTCGAGTCGCAGGTTGGCACTGAACAGAAGGTTCTCCCTCACAGTCAGGGTGCCCATCAGAATATCATCCTGGAAACATACGTGCGTGCGATAAAGACATGGGCGTGCACGGTCACATGATGTTAAAGCACACCTGTGTCTGTTTTTGTACCTGAACCACGTATGCAGAGCTGAGTCTGAGCTCAGACGTGACCACTTTTCCATCCACCATGACTTTTCCCTGCTTCAGTCCTGCGGGGTCTTTCCTTCCTGCGATCACATCCAGCAGTCTGACAGAGAGAGAGAGAGAGAGGGAGAGAGAGAGAGAGGCAGAGAAAATGATCGTGTCTCTGGGGTCTCTGTGAGGGAGGGAGGGAGACATCACCTGTGTGTTCAAATGTTTGTGTCTTACGAGGTTTTACCGCTGCCAGTGGCGCCCATAATGGCGTTCATCCCGGGTCTCATGATTCCGCTGTAACAACAATCAGATCAATATAAGTATTATCAGATAATTAAAACAGTTATCCCTGAAATCTGCATTTTTAAAACACAAACAGCAACAGAGACGATAAATGAAACTATCTTTCATACAAATCCATTCAATTTATATTTATTTTATTATTATACATTCTTTATTATTACCAACTTATTTATTTATTTTTAATTGATTGATATTTTTTACTACCTGCCAACTCAGAAATTTATGTTTTTTATTTATCTTATTAGTCTACGTATTCATTCATTTATTTACTATTTTATCGAGTATTACAACTGTTGCTCTTATTTATTCATTTGTTATTTTTATTCAGTAGCATCGCCACATATATACAGTTACGTCCAACAGAAGTCATCAGTTGGCAATGCTTCATCCCCCTCCATCCACCCACAAGACACAATTAAACAAAACAAGCAAACAACAAAGAAAAAAGGGGGGAAACATCTCAAATACAGACAGAAGACGACAGGAAAACTAAATATATATATACGCAGCTACAGTTACATCACATTGAACGTTTTATATATCCTGAAAAAAAAAAAGGAAATTCCTTTCTGTCCCACCTATGAGGTCAACTCTTACAGAACATCAGATATGGCAGTGTTTTTTTTTAAATTAAATTTATTTTTTTATCTATTCATACATTAGTTTATTCACTTAATTATTATTTACCCACTTTTTCTCTTTCTCTATCAACCATTTTTTACTCCTTTACTTTTGTTTGTCTTTCATTTACTGTTAACTTTACACGTCCATCTGGATGGGGGCTGGGGGGTTGGTGTCTGTTCTGGGGTTTTCTGAATGTATCTGTAATCTGCAATTAGAACACTATTGTTCATTCAAAGGTTAAAAAAAAAGTTAAAAAACAATAAAAGTATGATTGTTGAAATGATAAAACCTGCATGAAAAGAGAGGTTTTTAGTCCACATTTAAACCCAGACTGTCTCACCAGCGCCATCTCCAGTTTTTGTACAACTCTGTGAAACAGCTCTAAAGAGGAGAAAAGCAGAGAGAGGAGTCTTCTATTCATGAACTAAGAGCTGTAGTCTGGTGCAAGGCCACGACTCGCCTTCAATAAAACAATTCAGAGAGTCGTACAAAAGCCGATCACAGCAGCGTACAGATTCTTTAAAAGGTGTGTGTGTGTGTGTGTGTGTACTCTGCTCTTGGTTTTTGCATTTTGAATGAACTGCAGCTGGTTTATTGTGTTCTTCGGTAGACTAGATAGGAGAGTGTTATTTTTATTATTGTAGTTGTGAAGCCTGCTGGTTATAAAAGTGTGCAGTGATCTTTGTGCTCTTGAGAGGAGAAATACTTCACTCTTAAAATGTTTTTCTAAAAGACAAAAAGCTGAACTGTGAGAGAGTTTACCAGACCTCCTGCCTCTTTGCTTGTCCAAGTGTGTTTAGTCAGTGTAGAGGCCAGTTTCTATTTAAACTTCTGAACCATTATGAATTTGTCAATGACAACACTTGGCAATTATTTTGTGCGTGTTTCTCACATAAGTTTAAAAATGGTAATCCCAGAATATTTCACTTCTCGTCAAATCTCCTAAAACTGTACTCTTCAGTCCACCACAGTGCTCAGTGTGGTGAACGTCAGCTAACTTCATTCTAATGTTAGAAATATCGTAGAATTTTAAGTGACGCACCAAAATTGGAATCCTGAATGTCGTCTTTACATTTCAGAAGACAGCCCGTCACAAAATCTTATATAATGCTTTCCCTCAGGCCTTAAATGTGATCACTGACAGAATATTTTTGACTCTGTTTTTTCGTTTTTCTACCTTTAGTAAAAATACTGCAGATAAACTTTTTCTACATCTTTATCCGCTGAAATAGCCACAAACTTAAACTCGCTGATATCACGTTACTTATTGTGAGATATGAAAGATATGAAGCAGCTGAAGCGAAAGCATAACTTGCAGGAGATCATATCCTACCTCACATCTTTGAGGATGTATTTGACAGGACCGATCTTGCGAAATAATCTTCTCTCCTGTATGGAATAGTGCAGGTTGTTGAACGTGACAGTAGGTCCTCTTTCCTGAAAGTTCTCCTCAACATCCCGGACGACGTGCATCTCTACAGACATCTTCAAACACAGCCGAGTTGGTGAAAGAGAGGGAATCAGAAACCAGTGTTCAAGGAAAGAGGCAGGTTCAGTCTGGTGTGACGAGGAATCTAATCAGTACATATCTGCACTGAACGTGACGATCTTTTGACCCCTCAATCTGCAACCCAGAGCTTTCTGGTGTTCTTAAGATAGTGTGACATTGAACCTTCAACCCAGAATACTGACTGCAGCAGGAAGTCTTTAGGCGCGTATACAAGTGTAATACAAATCCAAGTATTCAGGGTCATGGAGCTGACATGTCGGCAGGAAAATGACCTGGACAGACTTACAGGGGTTGATGCAGTTCCTCTGAGCAGGCTGGTTTCATTTTTTAAAAGCCTGGTTTTGTCAGAATGCGTGTTTTGCCAAATTACGCATTCATGTACAATTCATGTGCGCTTAGCTCCTCCTTAAGATAAGTTCAGGTGAGATAAGACAGACATTGTAAAAAATATTAGAAAGCAGTGATATGGTTTTCAATAACGACAAAAAAGCACAGGAATACATAATACGACTACAAATACAAACCAAATGAAGACGTATGAGGTACATTTGCTGTGAGCTGTGTTTTGGTTTGTGTTGACTTTGGCACCCCCTTTGGACAAAGATATACACCTTATCTCCACACTGGTTTCCTTCAGTGGGGTACTACATGGGTTAGAGGTGGTTTTCATTGAAAGCAACAACAACAAAAACTCACTCTGCTGTCTTTCAGACTCACTCAGAATCACTCATAGTCTCTGTTTGGGGCAAAAATGCAAATTTGGCAGCATTCATGAAGGTAACCACACCTCCTGACCCCATCTGAACTCTAATGGCCATATTTGTGATTGCAGGTTAGTAGATTGTATTCAATTTAACTGTATTTTGTAACCAGGAAAGACTTTTTTTGTCAAAGTTTTTTAGTAAAAGAAGTTAAGTACCAAAAAAAGGTTTGTGTGAAGTATAAATCTCATAAATCTCTAATTTCTTAAACTGTTTTTTTAAGTGTGTGAATGGCTTTGTCCAAGACCTAGTTAGTAAAATGATCGAAAAATCCTCATATGAAGGAGCTTCTACAAGAGAGGCAGTCAGTGGAGACTGTAAACCCGCAAAGCGCAGAGCAGCTTTTGTCCGGTCTTCCTTCTCAGTCAAAGGTCCACAGGTTTGGAAAATATACCCATCAGAAATAATAACATTCAAGGACCCCAAAACCTTCAATATCAAAACAAACTATGGCTGAAACAAAGACAAATCTATGAACACTAACTTACACAGATGTATATTATGGTATGTATGTGTGTCTATCTGTATGTGTGTATGTATATGTAAGTCTCTGGATTTCTGTGTAAAGAAGAAACTGCTTGTTTTGTCTGCTTTCTTGTTGTTTTTATGCAAACATATGATTGCCTGTCTGCACCTGCTATAATGTTAGTTTTTATTTAGTGGTTTATGTTTTATGTTCTGTATTTCCCGCTGTCTAACCAGGTACAAGGACTGTAAATTAGCCACGGCTAATAGTCCTACATACACAGCATTAGTTACTCTTTAATTAGATGCAACAATGCCTAATGTACTGTCCCTGTCAAATAAACGAATAATAAAAGAAAAAAATACAACTATACATCAGGTTGGCCCGTATCTCCGTGATAATAGCGCCCCCTACAGAAAAAAACCCCGCATTGCTTGCATGAAGGAATTTCCTGGGTGGGATCAACGTTGTTTTTCTCCGACCTTTTCTCTGTTTTGCCGTCGTCCAATCAGGCTTCGTATTCGGCAGTAAGAAACGCCTAGAGAACGCGCCGCAGCCAATCTCTTTCCAGAAAACCGAGAGTGGGCGTGACCAGTGCGAGAAATTCTTTGGTGTTGTCATCGCGTTCTTCAGTTCGGTGTGCTTTACACAGGGCGTGTAGGCGGAATGTAAAATATTCACAATGCGTCTCTAACAGCGGTTATTTTTCTCTTTCTGTAGCTTGTTAGGGTCGCGTCAGGTATCTCTCTTACATGATACAGACGAACGAAAGCGAAGGACACCCGAGAACTAAACAACTCTTCATTTCACACGAAGTCTAGCTCTCTTAGCTGTTAGCTAACGCCTTTGGTTAGCTATGGAGGAGAAGAAGGAGGAGGGAGAAGCGGAGATCCAGGAGCACGGCCCCGAACACTGGTTCTCCAAGTGGGAACGGCAGTGTTTAGCGGAGGCCGAACAGAGCGACCCGAACGAGGAGGAGACGGAGCAGAGTCAGCAGAAACTCTGGCACCTCTTTCAGAACTCGGCTACGGCGGTGGCTCAGCTCTACAAAGGTCTGTACCATAGGTGTTATGGCGCAGAATGCACCCCTGCCGTAGAGTGCCCCCCTGACGGGAGCGCGGTTGAGAGTACACAACAAGGCGGAATTATCTAAGTTTTCTTTAATATTGGACGGATTTAAAAGCGCGTGACTTTGATAATTTCATTAAGGGTATTCAGATAAGACGAAAACATTCGCCCCTGATTCGGAATATTTGCTTTCCCGAGAATTTGATGTTCTCTACCGTGACAGCTAAGTGTACACTTCTGTATGTTCCTTTTTTTAAACACATAAAAACAAACCGGACGTTTACTCCTCCATTTTGATCCAATACTCGTGCTCGTTTTAAAATATGAGATCATTTTCTTCCAATTTTAGAAGCTAACGAGTGGAGGGGATGCATTCTACGACAGGGGTGCTTTCTACGGCACAACACCTGTTAGCGCTAATGCGAGCTAACCCCTCTGCTAACGTTAGTGCTGGGCGGACAGAGACACAAAGGGCACGCGCTAAGCTAACACCGTCAGCTATTCTCAGCCGTCTTTAAAAGAGAAAAACCATCAGGGTTTATTTTCACGGCTGTACTGAGTGGCATTAAAGTGTGTATCTTTAAAACTGCGTGTTTTAACGACGTTTTTGTGGCTCCATTCGCGGCTACATGACCCCGTTTCCTAGCTAGCGTTCGGATGCTAACGCTAGCAGCCCCAAACAGCCGGTGTTTCGGTTCGAGAAGTGACCCTGTTATCTAGCGCATATGTGGTTTTTGCTGATAGAGCAGTTGTTTAAACATCGACAAAGTGCTTGTTCAAGTAATTCACCGTCGTGATAAAATATTATACCTCTCAAATTTAATGGCTCTAATAAGATGTTTTCGCTACGACAAACACGGACACATTCTGCGGTTAACAGGGGCTCTCTCCCCCGGTGTTCCGGTACCAGGATGTGGGACAGCAGCAGCCGGGCTGAGTGTGGCTCACTGTGGCCTGATCCGTCAGAGGTCCTCCGGGGCTGAACGGATTGATGAACAGCTGATCCGACAGGCCTCCAAAAACACTGAGCAGCAGAGTGTCTTTAGTAAAAGTGTCCTCTATTACTGAGACACGCTTCAGTCCAGAGCCAAATGTTTCGGTCCACCGTTTAAAATCGTCAAAATGGCGATAGCTACACGGGGAGGAGTTGGTCCACTGAGAGCAGCCCGTTTGTTGACGGTCAGATGAACTGATAGTTCACTGTCAAACGAGAGAAGGCCGAGATATTATGATCGTTATAAATGTAAATGTAACAGGTTTAAGGGTGGATGTTTATTCTGCTCCTGAAACTGAAGTTAGAAATGACTCGAGTTCCTGTCAACTTCTGCCGTTAGCACAGACCGTCTAACGGGAAACAGAAACAGGCCCCATTTTGTGTTGTCTGTGGGTAGGGATGTAACGATAACTGTGATATTATTGTGACCAATAGTATCACGGTATTGTTGAAAAATGTTCAAAAAGTAGTTAGAAACGCCCTGAAATCACTTAACAAAGTTTTCTTTTGAAAAAACCTTCAAAATAACACAGAGAAGCAACTTTTCCTTAACCTTAAATAACAGAGGAATAACACGCTTAAAAAATCAAAGATTGGGCCGTACAAGATCCAGAGGTCATCAACACTAGTAATAACAAAGTAATGTGCCAGTGGAATAAACAAGAACATAATAACAAATAAATAAAATTTAAATAAAATGACATTTCTTATCGTGCAAATTGTAAGATTCTTCAGTGCTCAAAAAGATCGACTCTTACAAATATGAAACAGATCAACACGACACGAAACAAAAACAACCACATGTAAACAAATGTGTAGTTTAGGGGTTTAAAATAACATCAAATATGTAAATCAATCAGATGAACCGATTGTCTGTTTTCTCCACCATGAGGTGTTGCTGCTGACTTTGGTCACTACTTGAGATTGAAATGTAAAAATGTCTGCAGATTTACTTGGTCTTGTTTGAGTCGTGATCTGCGAGGGGAAACGATGTTCCCGCTGGCGCTGAGTAGCGTCTCGGACGGCGCACCGGTTGTTGGGATGCACAAAAGCTTCCTGGTAACCCTCGCAACCCTTTGTAGAAGCTGAAATACGCCACGACTTCAGACTTTGTTTTCTTTGACGGTCGAAAAATCTTTGCAACACGGTCGACAGAACTGCCCGCCAAACTGTCCTCCGCCATGTTTACGGTACACCTGTGCCTGAAGGACTGCTGTGTGTTGCCGCTCTTCTCAGCACTGAACTGTATCACTGTGAGCTTTTCCAGAGTGCGGCGATTTTGGAGCAAGAAGATGGAGCATCGTACAGCGTTGTTTTTGTCCTACATGATGGACGCGCTACTTTTTCTAAAGATGAGAGGAACGCTACTCCTCTTCTCTGGTGTTTTTGTTCTGGGGTTACGGGGACGTGGCGCACGCATACATGCACTGTCCGATCATACTCCGACTATGCTGGTTACATGGTAGAGAAAATCGGATTCCATTCGCATTATCCGGGTGTCTTAATCGAAGTTCTCAGACTCCGATCGGAGTTCTCAAACATCGATTACAGTCAGACTAAAGTGTTTACATGCTCATCTGTGGATATTTTGACCGTGACCAAGCTTCTTCCTCTTCATGAGAGGTTTCTTATTCCTCCATGACCCTCAAAGCAAATGAGACCATCATCTACAAAGAACATCATTTCTTATAATGTTTAATTACAAGAAAGTTTAGTTTTTTCTTTGATCTCCTTTTGTTTACATTGTTTGTTCTGTTTTTCATTTCAGATCGAGTTTGTCAGCAGCAGGGCCTCTCTCTCTGGGTGCCCTTCCAGAATGCAGCGACAGCAGTAACTAACCTGTACAAAGGCGAGTATTGACCTGAAATTATCTTTTGTTTGAGCTTTAGTAACTCTATGATTGATGCACGGAAACACTGACAATAACGCTGTTATTTACGATTTTCATCAGAGAGTGTCGAGGCACGCCAGCGGAGCTACGACCTAGGCATCCACCTGGGCTACCAGCGCAGGAATAAGGATGTGATTGCTTGGGTGAAGAAACGCAGAAGAACTATCAGGCGCGAGGATCTCATCAGCTTCCTGTGTGGCAAAGTACCACCCCCGCGGACAACTCGAGCCCCGCCGAGGGTCGCCGTTGTTTCTGCTAGCCGCCCCGCACAGCCAGAGACGGGCAGCTCTGTGGAGACTGACCTGCAGCCTTTCAGAGAGGCCATAGCGCTGCACGGTAGGAAACGTTTTAAATTAAGGAACAGCTGTCCCGTTTTTAAAAAGACTTGCAGCGGCTTTAGTTTCACATTCTTTTCTTCCAGGTCTAAGTGGCGCCATGGCGAGCATCTCTGTGCGTTCAGGTCCTCCTGGTTCCCCGACTCACCCTGCCCAGCCCCTCAGTCGCCGTAGGAACGGTCTACACGACGTTGACCTCAACACCTTCATTGCTGAAGAGATGGCACTCCACTTGGATTCTACAGCCAATCGTAAACGAGGCCCTGCCCCCTGTAGTGATGTCATCACAGACTCACCCACGCATAAACGTAACAGGATGCTCTGAACTTTTCAGACACCACTAATCCCTCCTCTGTCCGCTCCCTGGTGGCTGCCTGGACAGCTAATGAGGCCTGAAGCCTTGGCCGACCATCAGAATCTCCCTCCTCTCCATCTTAGTGTCAATGCTCCCAATAAAGAAACTCTCTCTCCACCTCCTCCTCCTCCTCCTCCTCCTCATTTCTCTCTCTGTTCCTCTGGTTTTCTCCCACAGCCTCTCTAGAGTAGTGCTCTCCTACTCTTTTGAAGACAGAAGCCTTCCTCCTCCTTTAGATTTGGTTGTCCCCAGTAGATCTGACAGCAAAGTGAGCACACGTCACGTTGAAAATCCTAAACTGCTGAATGTTGCTTTTAGACATTGTTGATTTTGTCAGGCTCCTTCTGTGCTTCACAGCCGATAGTCAGATGAACCGGACTGTTGCTTACAGTTTGCAGTTCTTATTCCTCAAGCATACTTCCTCCTCCTCCTCCTCCTCCTCCTCCTCTGTGGAGTGCTGGCCAAACCAGACTGGACTGAAACAAGGACTCCTCAGGAGGCCGAACCACCTCCCCACTGTGTGGCTCAACTTAAAAACGCTCGTCAGCGTGTGTATCTCATTCTGCTGCTGCTCTGTGTGTTCGCGTTTCTGACAGCAGAACTGCCACTTAATGTGTTGTTCTTGTCTTTGCCTTTGAGAAAGCTGCTACAGTATCTCTGGTTGTGCAACAGTGAGGATGTGTGTGTGTGAGAGAGAGAGTGTGTGTGTGTGAGTGTGTGAGTGTTTGTTGATTCAGGGTTCTGTTCTGGCAGATTCAGCGCCCACTTGACCGATTGACTTCCTGTTTCACTGAATTTCATCCTATTTTCTCGGCTCTTTAGTTGCTCGTTGAAGCCAAAATCAGGGTTTTATCACAAAGCAGGTCAGTCCGATTCAGAACCGTGATGGTTTATTAGCAGCAGCATCACTCGACCCTCGGGTTGTTGGCTGAATAATCAAAACGTCTTTTCGACTAAGATGAGCCCCCCTCCCCCTTCCCCGTGTTCGGCTTTCTTACGAGCAGTTTTCTAATCCTATTGTTACTCATAGGTAAGTTCATGTTTACAAATAATCCAAATATTCACTGTGTCCCTTTGAGCAACAAACATCACAATCACAGAGAGAAACACATCGGACTGACTTCTTACCTTCTTTTGTTTTTGCGTTTGCAGCGACATCAGTGTTGAAAGCTTGCATGGTACCTACTCTGTTTACATTTGGCCTTCTGAAAGTCAGACTAGTTAGTTTCATTTACAAAAAAAATAATTAAAAAAAAACACTTTTAGTTTCAACTTAAACCGACGACATAGAAGGGGGCAGTTGCCTTGAAACATCAGTGCTTATTATTGTCGTGGGCTGTAAAGCAACACTTCAGCAAGGCTTGGGGCAAGTGTTTTGAAAATTTCACACACTGCTTTGTGATACAATCGTGTGTAATGTGTGTAAATATGTAGGTTCTGTTTAAATGTGGTACATATTGTAAAAAGAAGTGCAAATCCATCGGGATGTTCATGTACAATTCTGACATTAAAGAAAAATACAAGCATCTAAGCTGTCTGTGGAGTTTCTGCCTTTGTGTTACGAAGGATTTTATTTAATCGAAGAAGAGATTTCCAATGGATGACCTCGGGCGCGCTCAGAAAGGATGGATACAGAGAGCGGCGAGGTGGAGAGATCAGAGCCAATCAGCTTCTCTGCTGCCGGTGTCAGTTATCCCTCTGTCTTTCTCAAAGATAGCGTGACATCAGTCATGTGTGCGAGCGTCTGCAGAATGAAATACAAAGAAAGAAGATCTTCACAGTCTCCTACCAGGAGTGTAGATGTTTGACATAGATAGACAAATCCTGTCATTCCTCTGAAGAACACACGGGGGCGACACAGACTGCAGAGTTGCCTTTTCTTTGCCTCCATACTGTCAATGATCTTACATGGCCATGTCTGAACAGAGGGGAGAGGGGAGAAGTACCTCCTATCAATAATTTTTCTCTTCTACGGAGCCCCTAAAGGGACATAAAGGGTAAAAAAAAATTGGATTTTCTCCAGATTTTTTGCGTAATCTCGCAAAACTATTGTGAGTCTTCGCGTAGCTGTCCAAGGGTTATTGGTCAGAGGAGTATAGGTCAGTGTATTTCTTCCGTGTTTTTGCGAAGGCTCACAAACGTTTTGAGATCACGCAAAAAATCTCAAGAAAAATCTTTTTTTTTTCCCCCGTCATGTCCCCTGAGGGGCCCCGTAGATAACGACCACAAGAAGAGAGAAAAATAAAACTTAAGGAGGGAGATTTTATTTTTATTTCCATTTTGAGATTAAAGCTGAAATTTAAAAGTCGAAATTTTGACTTTAATCTCCAATTTTTATTTCTTTAATCTCAAAATGTCAATATTTTGCAATCACAAAATTTCCACTTAAATCTTGAAATTCCAAATTTAATCTCAAAATTTCGACTTTGTTCACATAATTTTGAGTTTTTAATCTCCTAATGTGGCGCTGATCCTCTTTCGTAGTTTTCAGATGTTTTTAATTCCACTGTGAATAAATCCCTGTGATGCTCTTCTTCCTCGGCTTTTAAATATTAAAGTTTCCTCTTAATGTTCTTGAAATTAAAAGCATCATTTATTTACACATTAAAAAAAAGACTAAATTTTCCTCTTTTAAAAGAATCAACGAGACAGTGAGGCGTTTCAGGTGACTGTAGGAGCAGTTACAGTCACACTTATGAGTAATTACAGGTAGTTATGTACTTCACTCAGTCAGCAGAACCTCTTTAACCTTCGACCACGGTGGAAAATCAACGCCGTTATTACCGACTTAGACGGCTCTGGAAGCCCGTGACCTCTCCCTGGAAGGTTCTGTTTTCAGAGCGTCAGAGGGAAATGTTAAAATACTTTAGAGACGTTGATTTAATTAGTCGGGAATGAAGATTATGAGCACACGAGGGGCCTTTTTTTTCTTTTTTTTGCATAAGGTTAGCACAAACACCCAAATTAGTTTGGTTTTCCCACACCTCTCTGTCCAAATAGGCCACAGCCATTTCCACCTACACAGATATTCTCACAGCTTTTTTTTTAACACTCCTACAAATTACATCCAATCTTTTGACAATTTATGCAAAATTCAACTCACTGCATTCCAGCGAAATATGATGGCATGTCTCTTTATGATGCTCAATGGAAACACAATAAGATAAGATATTCCTTTAATCGTCCCGCGGGGGAAATTTTAACATTACAGCAGCATAAGTACAAAAAAAGAAATTAAACTGGGGACCTCTGAAACAGGTCTGTGTGTGACTCTTCCCAAAGAAGAATGAGGTCCACAACTAGGGGGCACCCAGAGTTGAACTGGGGACCTCTTGATCTGCAGTCAAATGCTCTACCACTGAGCTATACCCCCACATGTTAACTATGGTAGTTGATGTAATTGTAATTTTAACATCTTTGTTAGACCTCCTTGAGGTGGCCCCCACAACAGACTTTCCTACCAACATATCAGTTAATTATGATGTCTAGACTTCCTAATTTCTCAGCAAGATACAACATCCTGCAGGATACTCCAGGTGTGAAACATCCCCACTACCACCCAGGGGGGTGGAGTGACGGTCCCCACAGAAAACAAAAGATGCCAACATCACAGCCCTGTTCCTTGTCCTCTGAGGGACGGTCCTCAGGCATAAATGTTCATGTTTCCTCATGTTCTGGCTCTTTCTTGATTCTGACCGCTTATTAAGAAAATAAAACCTTGTCGGCCGGCAGAATTCTCTATTTCATTCTTCACCAGCAGCAACGGGAAGAAAAACTTCCACGACATTGATTAGAAACAGCGATTGTTCAAACAACCAATGATAAAGTTAAAACTTAAAGCTTCATATTTGCCTCAATGTTGCATCTTATCTCACCTAATGTGCATGAATGACTTGAGCCATACTAAATACATTATGATTAGAGGACAACGGGAAACTCTGGAGTAGGGGGCACCCAGAGTTGAACTGGGGACCTCTTGATCTGCAGTCAAATGCTCTACCACTGAGCTACACCCCCTTGCATTTAGCCGATATACAAATTAATAAGGCAACCCAACTCATAATGAGAGTGAAATCTAGATGAACGGTTTCAATCCTATTAATAGATTAAGAGGTTATACCACAAAGCTCTATGATGTTTGTGTCTATGGCCTGAAACAGGTCTGTGTGTGACTCTACCTAAAGAAGAATGAGGTCCACAATGAGGGGGCACCCAGAGTTGAACTGGGGACCTCTTGATCTGCAGTCAAATGCTCTACCACTGAGCTATACCCCCACATGTTAAGTATGGTAGTTAGTGTTTACATCATAATATAGCAGAGGTTGATCTGTTGACTTTTAACAACTGTCTCCTGTCTCAGAGCTGCAGATAAGTTTTATCCTCCAGCTGGTCCAATTCTGTCTCGATCAGTTAATACTCTATTTTCCTCATGAGTGAATCTCTGCTGTTTTGTTGTTGACATACGTCATCAGGGTATCTCCATTCTGATTGGTAATCACGACACAAACATTCACTAGAGTTGACATATTCTCAACATAAATAGGCATTTAAAGAGAGTAGTGTTGGAAACAATGTGAATTTGCATCATCCATATTGGACACAATTTATACAATTGTCATCATTCTTGCCACCCCAGTTGTACACACGTTTTACTCTTGCCATTGACTTTCCGTGTTATTCACTTGAGCAAATACAAGAGTCAGGGGTCTTTGATTTGCATGACCGCAAATTAATGCTCAAGATAAGTGAAGGGGGCACCCAGAGTTGAACTGGGGACCTCTTGATCTGCAGTCAAATGCTCTACCACTGAGCTATACCCCCACATGTTAAGTATAGTAGTTGATGTAATTGTAATTTTAATATCACCAGCCAGTCAGGAGGAGTCTGTCTCAGAGTTTTGTATTTCATGTATTTTTATGCAGATCTGGATCCTTGAGCAGATTAAAAAGCTTTTTTTTTGTGACAGAAAAAGAGCATTATGTAATCACGGTGAATGTTGGAGCATTTACAGGCTGTCTGGATCCTGCCAGCTTGGCTGTGCTTTGACAGAAAGCAAATTAATTATTGAAAAAAAGAAAACAGCTGTACCCTTAATAAAATAATGAACTTTAAGTTTACTACTTTTTGTTAAGTATGCTTGGGTATAAGGCTGCGTTCGAGTTACCTTGGAAGTCAGATGTTGGAGCTGAAAATGACGTCACACCCGAGTACCCAGCGTTTCAAAGTCTGATAAGGTGATAAGGTTGATAAGTATATCAAGTATACTACTGACCATGTACTTTTAGTGTACTACAAAGTATACTAATTCTACTTCTTTGGACTAAATTGGAACATTTTTAGTTTATAAAATTATACTTTAAAGTAATAAACTTCTACCCCCCTTTTTAGTTTATAAAAGTACACTCTTGTACTGCTTATCTTTTTAAGAGTATACTCTAGAAAAGTATACTCACTGACCAAGTACACTTAAACCCAAGGCACAAATACATACTTCAGTATATCTTGAATAAAAGTTGATGTCTAAGTATAGATGAACTATATTTAGACTTTTAGTATAATTCTTAGTAGAAGACAAGTATACTTAACATGAACTTTGATAAGTATATTTCTGAAAAGTCCATAAAAAGTAAACTGAAAGCATACTTGAAAGAGTCTACTGAAGTACACTTCGACATACTTCTTTTTGGTGAGGGTACGCATGTGCTGATATCTAAAGGTGACCAACTAAGGTCTTGTTTAGCCTGAACTTCACATAGAAATTATTCTTTTATCAAAAATGTTCAATCTTGTCTCATTAATACAGAATAAATAAATAAAAAGACTCCGAGATTTAAAGGAAAAAGTCCAAAACAAACTGAGTTTGAAAATGTCCAACTGAAAAAATCCAAACCCAACAAACCAAAAACATCAGGAACAAATCATCCAAGAAATAAAACCTCAGGAAGGATTCACAAGACAAAGACAGCAAAGTAAAGGTAAACCCGATACTCAGGGAGCGACTCCTACAAAATAAAACAGGAAACACTGAAAACTGCTCAGGACAGGAACACAGAAAATACGACTTCATTACAAAACAACGAAACTGACAAGAACCGACCATCACAAAATCCACTGATAAGGAATAAGCAGAGGACCAGGTCGTACAAACTTTTATAAGTCCATCCTTATTCCAGGTAATCCTAATCGTGTTTGTCTGACGGTCCGAATGTCACACCTATAAAAATACTTCATCCCTGCTCTAACACAGGGAGATCCTGGGAGTCCGGTGATCGATGAAGTAAAGCAAAGAAGTACAAGTGAATGGATCAATAAAAAGGGAGGCTAAAGTCAAACCTTACAGAGATGGTTTCACCGAGAAAACAGAGAAAGAATATTTAGTTAAAGAAGAAGAGAAAACACGACAGAACGACAGAGGCCGATTGTTTTCAACCCCTCCCCCCCAAAATAAAAAAATAAATAAATAAAAATAATGAAGTGTCCCCAAAAGGAGGACAAAAATAACTAGCTAGCTAGTTTTAGGCCATACATCGACAACTGGCAGCCCAGGGAGCTCGTAGATCGTGGTGAATGAGTGTGGAATTTTAGTGGCCCCCCTCCATCATCAAAGTTGCCCACCACTTGACTCTAGACAATCTAGAAGCTCACGATATCCCATCGTGAAGTCATCGTCTGTTTAAAATGCAACAAAATGGAGGGCTGCAACCAATATCGGGGGCCCCATCACATCACATCCCCACCCCAAACCACAACAAAATCTTGCTCAGGGCCGCCAAAATCCACCAGCCGGCCCTGACGACAGGGAGACGATCCCGGGACAGTATGACAAACATCAGAGTGTGGCTACAGCTGGTTTGTTCGTCAAAGCTTCAAAAGTATTTTCTTCTTCTTCTTCATCAGTTTGTTGCAGGTTTACGGTCTTCTCTGATCTACTACCACAGCACAGGTGGAGAGTTGGAGAGCAGAGCTGAAAATACGACACAGTAAAGCGATCAGGTCAAACGTCTTTATGGTTCAACATTTAACCCCTCTGAACGGCTCTGTTAGATCCCCCCCCCCGACTCCTGCGGTCCGTCACCACAGAAGAAGATGAAGAACCCCACGGTCTGTTCCCTCTTCCCTCCGTTATCGCCGTTCGCCTCCTTTTGTTTCATCATGTATCTGAAGGCTTTTAAAGGCTGCCATTTGATGGAACTTTTTGGAAGAGGAGCAGAGCTGACCGCAAGCTGTTTCACACTTCAAAAGAAGCACTGTGCATGTGTGTGTGTGTGCGTGTGTGTGTGTGAGGGAGAGAGAGAGAGAGAGAGAGGGCGAGAGAAAGAGACATGAGGGGAAGCAACAAGTGTCTGAATGTTCCAGAAAAACCCCTCGAAGACAGCCATCTGGGCTGCACCGCGATCAGCTCACACTCATAAACACACACACACACACACACACACACACACACACACACACACATCGAGGTGTCATCATGGAGGCAGTCTGGACTGAAGGAGAGAGAGAGAGAGAGAGAGAGAGAGAGAGAGAGAGAGAGAGAGAGAGTGGCTGGTTGTGTGTCTTGTGATCCATTAAACACACAAAATCACCATGAAGACACACACACACGTACACACACACGTACACAAACACACACACAAACGTAAACTCCATCATAGCAGTTGTGTAGCCTGTGTGGGCTTGACCATTAGGGAGTCTTCAATGGCAGACAGCTGGCGATCAATGATGCACTAGTTATCCCTCGTGAGCGCGAGCGTGTACGGCTGTGCGCACGCACACACAAACACACAAACACACAATAGCTGATGGTAATTGCTGCACCAGGTTGCGCTAATTGATAGAGGACAGCGTGCTTATGCACTCACACACAAACACACACACGTACACAACAGCACATCAACACATTAGCACATGCACATAAACAGAAGCCAATCAGGCAGGCTGAGAATGTGTCCCCAGAGGAGGAGAGAGAAGGTGGAGGAGGAGGAGAGGAGGAGAGGAGAGGGAGGAGAGGTTAAACACTCCCTGGAGACGGCTGCTACAAGTCAGGGCTTTTTAGTTTTTTGTGCTCATGAGGGGCTCCAGTAGGTGAAGAGTGCGTGGCGTGCATAAAAACACAAGGTCTGAGAGAGAGAGGGAGAGAGGGAGTCCTATTTTTGTGGGCTGCTGTGTTCCTCCTCTCCTCCTCCACCTCCTCCTCCTCCTCCCCCACCTTTTGATCCAAAACATAAACACGCTTACACTCACATCAGCACACAAACACCAGATCTTCTTCAGAGCTCCCTGCACACCATCATGTCCCTGTCTTCAACAAATGCCATGAAAAAAAAAAAAAAAAAAACCCAAGAGCTGATCACCATAGCAACACGTTATATATCTTCCAGCAATATTTATCCAACTAGGAGAGGGAGGGGTGGTGGTGGAGGTGGAGGGTGGATGGAGAGGGGAGGTAAAGAGGTGGTGGTGGTAATGATGGGGTTGTGTGTGTGTGTGAGAGAAAGAGAGTGTGTGTGTGTATGGGGGGGTGCGACTCTTCCATAAAAAATAAAAAATAAAAATCAAACGGTCATTACAGCAGAAGGGGTGCAGTTCAGGTGTTTGTCCACATGGCGGCAGCAGCGTCCAGCGCAGGAGGAGAAGCAGCAGCAGCAGCGTCTCCAGGCAGCATCACTTCAGGACCAGTGGCTTTGAGTCATGTGCCACGCAGAGCTAACAGGCTTCAGGTTCTTATCCCAGAGCAAATATTACACCAGCTGAATATTCCACTTTTTATTACCAGGTGTGCTGATGAGTGAAATTGGCTTTTTTTTTTCTTTTTAGGCTGAATCGGAAAAAAAAAACGTCCAATAATAACAAAAAAAAAGAGGAGGCAGCCCGAGTGCATCCTTAAAAATAAAGTAACACCCACCAGTGGGAGGCTTGGCACGCGGTAAAGGATGTCGGAAACGACTGGAGAAGAATGAAATGAATGGAGGGGCTCAAAGAAAACAGGAATGATTGCAAGGTCCCCCTCCTCCCCCAAAGCACCAGGATTATATGTTTGTGTGCTGCTGGCTGCAGACGGGTTTGGGCTTGATTCTGTATGCGTGTGCACAGTGTGTGTGTGTGTGTGTGTGGGTTTATATTTTGGGCTCAGGAAGCAGGTTAAGCAAGGAGGGGAGAGAGAGAGAGAGAGAGAGGAGAAAAGGGGTGAGTGAAGCGGAGGAGGAGGGAACAAGATGAAAGGATGTAGGTGAGTCTAGGAGGAGAGAGGAGGCCTAAATCCTCAGTGAGCTCTTCTAAGTGAGCGCTGATGATGGGTGAAAAAGGGGAAACAGTGTAAGAGTGTGTGTGTATGTGTGCACTAATGTGTGTGTTTGTGTGCGTGACACACGAGAGAAGAAAGGGGGTAAAAAGTGTAAGTGCAGCGTGAGTCCCCCTGCTCACAGGTTCATATAGAAAAACCCAACAGGAGCCGACAAGAGTCTGATAGGATCAGCTCCTCGATGTGTTCACTCACTCATACACACCTACACACTTGCCCTCACACACACACTCACAGTCCCACTTGCCCTCTCTTCAGCACTGCTCCATTTTTCCACTATACTGTGCATGAAGTGATATTTGGTTTTGGTACATTTTAAATTTTTCAGCAGGCTTCACCTGGCGTGACTCCGGGAGCCATTAGCCGTCAACAGAGCGCTCTGAACCTCTGCGCGTCGACGGCTCGAATCTGCTGATGACTTCAAGAAGAAACCTGCAAACACGGAGAACTTTCAGCGTCACCTTTTGTGCTCTTCGCCTGTCGGGGGGTCAGAGACTTCAGCACATTTACCACGGTGTGTGTTTTAAAGTCGAGATCAGCTCAATAATTGAACACACACTTCCACGTTTCGGTCCAAACTTCCTGAGCTCTGATCCGGACTCACAGCTTCGGTGTAAAGTTGGTGGTGTGCTTTTCAAAGTGTCTATTGTGTTTTGTGTCGCTACCTGCCAACCAAACTTAGGATTGTTTGCTGCTTTCATGTCAACACCCGGCCCTGCTGCTCCCCCCCCCATTATATCATTGTCTTCTTTTAATCATTCTGGCAGGGGGTATGTAACAGTGGACACACGAGAGAAAATGTGGCAGGAAGGAGAGAGTGAGACATTGTGCCTGATGGTCGGCGCCCCGGATCCTGCACCGCCAGGACCTGTCATTTTCTATCACCGTGATATCTGTGGGTTTTCTGACCGTCGGTTAAACACGGCGTGCCATTTGGAGACTCCACCGTGGGCTGTGGGAACAAGTGATGGTGGGCTTTTTTTCTTTTTTTGGGCCTGTTTTACATTTTAAAGATAAACTGATTTACTGTCAAATGATCTAAGCCAGTATTTTGAAGGAGTCCGTCGAGCTCTGAGAAAAAGGAGGTAGAGCTGCTGCACGATTTTGGCCAAAAATAAAACCCTAATTTTATTCTCTGAAAGTTTGATTTTTTAATCAGTGACAAGTTCACCAAACTTCACTTTAATAGAAATGTTTGTCTATCATCTCTCGAAACAATACCACTGAAAACGATGTAGTGCACATGCCAAGCCAGTAAGTGGCGCTGTGACACTGTGAGGAAATGCACAAAAGACAGAAGAAGAGTACAGAGCATGCTAGGGCTGGGCGATAAACCGAAAATTTACCGATACTGAAATGTACGACAATAACTGACGTCATTTTGCCCACATCGGTATTTTCTATGTCAAAAAAAATAAATCAATCAAAGTTGTTTTTGGATGTGTGTAGGTAGGCTGTGGTCTCATGTCCCTTTAAGACGCTGTCCTACATCAGAGACGTGACTCCGCCCCATCCAGTCTGTAACAAAGAGGGAAAGACAGTTAGAGTAGTTATCGTTCATTTAACGTTATCGAGGTGAACTGATCAATATATCATGATATTGATTTGAGGCCGTATCGCCTAGCCCTAGCCGAGCGTCATCAAAGCGACTCTCCCGCCCAATGTGTAAAACGCTACTGCACGAGTTGTGGAATCCTGGAAATACTGAGAGCAATTTGGCTTCAAATCTGTATAACGGCGGAAGGCGGAGCCAAGTTGTCCATAGTATTTACAGTCTAAGGTTCATACACACCACACAGTCTTCTAGGTCGGCATCACTCTCCATCATAGTCAAACAACCACGTTCACGTCCAAACACACTGTTCTGCTGTCATTCCTTCACTTTAACCTCCTGTGCCGACCGTTTGGTTGATTCTGACGTTGACCGGTTTATCGGCATGAGTCGTCTCTCTGGAAATGGATATGATTCAGTCCGAGTCACATCTTTATTACCACTATGAGCAACCGGCCTGATGAGACATTAGTCAGAAAAGACACGATCATCATGATTATAAGGACTGCTCTCACTCCGGGAACCACCTGTTTGGCCTCCTGTTCTCACGCAGACTCGACAAGTCACTTACAAACCTGGACAGCTGGAACCGTGAGCAGATTTTCTCCCCGGGGTTATTCACACGTAAACGCTCAAAATGAACAGCGGTTTAATAGCGGCTCTCAAACAGCACCTCCTCCTCGTACCTGTAACTAAAGCTGAGTCAGTGATACTCACACATGAGTAAAGTTACTGACGTTTTCATGAAGCGAGTCGGTTTAACTTCTACGAACCAACCAGTGGAGCGGTCTCAGTGTTTCAGTTAAGTTTGATTTAGGGCTGGTCGATAAAACGATAACGATATATATCAAAAAATTAATTTCCCTCAATATCAATATGAAACATGGTCAATATGCTTTTCAATAGTCAGCATTCTGCCATGTTTTGGTAGACTATACGAACAGCCAATGAAAAGGGGAGTTGATCTTGGTCTGCACTGCGCTGAACCAATCATGTGCTGAGTTAGAACCAAGTATCAAACAACTGCAAAGTCGTAGCAGACAGCAGCTCCACCCAACCATAGCACTTTAACAGGTGAAGCCGACAGCACTGTTGGTGAGAAACAAAGAGGATGAGTGCTACCCCCGACAGAAATGACCATGACGGAGGATTAGGGCCACAAGAAGAAAAAAAGATAATTACAGGAGGGAGATTTTTTTAAATTTCTTTTTCGAGATTAAAGTCGAAATATCAAGATTGAAGTTGAAATTTCAAAAAGCTGAAATTTTGACTTTAATCTTGAAATTTTAATTTTTTTAATCTTGAAATCTCAACATATTCACATTTCGACATTTTGTTATCTCGAAATTTAGACTTTGATCTCTTTCCTGTGATTGTTTTTTTCTCTAATCCCCTTTTGTAAATGACCATGACGGCTCAACAGATGACAACATCGTCAACAACACTGGCCCGAAAACGTCGGTGGTGTTGAGGTATTTTGGTTTTTGAGGTCGGACATGTAAAGTATTGTGCACTGTAAATCATGTGGAGTACATGTTAAATTTCAGCGACAGGAAAGATAAACTTTTTCCAATATCGCTCAGCCCTAGTTTGATTATTCCAGCTCAATAATCTGAATATTATTGGATGAAGTTTTGGTTTAGTTTTCAGGTTTTTTCTCTGTTCTTATTCAGTCTCATTGTTCTTATTAAAGCTGATTTCTAAAAGCAGCTGAAACTTCTCGAACCCTCTGTAGACGCACGCCACAGACAAACTTAGAGGTCGGGGAAAAAACACGTAATCAGCCTTTAGTTTGGGAGATTGAGGGAAAGGTCACTGAAGACTCTGCTGTCTTTTTTTTTCACTGATCATTTCTTACAGCATAAAAGAAACATGTTTGATAAAGGTTTATATAATCAGACCCAGGATCTTGGACTCACAGATCTGGCACACATCGTGTTCATCTGACGCACCTTTCCTGCCAGGTATTAATCAACGTTTGTTCTGCACAGTCCCAGCATCTGCTCGTGTGCGGTCCTTCTATCTGGTGTTTTAAAATCGTGTCCTAGCATCAACCACATTTAAGCTACCGCTAAAAAACGACTTCATGTCAGAATAACCGAAACCCTCCCCCCCTAAAGTGATCCGTTTATCCAGATTCTGATTTCTGTTTTTTAGCCTGTTGTTGAAAAATGTTTTCTCAGACATCCAGACTTGATCTCAGCCTATTTACGAGAAAATGTCAATAGTGAAAGCTCGGCTCGCGCTCACCGGGTAGGCTGTGATCTACTCAGACTACATTTACACCAGGGAGGGGAAGACTTAAGGACGGCAAATTGTAAAGGAGCTCAATCATCCGTCTGTTTGTGGAGATCCTCACTGCTCCGACCAAACACCCTTAAATATTCCAGAATCAAGACGGATATAATCTTATTTACCGTAAACTCCTTCAGCTTTGTTCTGGAGAGTACTCTGTGTTTGTGGTGCTGAAATACATCGTTATTCTGTGTTTGCAGCCTTTGACGAATAAACTTGAGCTTGAACCCAAAAGACCCGAATATTTCCCCGAGGAGCTGGTGGAGACCGAAACACTGGACTGAAATATTGGACAGAATATTGGACGTGACGTTCATCAGGTTGCTCGAAACATGACTGCCAGCTGAATTTGTCAGCATGCATGAAACCACAAGTCCATAGTTTGAACAACACCGGGAGGTAATCACGGTTTTAGCGGGTCTGTACGGTCGCACTCAAAGGTTAAAGAGTAAATGTGACAATTATTGGATAAGGTGATATTTCCTAAAGGGTAACAACACAAACACTCGTGTTTCTACGCCAGTGTTGTGTGTCTGTTCTGTCCTCAAGAAGCTGCCTGTTGACATGAATGTCGAGTGAAGCTGCTCAGAGAAAAAAGCCGGAGTGAGATGAAACGAATTCAACAGAGAGGTGCGAGCAGAAAAGGTCCAGTGCAGGAGGAGCTTATATTCCTGTGTCGGAAAGCATCAGAGTAGGACAGAAAAATCCTTTTGGTGACTCAGGATGAGGAGGCAGATCAGACCAGGCTTTGCTCGGCAGGTACGGGGACCCCACTGATCCTGAGCGAGATTACTGTTGTGGAAGTGGGAGGAAAATTTCCAGGAACTCAGAAACCTGCCAGACATATAATTTGGGAGCCAGTGCTTGAAGATCGGAGAGGGTCTGAGTCCATTTTTCCCCAGTGCAGGTCAGGAAGGAAGCTTGTTAGTGGAAAGGGCATAATTTTCGCTTCAGCTTTGGGGAAGAGATCTACTGGGAACGGCTCAATTTACTGCAATTATATTCATCAGCACCAAGAGCCCTGTGCTCCTAATGGGGTATTATTCATGTGCTTAATATACTGCCCATACTCTGTGTCTGGCTATTAATATGACATACTGACCTGAACAGTGAACTGAGAAAGGAGGAGGGGGAGGGGCGGACATGAGCCGAGGACGAGCTGTTTGAGCTGGATTTACTCCGTTTGTAAAGGACGACACAAACAATTAAATTAAATAATAAAATCCATTATTGGATCCAGGACGGGGTTTTGGGTTCGACTAAAGTTAAACTGAACTCTCTGAACAAACACAGCAGCATGTTAGGATGGCTGTGTTTTACTGTTAACAGTATTTTACTGTTGTTTCTGTATCTGTCCAAATTCACGTCTCTATAAAAAGACGGCAACTAAAACAAAGAGTTTCAGGCTTTTTTTAAAAATCTAAAAACCAAGTAAAGCTATTTAAAGAGTCTGAAATAAATGCAACATAACCCCCCATTTAAGTGTAAAAAATATTTTAAAAACTATTTAAAAAAACACAAAAATGTTTCACATGTAACTTACAGAAAACACAATTATTTAAAATGTAAGAAAAATTCTGGGAGAGCGAACTCTGATATTTATGCTTCTTTATTGATCTTATTGGTACGGAAGAGGATTAGGGCCACTGGAAAAAAAAGGTTCAATATTAACTTTTTAAACCTGTTATTCTGAAAAAAAAGTCAGAATTCAGACTTTTTTTCTCAGAATTCTGAGTTTAATCTTAATAATTATTAAATAATAATTTAAAAAAGTTAAATTGGACCTCTTTTTTCTCAGTGGTCCTAATCCTCTTTTTATTGAGTGTTAAAACTGCTGCTGTTGTTTATCTATTTTTATCTTTTCATACATTCATTTATTCACTTCATTTTACTCACTTTTTTCTCTTCCTCTATCATTTTTTTCTTCACTTTTGTTTGTCTTTCTTTACTTTCTTTTTAATTTTTTTAAAAATATTTTTACTCTGATGTTTTTATGACTGCTCTTGTATTATTTTGGTTTGGAGATGGACCTGGGTACCAAAGTGTGGGGTATGACTAAAACAGTTCCTTGCCCCCTTGAATTGAATCCTTGTCTCCTTGAATTGAATCCTTGCCTCCTTGAATCGAATCCTCGAATCATTCATTTACTTTTCCTCACTTCGAGACTGTTGGACGTGTAAACCATCATCTGTTTGCGAGTTGATTTGTGGTATTGATCATGTGACTGATGTTTCCTGCTGTCCAAAATGATCGTTATTTAATCACCGTTGACGTTTCAAACCTTTACCAGCTCGAGCAGCTCAGATACAGACCACTGTGGCGAATATCTACCACCACTGTTAGCTAGCTTATCAGCTGTAATAGATATCCACTGTAATCTATCCGCTGTGATAAGTGAACAGCAAAGATAAACTCTCTCTGTAATAAACTTAGTGGTCTGCTGTGCAGCTGTGAGAGCGACTTTAATGTCTGAACCACAGCCTGCAGGGTCTCTCTCTCTCTCTGTGCGTCTGCTGCTGCTTCTTCTTCTTCTTCTCTCAGACGTCTGAGGAGAGTGGAGATTGCCATGGACACTCTATAGAGTTAATTGAGGGGGATAAATGATTTATATGAAATACTGAGGATGACAAGTCTCCTTGTCTCTGCCTAGAATTGCACCTGAGGTTAGAAGAAAGTGCGGGGGAGGATGAGATGGATCCTGACACGCTGTTATGCTTAAAGGATAACTTCTGAATTTTTCAGGCCTATCCTCACACAATGGTTAGGCTTTGAGAGTATGGATGTCGCAGTAATCACTCTCCCTCATCATGTTGGCTCTACATGATGTGTAACTTCACTTACGGACAAGAAAGGAGGGACAAGGAGGGACAAGGAGGGACAAGGAGGGACAAGGAGGGACCGGTCTCTACTTCACCTGTCAGAATAATGACAGAATGGGCAAGACACTCGACCCAAGATCACCCCTCGAAGGCGCACGTGCCATCAGTGTGTGTGTGTGTGTGTGTGTGTGTGTGTGTGTGTGTGTGTGTGTGTGTGTGTGTGTGTGTGTGTGTGTGTGTGTGTGTGTGTGTTAATGAATATTGAGGAGAGGGTGACTGACTGAAGTGTTAAAGACTTAAAGTTCAATAAAAACTGGAGAGGTGCTTCAGTCCGTTTGGAGGGTGAAGTTCAGGTTTGACCATCGACTGTACACAGAATGGACGCCGTCTGCCTCCTCTCCGAGAACAGCACCCTCTGGTGACAGGCTGCAGTATAGGTCATAAACCCCGCCTCCTTATGGAGCTGTGGACAAACTTTATAAATGAATGACACAGAATATAAATGTTTCTCCCCCCTGGTTGTGATGTTGACATGTAGTTACTGTCAGACTGGTTTGTGCTCAAGTCCTCTTTTTTCTGTACAGCTCCATTTTTAAAAGTTATTAGGGGGTTCATGTTTTCTGTGATTGACACCTGATACAGCCTATCGGCGTTCAGGGATTGCATAGCTCTCCTGGGGGATACGCTGTTTGAGCCGAGTGTCATCACAGCGACTCTCGGCGACTCTCCCGCCGAATGTGCACAACGCTACTGTGCAGCGGAAATACTGAGAGCTTTTTGGCCTCAAATCCGTGTACAGATGGGAGGCGGAGCCAGGTTGTCTATAGTATTTACAGTCTCTGGTCCAGACGGTGAAGACTTTAGATTCAACCTTTGTGCTGTTATCGAACAACACGACACTCTCAGTTAGAGGACGATCCAGCTTTACAACTCCTGAGGGCGTGGCTCTGGACAAATCCCAGATTAATGACCATGACTCAACATTCAGTCATCATGTGTTTATATACATATTTTTATGGATGCAACTCGGGTGCAAAATTACATGCATGACAGCATGTATGTATGTTTTCCCAACAGTGCAACAGTTCATGCATAAACATGTCTGCTTATGAAAATTTTGTGCTGCAGGGCTTCGTGTAATCACGCTTGCACTTTAAATCGAAGGGCCAGGGGCGCATATGTAATTTAACTCCAGCACTGTCATTATAACGCGGAATCTTCCAGCACTTTAACACTCGGCCTGCTGAGGAGAGACGGTCGTACGATTAAAGACACATCCTGGACGGCTGAAGGACTGAGGAACCATTTATCAGAAGGAAAAAGGACGAAGATCAACTTGGCGAAGGAAACGTTGAGCCTGTTTAGCCCTGAGCTGGTGTTTTTTACATTTCTGACAAATATGATTAAATTTTGTGCAAGAAATCGAACTTGCAAATTGTCGCCAATCTGGATCAGATTTGTGGTTAAAGCAGAAGCTGCGAGTCAAACGTTCTCCTAAAAAGTCAGGCAGGTGCAGCAGCGTGACCTGACATCAGTGTGTCAAAGGTCATGACCCCTCTCAGAGCGTTTCCTGGAGTATTACCTCATCCGTTACTGCTGACAGGAACCAAAGCTTGGCAGGAATATATTATTCAGGGGGTTGGCAGCAGCTATGAGAGCGAGGATGATGGAGAGGGTGGATTCAGAGGGTGCCTGAACTCAATACAAACTATGACTGTACACTACAATCACAATCTGGTTTCTATGGTAACAGTTAGGCCCAACTCTTATCCACAATCCCACTATCACACGAGGAACATGAGACTTCTTTACTCAGCTAAAATCGGACACTTACGGCTCCTTCAGATGTGGGGGAGGTTTTAAAGGGACGTTCACACCAAGCGGGAGTAAAATCATTCGCTCAAATGAATCACATGTTGAGTAAATGCAAAGACGCGATAAGACGCTCGTTTTAAATTGGCGGCACAAATTCGCGAATTCGCAAGAGTTGAAAATATCTCAACTTGAGCGGATATTCGTGTTGGGATAACCAATCAGCACAAAGATTTCCGGGTGACGCATGAAAACAGACCAGAAGATGTTGACTGGTGTGAAATTATAAACATAAATCCTTTTCCTCACAGCAGACAGACGGACAGACGCTCTGCAGCTGGGGTAGAGCGTCTGTAATCGGTATCCTGGAGGGATATCCTGGTATCGACCCTCAACAACAGGTCGTCAAATTGGGTTCAGGTAACCTGAAAATACCGCTGGAAACGACCGTCATCCGGGCGCAGCTATTGGAGGAGACCCTGACACACCTACATCTCCAACGGTTGTGGTCCTTCATCAACAAAAACAAAACAGTGATCCGGTGAACGTGGTTCAGTCCGACTATGTTTGACAGAGACTCTCCGCCTCTCTCATATCCACAGATTTTTTAATAAAAACAGGAATAAAAGGAGCTCGTCTGGAGGAAAGAGAGTGAGGAGGTCGGATTATCTGGTAAAATGTGAAAAAACGTTCTCGATCACTTGATCATAAACGAGCATAAACAACTATCCACGACCTCCAAACACTCTGTTGACGCTCGACTTCCACGATCTCGCAAACTGAGCGATTTATTCCTGCAAATGAAGCAAATCAATACGATTCATTCAGGTGTCTAGATACCAGCGAATTAAGCAGGGAGATGATTTTACTCGCGTCCTTCAGCGGGGTAGATGTGGATGGTGGTCTTGAAACAGGGGCCTGAACTCCAGCTGTGCAGATTTCCCACTGATGGCGTGATCTGATCAGACGTCTGAAACCATGAATGAAAGCGGTGAAGAAGATCTTGATGCTCATTTATGATTCATCGTCTCTTTCAACCTCTCGGCTCCCTACAGGTGTTCCACTCTTCTCCTCACACTAATCACATGTTGCCAAGAACCCATCGACACTCCTGTCAAAGTTGAAAACAGTCTCTCTCTGCTGCTGTCACACGTCGTTTCAGTCAAAACCATCCCCCACCCCAGTCCTCATCATCACCCTCGGCGCCCAAGGGTCCTTCCACGGAGATCGTGAGAAATCATCAGAAGTCCTGCTCCCCGTCGCATCCGTTTAGATCTTCAGCGCCGCTCTCCAACCTCTCAGCGGCGGCAGCGGCACCACCAGCGTCGACCTCATAAAGAGGAGACGCTTTGTACCCCACAGCATCAGCACTCCCTTAAGACAGCGACACCACGGTGGGGGTCGCAAACGACTTGACATATCTTGTTCTTGTTTAGTCTCATGTCAGTAAATGTTTGATCTCACTTAAAACTCCTCGACCTCCGAGCTGCTGTGAGAAATTCTCATTCGGTGTTGATGACCCTGTCAGTGAGCAGACGACTCTCCTTACTGTCCGGTTTCTTCTCACTCTGAGGGCGATCCTGCACTTTAACAGCCGAGCTCATATATATATGTATCCTGTTCATGTAATCCTGCTTCTTACGCTGTGACGGTCAGATAAATGATCATTTCATAGTTTTAATGATTTAAAAATGATCTTTTGAGCTGAGTCCATGTCAGCTCTGTCGCCCTCCTAATTTAGTTGTTTTTACGTTAATCTAAATATTTCCACTGATGGTGAAGTAAAGCAGGTAAACACGACCACATGAATCCCACTCACTGTCACTCTGTGACATTTACCCTCCAGTTTTAGATCTTTGAATTAGGGCTGCACAATTAATCGATTTTAAATCATAATCGGATTATTTGATTACAACGATGTTTAAATCATCAAATCCATTTTTCTCTCTATCATGTTTCGCCCCTCCAGGCCACTGTAGGCTCCTCCTCCCTCACACACCAGTGTAAACAAACATGGCGTTTACTAAAGAAGGCGATAATTTCGTGGTTAAATAGGACAAGAGCGAGTCAGTCGTGTTGAATTGGTACGACTTCACAGTTTCAGATGAAGAGTAAACCACTCCCCGCTGTAAAGTCTGTCTGAAGGTGGTATCAACCCGTCACCATGGAAACTAATTCAGGAGGAAACGCTAAAGTTTTTTGTCGTATCGGCGTTTCAGGTGACTGTAAACGGTACTTTTTGAAAACGGGTCAGAGAGTGAATAAATCTGTAAACGACGACCATTTCATCTCCGTGTGGATGTCTATCTGCATCTGTGGAAACGATCATGTGACACACAGAGGAACTCTTTTATGGCGCCAAAACAACCTTTATACACATGCTCTGTACTCTTCTTTTGCGTTACAGCGCCACTTACTGGCTTGGCATATGAACTACATCGTTTTCAGTGGTTTCGTTTTGAGAGATGATAGAAAAACTTTTTGTTATTAAAGTGAAGTTTGGTGAAGTCGTCACTGAATAAAAAATCGAGAATCGAGTTTTCAGAGAATAAAAACAGGGTTCCCCCTGTGCCCCGTCCACTGCTCTGTTTGGGGTTTACTTTAAACATCTTCTTCTCTTGTGTTTGTCTTCAACCTCTTCTTCTTCTTTTCTGCTGTTTTTCTTCTCTTATTTTTACCAACATCATCACTAATATCAAATCCATAAAAACCTCCATACAGACGATTACAGATGGAGTTAAAAAGTTACGTCACCTTCTTCTCGTCTTTAAAGTGTCACCAGTCAAACTAATGGGGGTAAGTTGGTAAAGACGCTCTCCTCTGGATTGAAAAGCTCTTAAATTGTGTTCCTCTTTTGTTAAGTTCGACATCATCCACACAAAAGCTACGTGGATTCTTCACTTTCTGAAAGTGCAGCTCAGCACAGCTTTCTGCAACACCCCGACATCAAACCGCCAACATTCAGTGAGTTACATTCAGGGGACCCTCGTTAGGATGGTTACATCATTTACCGATCCGTCAGCTGATCCCAACCATGTTCCTGCTGCAGGGAAACACACAGACAGACTTCCTGGGTTTAGCAGACAGAAAGATAGCAGATGGAGAAGAAGCACATGGGAGTTGTCATTGCTGTACCTCCAAATGTACACAAAGTAGAAACAGAGAGAGAGAGAGAAATGTGTTCATCTGCTTTCTCTACAACACTAAGAAACGTGTCTCCAAACACACGAGACATCTGCTCGGAAAACTACGTCAGGAGATTCTTCGTACCGACATTAATATTTGATAAATATGTGATCGACCAGGTAAGTCTAGTCTGGGGTCTGATTATTTGTCTCCCAAAGCCTGCAATGCCTCTCCTTATGCTCCCCTCCAAGAGGAAGTAAATAACTACACCCAAACTACATCACACACCACAAGCCAGCAGGTGGCACCAAAAGCGTTATGTCCCTCTTCATGCAGCATTGTGGTAAATCTTTTAAGTTTGAGGTGATGAACCTGAGGAAAGTTTGAGGCTGGAGTCAGAGAGAGAGACGCTAACAAAATACAGAAAGAAAAGTAAACTTGTTATGAGGAGATCTTTGCAGGAGAAGCTGAGAGTTAACGAGTTTGGCCTTAATTAGCCAGACATCAAACTTAAACAGCAATGCAACGACAGTATGTTGGTTCACCAGAGCTGTGATCAAAGTGTCAGAGAGATATGAGCTGCTGGATTAAATCTAAATACACTGTAGTTTTCAGTAAGCCCCGCCCACAAACAGACGCTCCTGCTCGCTCGTATCGTTCCAATTAAATACTTCAGATCATTACAAATGGGGCCCAGTCAAGGTGAAAGTCAAAAGCATTGGTGCTACTGTAGATGCCAACAGACTACCAGCAAACACAATGTTTGCAGGACTTCTACAACGAGGATAAAGTGACATAGTCCAGGACCCGAGGGAGGACAGTTTAGCGATGGAGCTACAACACGCTACAGCAGGTCCGTTTGACAAGAAACACTTCTGTTACAGACACTTGTCTTACTTTGTTAAAGCGGTTTACCTGTCCAGCAGAAAGGTTACAGGGTCACCAAGATCCCCAAGCGTCCCCCATCGTTTATGTTGACCCGGCTTTTTAGCTCTTGTCCGGTCTACCTCCGTTTTAAGCGCCCGTTATTCCTCCAGAGTCTCCGGTATTTACTTTGTTTTCTTGCTTGTGTCGGCAGTCGTGGCCAAAGGAGGATTCAGACAATTTTCCGAACTTTCTGGTTGGTTTCTACTGTCCGATATTGTAGCACGCTAACTTTGTTTGGGCTCCTGAACGACACGGGGGAGCAGCGTCTGCCTCACAACCAATCAGGTTAGAGGAGGTGGAGAACGGCTTTGTTTACAGTCAGAAAGAGCGGACCGCTCAAAAATGTTCAAATATTGACGACACAGACATAAGAGAACACAGAGATATCGATATATTACCAAATGTCATCAATAACTAATAACTATTGACTGATAATAGAAGCTTTTTTGTTTATACACCACAAAAAAAGATGCTTCTTTAACAGAATCCTGCCGACTCCACCTTTAAGAGGATCTTATTGTCCACTTATATCCACTTATTCCAGAGAGTTGAGATGTTTTAGTGTAAAATGAACTCTCTGATGAAGTTTTCTTTAATTGTAAATGACTGGTAGAAGAGGTCGACAGGATTTGACAGTGCATGCCTAATTTTTGGAAGATGTTGGTTTCGGTAAACAAACAGAGTTGGACAGGTTGTATTTTTACACCTGTGCACTCCTGGATAATCAAGTCAGAAACCAACTGTGACTGTCAGGTTGTGGTGTTGGTTTAGGAGAAATAAATAAACTTGGGTGATGCAGACTCTCCTATCAAATCTGAGCTTCTCCACCTTTTGGAGTCCGTCTGAACACTCTTCTTTCGCCGCACACCTTTGCCTCCGGCCTCCTTAGTGAGGCCTTTCACTTCAGCGCGGTAAATAAAACGACACTCGACTGTTGATCTTCAGACTCAGGAGGAGCTGTGCTGAATCTGTTTCTGACCACAGAGCGGTGGACCAACAGTTTTCCCTCACACAGATAACACAGGAGTTCGGGGATTTGATAATCCTGTGTAAATGTATTTTGTGGATTTAGAAACAGCTTATCCCCCTTTTCCCCGAGGTATCCTGTCAGACGTACTGCAGGAGTGCGAGGTGGCGCGGTCACCGCTATGAGCCTTCAGTCGTCTTACCCTCACAGGCAGAGAGCTGTGCTTACTCTCCTGGCGTCGAGTCAACCTAAACCCTGAAATCCCGCAGGAGAGCTGGCAGAAGTTAAAAGTTTCCTGAGGAAGTTGCAAAGAGGAGGAAGGAAAGTGGCCTCTGACCGGGATATAGAGGATAGACGGGAACATGGAGGGTTTTTTAACAGCCCTTCAGCAAAGTTTAAAGAAGCAAATCTATACCTTCATTTGATCCGGCAGAAACTCACTGATCCAAACTCTGGAAACACGTTAAAGGATGTGCATGAAAACAGAAATACAGGGATATCATCTCTTTGAACAGGACTTTCCTTTAAGAGCAGGTCCAGGACTTTGACCTCCTGTTCAAACCAAGAATGGAGGTTTTTAAAATCAGACTTTAGGACCTGAACCTGCACCAGGCGGTCGTTGTTTACAGGTTTTGTTACAGCGCTCCTGGTTCACGTCTGCTTGGTTCTGCTCTAATTGCATGTTTATGGGGGAACCTCACTGTTTGTCAGTATAACACACAGTGCAGGGGTGAATTCATATTTTACTCTCGCTCACTCGCTTTAAAGTTTGTTGTTCACAAGAGCAGCTTCCTCCACAAGACGGTGAATTTACATGAGCACAATGTTCTGTCACGGTTTGACCTGATGGGTTTTATATATGACCATTTTAATCATTTTCAACCACTGCTCAACAAAAGATCATCTCAATTTTAACTGCCTTTTCATATTTCTCTTATTGCAAATGTTCATTTTAATCAAAGTTCTTAATGTTTATTTTATGTCATTTTATTAATTATCTCTTTGTTTAGCCTTTTTCTTAATTCCTGCCTTTGAGGTTTTTACTTCTTTTACCCCTTTTATATGTTAAAGAGCTCTTACTTATTCTCTTACTGTTCATTTAATATTATTTTCCTGTTTTAGTCCATCAGGTTTTACTCTTTTTACCATTTTTATTTTTATCTCCAGTTTTTCCTAAAGGTCGCTCTTTCCTCAAGTAAAGTCTCGGTGTCAGGCCATGCCTCTTTAACAATATATCTTAAATTCTCATTTTGTGTGGTCTTGTGTGTGTGTCTGTGTGGGTCCATGGGTGGGTCGTGCTTTAATGTTGTTAACTGTTATTTTTAGCCTCTGTGAGGAACTTTGAATTGCATTTTTTTGTCTGAAAAGTGTCGTATAAATAAAGTTGAATTAGAATTAGAAACAGACCCGCTGAAAAGACCCACTCTGATAAAAATCTTGTTTTTCTTGTTGTCTACATGTTCATACAGCAATTTTCTGTTGCTACAGGACACATCATGAGAAAAATAAGTGCAAAATTGCATTTCTGAGAATCTCTTCATTCAAATCTCCGTGAATCTCTGAGATTGAGATTTGAGATTTGATTTATTTGGTTTAAATTTGAATTCATCTTCACTGACTGTACATTATGGGAAAGACAACGACATTGCACATTACAAACATCAACAAACAGTAAGGACAGACATAAACAGTGTGGGACAGTGGCGGGCACAAACGGCAGGTTCAGACACAGAGAGATTTCCTACATCACAAACCCAAGCTCCGCCCCCCAAAGCCGGAACAAACGTGAGCGTTAGCAGATTGCAATGTTTGTAAAAAAGCCAATTATGATATTAACTTTTAAAGAAAGTCCTCGAAAATGACACAGGTAACGTGATTTTTGGCGAAAAACTTCATAATCACAATTTAAAGACCACTGAGAACACGAAGTAGAAAAAAAAAGATCGGAGAGGGACTTTAAACCCAAACAGTCTAAGTGAGATCTACAGAGACTAGATTCTACATCTCAGCTACAACCTTTTGCTACATGTCCGTCTCACACTCTCTACTCCTCATGTTTTAGCTGTTCTCTAACAAAAGCAAAAATAACCATTGAAAAAACACTTTTACGATGTTATACTTCGATGTTTTAGCTTGACGCCATCACTCCACCTAATTTCTGGACATCTACTGACACTTTTCGTCAAATTTGGCACGAACGCAGCAGAGACAGGACAGCCAGACAAACGAAATAAGTAAAACAAAGAACTTACCGAGATGAAGTCCAAGCGAAACTCCGGATGAGGTCAGGATGGAGAGCACAGAGAGGGCAGGACTGTCACAAAGAAGATATCCAGACTGGAGACACGGACTGAAAATGACCTGACAGTCACAGGAGAAGAGTCTGCTCAGGTGTGGCTGATCGGGCACAGGTGAAGAGGGCAGGGCGCACAGTCATGAAGGAGACTGAAGTCAATCCTCAAACTCTGTAAAGCAGGAGGAGTGAAGAAATAAATCAGGTGATAATAATAATAACAGAGCGCTTAAATACATGAAACACTAAAACCTCTTTATGAACGGTTATCTAAAGTAGGGTGCTGTTTCTGCAGCTGTTTAAACACCATAAAAAACTGTATTAAAGTATTAAACACTGGAATAAAGACAGTGGAGATGGTTTGAGAGGATAACGTCTGACCCTCTCTCCCTTTCTCTCTCTCTCTCTCTGTGTTGTTGGTGGGAATCCACCGATAATTACTCCGCGGGGTTCATCTCTAAAGCTTAAACAAAGGCTTTTCTGCCACGTTGCAGCTTAAATTATGAATCCTGAATACATAAATGAGTATCACAGCGTGGCGTTGTGGCCGTGATCTCCTTATTTATAGCTAATGCGTCTGACCTCCAATTAAATCCGGCTTTCAAAGACAGAGCGCACTAAAAACTGACCGCTGCTCCTTGACTTTCACACTCTGATGAACATGATCCATAAAATAAAGTCAGACTTTAATACGAGCTTACGTGACTTATCTGTAAATTATGCATTATTAAACGCAAGCCTCAGCATGAATTAATGCATGAATAAATGCATGGCATAGGTTCTCATGAGGGCCCATGCTAATTAAGGAGTGTAATGTGTTCACTTCATAGTTGGCACATTAAAAATCGGACTTAAGATCATTAGCCAACACATGTAAGCGACACATTAATTAGCTTTCAGGTCAAATGAGCCCTCAGCACTTTTTTATGGCGCTCTGGTCCAAGTGAGGACACAGCAGGGCTCTTATTTTGTTGATTCTCAGTTCATCATATTTGTAACATGAGCCTCATTAATGTCTCATTTAACTAAATATTCATAGATACAGACACAGACTGTGTGTCCTCTGAGAATTCCACTTATGTCCCCGAACACTCACATGGACGCTCCTCTAATTAAAACGACTCATCAGTCAAATTTAGTCCATCCCTTTCTTTAAATTCTACAAAGACGTCTGTAGACTTCCACGTGTGTTAAAGCGAATTAAACAAGTGGCAAAAATATACTTTCATGAATCAAACACACTAATTAAACCTTGTTATAATTATTAATCAATCCGATTATCAATAAACGTATCAAGGCTCTGGTCTGTAAGATGTTAAAATCGATCACCTGTTTTCTAAAAGGATCATTTCTGGCCTGGAGTTTTGTCCAGAACTCCATATATTTATTAACATTTCATAGTGGCCGGGAAGTGTCATACATATTCAAAACGCTCTGCAAAAGAAAAAGACACAAACGCAAATAACAACACTGGAATTGATCTCGCAGCGGAATCAGAAATCATGAAATTAAAAAAAAATCCTAAATTCTGTATTGACAGCGCATGATTTGGTGTTGAAAATAAGATAAACTGCATGAAAATCTGCTAAGAAATGAGTGAGATGTGATTGACTTTCCATGCAGCGACGTCTAATGCTTTAAATGGGATTGTTGTAGACACGTCGCCTTGTGGACTTCTACGGCGGGCTGGCGTATCTAGTCTTCTATATACAGGGTTTTTTCTACATGCAATTGACCGCCATGGCTAAATCAAAGCCACAACACCTTAAAAAATTAGTTTTTTTCTTATATGGCTCTACCTCGGACTCAAATGTATCAGTAAACATACTCGGGCACACGGCAGAGAGTGCGCGCTGAGTATTAGCCTTAGCAAGTTATCGTCGGTGATCATACAGCTGATTTATGCCACACACAGTATCCCCCCACAAAGTACATAAATAAATAAGTAAATAAAAGAATAAGACTCCACCACAGATAAGTGTTTTGAATTTGCAGATCGCCTGACACTTCCCGGCCACCATGACATTTCTATAAAACAAAGAAATGCAGCCCTAAAACACTGATTCTTTCTTACACAGTTCATGGAGCCGCCCAGGTTCTCAGCTTCTTCCGATCTCTGTCTTCTGTCTTCCTGGTTAATCTTCTTCCCTCTCTGAATAAAGGCATTAAAAAAAGAAAAACATCATTTAAAGCTCCAGTGGGGAAGTTTCAGTTTGCGTCACCTTTGGGGCCTCCTGTGAACAAACCAGTCTTTGCTAATCTTATCCTCCACATGCTTGACTGGTCTAAAAAACAGTCAGCCTACTGACTCTTGACAGTCTGATTTATCTTTAGCTCTGAATTTGAAAACAGGGTGATTTCTTCGGTTGCTCGGCTGCACTTCTGTCTCACGAGTTTCAGGGATGAAGAATTATGATAAAAAATCATCAATCTCATCGCTGACAGTCTCTTGAGTCTATTTTCTCAGATTATGACAACATACGTTTACCTCGGGATTTAAAACTTTGCATAAATCTAGCCTGGACACCAAACTTTGTTGTTTTTGTTGTAAATGTGGAAAGGCATGATACTGCCTCTTTAAAGGCTAATCAAAGGCTTTGACTGATCAGGAATAATATTGCTATTGGTGGCTAGGCTAACAGAAATGCAACTTATTAGCAAAAGACCTGGAAACCAAGGGAGCTAGTTTGGAAATAATGCAGAGCTGCCAAGCAATTAGACCCATTCTTACACCACACGCCACACTTGACATTTCTCACGCTTATATTTCCCCATTCATACATCCATCCATTTTCTACCGCTTATTCCTGTTCCTGGGGTCGCAGGGGGGCTGGAGCCTATCCCAGCATCTTCTGGCAAAGGCAGGGGACACCCTGGACAAGTCGCCAGTTCATCTCAGGGCTGACATGTAGAGACAAACAACCATCCACGCTCACATTTACACCTACGGGCAATTTGAAAGTGGCCAATTAACCAAACCCCACTTCTGCATGTTTTTGGGATGGAAACTCTGATTGACTGACCGAGATAACCAATCTCAGACCGATCCATCAGTCTTTTGTGCCTAAATCTAACCAACCACAGAAGGCACCACGCAACATAAACCAATCAGAAGCAATGTAAGGCAGGTCTTGGCGTCTCTAACTATCTTTTACACACAACGGCGCCGACATTTAAAACCTACTTTGTAATTTCTAATTTCTGGTTAACTGAGACAAGCATTAGGAGGCCACAGTGCAGGGAGAGCAGCTGGCGTGGAGGTGAGGACATCAGTCTTACGGTATAAATCGACATTAAAAAAGGCTGTTTTGTTTCGGCAGCTGTAAGGATGCCTCGCCCAGGCTCACACTTGAAAGAATGGAAGGTCCACATGAACGGTCAGCTTGACAAGCTTTGCCGTTTGCAGATCTGGGTTACAGCTTCATCAGGTCACAAGTGTAACAAAGATTGGTCTGAGACTGTTCGAGTATTTATAGTCGTCCAAGTTTCCAAGCATTCTGCTGGCATCTAGTTGACCTGAAGAAGAGTCCATGTAGGGTAAGAGCAAAGGACAACGTATTTTACGAAGCCTTAGTTGAACATACGGAGAGCCCATATAGGGGAACACCATAGCATAACGTATTTTGGGAACCTGAGTGATGTCAAAAATGTGTACAAGGTTTTTTGTTGAGGATGATTGTCGGAGGCCCCCGGCTCCAGGAATCGAACACCAACGTATCCCTGGTATCTGAGTGACAGAGCTCCACCACCCTAAAGGCTGAAGAAAATTCTCATAAGAGCGGCCGAACACATCATAACTCTGAAGTCTCACTCTTGTCATTTTCTGAAACTTGGCAGCCCTGATAACATAAGAATTCAGGTGCCAGCTTTCTAACTGATTAGCATTCCTGACACAAACAGCTGCCAAAAGAGGCGATAGAAGCAGCTACAGAGAATACCAGCGCTAAGCTAACAGCACACAGCCAGTTAGCCTTTTCAGGGGGACTAGCTTCAAACAAAGTAGGACTTTAGGTGCCAGCTTGCTAACTGATTAGCATTCACGACACTAACAGTTGGCAAAGAAGCAGCTACAGAGAAAACCAGTCATAGGCTAACAGCAACACCGCTGGTTAGCATTTGCAGAGGGATTAGCTTCAAACAAAGACTTTAGGTTCTAGCTTGCTAACTGATTAGCATTCCTGACACAAACAGCTGCCAAAAGTGGCGATAGAAGCAGCTACAGAGAATGCCAGCGCTAAGCTAACAGCAACACTGCTAGTTAGCATTTTCAGGAGGGATTAGCTTCAAACTAAGTAAGAATTCAGGTGCCAGCTCAGGGTTAACGAGCGTGCTAGCATAGCATAAAGGACGCTGAAATACACTACAAACCATGTTTTAGTTCAGCATGTCACAGCACATGGTTGTAGCCATCAACCATGTGCTGTGACATGCTGAATATGGAATATGGATTTATCACCAGACCGATATATTTTAAGTTAAAGTATATCGGTCTGGTGATAAATCCATATTATACACTAGTTTCACGTTCTTAACTGAATAACAAAAAGAAAACTTTTTGATTATATTATAATTTATGGAGATGCACCTGTATTTAATGTCTTCAAGAGGTAAAGGATCAAAATCATGAAACCAGCTTTGAAATTACCCTGAAAAGAAAAGAAATTGTTTATAAAAAAGCCTGAAATTTTTATGTATTTCAGGACCGTTAGAGTTTTGTGGTTGTTTTCCATTTTTTTATACGTAATTAATAAAAACAATGACTCATAATGCTAAGAAAGGTTGTACAAATAGTCTAGTTTGGCCTGCTCATGCAGTCTCATGACCCTGAGGTTGTAAGCAAGGCTGTCTCGCAGGAGCCAAATCTATCTGTCTATCTGAACATTTAATCTCTGCGAGAGTTAAGATTAGTCTTAACAAAGTGTTGAGGGTCAGACATGTCATCATGGGCAGCCTTTTGGAGAATTGATTTGACATACCCATGATGACGGAATACTCACGCACGCACGCACGCACGCACCTAACAGTATAAAAGGGAGTTAAAGAAAAAGCTAAGGAGGCTTTCCTCGGATTTGGTCAAGACTCTGTTTGTCATCTGTACTGATTTCTACATCTGTACAATAAAAGACGCCCAGGCTGTTCTTCAGATCTTATCCTGTCTCTTGTGCATTGTTTTACTAAGTTTATGCTGGATTTTCCACAACAACAGTCTGTGATGAGCACAGAAATCCAATAACAAAGCAACACTCAGGTTCAGATCAGGGGGGCCGTTCCTCCCAATCACGCCCTTCTGGGTATCACTGTCGTTGGCAATGTGGGCGTTGAGGTCCCCCAGCAGCACAAGGGAGTCCTCCGAAGGAGCACTCTCCAGCACCCCTTCCAAGGACTCCAAGAAAGGTGGACACTCTGAGCTGCTGTTTGGAGCATAGGTACAAACAACAGTTAGGATCCGTCCCCCCACCTGAAGGCAGAGGGAGGCTACCCTCTCATCCACCGGGGTAAACCCCAACACACAGACACAGAGCTAAGGAGCAATAAGTATTGCCACCCCTGCCCGGCGCCTCTCACCAGTGGCAACTCCAGAGAAGAAGAGAGTCCAGCCCCTCTCGAGGGGTCTGGTTCCAGAGCCCACACCAGGTGTCGAGGTGAGTCCAATTATATCTAGCTGGAACTTCTTCGGGCGAGAGAAACTCGGTGCCAAATATTTGTCCATCATAAGGAGTCTGTTTGAGCTACCTTTAGTCTGATCCCTCCCCCAGGACCTGTTTGCCATGGGTGACCCTCCAGAGGCATAAAGCTCCAGGGATCATTGGGACACACAAACCCCTCCACCACGGTAAGGTGGTAGCTCGAGGAGGGGATATACATATGTATATATATATATATATATATATATATATATATATATATATATATATACACATATGTATATATATGCATAATTTTTTTTGTTTTCTTTTTGTTTTGTTTTTTGTTTTTTTTTTAAAGTGGCTAATTAACCTAATTAACCTGTGGGAGGAAACCGGAGCACCCGGAGTAAACCCATACGGCACAGGGAGAACATGAAAACTCCACACAAAAACACCCTGACCCAGATTTGAACCCAGGACCTTCTAGCTGTGAGCTGTTTTTCTCATTGTCCTTGTCCTTTCCTCAGTTTCGTTTCTGTGAAGGTGATGAAGAAAAATTGTTAGCACAAAAGTCCAGAGGTGAACAGAGACACATATAAGAAAGACGATGTGCATAAGGCTAAGACAAAAAATAGTTTGGTGATGTTTTAAGACTAACAAGAAGCTGATCTAAATTTACTTTGACTAACATAGTTTGTCACGCAGCCGCCATCGTGATAACATTGGCTGTATAAAAATGGCTTTTTCATGAAACTCGACAAATGAATAAATGAACAAATGAACATGTACTTACCTTTTTGAAGAGGTTGCTGACGTTTCCAAATGCTTGCCTTCTTCGGGATGTGTTCATCTCTGGCCGTACTGTCTTCTTCTGGGTGAATCTCTGAACTCTTCTTATATGTCTTCATTTTGATGGCCATGGCTCGGCCCGTGAGGGTGGACCGCATGGTTGCAATAGCCAAGGCCAAAGTCGTTTTGTTTGTTGACAACTTGCTACTGGCTGGAGAAGTGTCACAGAGGTTCTCTGCCAGTGGAGCTTGAAACGGGACAGTGTTCACTTCTTGGAGGACCTCTGCTGCTACTGCTTTGTCTAATTCTGGTGAAATCGTTACTTGGGTGTCAACACCAAGAGCATCAAGGAAAACTTGTTTGAAGACCCTGTCAAAATCACTCTGTCTGATGACTGAGTCTGCGCTGTACTGCAGGACATCAGTGCACATCTTGACCAGCTGCTCCTTCCCAGGAATGTTGAACACTCCTTCACAGACTTCTCTACATTGCCTGAAAATACAAAAACACAGGGTTAGACACAGATGTTCATGCACACAGATGCCAATAATAGTTCCAAGTGTATATTATAAGTTTTACATAAGACACGATCAATGATAACTTACTCGTCACTGAGACTTTGGAAGAATCTTGTTATGATGGCAGCAATATCCAAATGTTCAAGGTCAAGTACTACGTCTGCTGCTGCTTCATGTGGTTTGGCTTCTTTAGCTTCTTCCAGGCACTGGTCAGGTTTGGTTGAAGCTTGTCTTTCATCCTCACTGTCTTTTTTGACAGAATCTGGATCCATGGGGCTCTTTGTTGGCTGTCCTTCAGGTTCGGACTCCTCACTCTCTTCTGCTATGTGGGGTGAGACTTGAATTCGCAGGATGGTTGGTGTTGAATCCACCCTGGCAAAATCAGTTTCATCTGTATTAGAAGCAAACTTCACCTCCTCTGGCAACACCTCTGAACTTTCAGATGCTGATGTACATTCTTTGGGTTTTCCTGGGTGGGCATAGCTCTGCACAGGTTTGGTTGACGCTTCCTCCTCAGATTGAGGGACATTTTGCTTCTTCTCACCAATGGAGGTCTCCTGAACCCCCTTGTAAGAGGAGAATCTTTCATCCTCACTGTCTGTTTTGACAGAATCTGGATCCATGGGGCTCTTTGTTGGCTGTCCTCCAGCTTCGGACTCCTCACTCTCTTCTGCTATGTGGGGTGAGACTTGAATTCGCAGGATGGTTGGTGTTGGATCCACCCTGGCAAAATCAGTTTCATCTGTATTAGAAGCAAACTTCACCTCCTCTGGCAACACCTCTGAACTTTCAGATGCTGATGCGCATTCTTTGGGTTTTCTCGGGTGGGCATAGTGCTGCGCAGGTTTGGTTGAAGCTCCCTCCTTAGATTTACGGACAGTTTTCTTCTTCTCACCAATGCAGGTCTCCTTAACCCCTTTGTAAAATGGTAACCATGGTGGCTTCTTTTGTTCCAGGGCAGATTTAGTTTTGCTCAGAGGAATGACATTCCTAGAGGTCTGCAGAGTATTCAGACTTCTGCTAACCACATCACAGGTTTTGTCTGTCTTGGTGGCCTGTGATGGGCCCTTTGACTTCTGAGTGACTCTGCCTGCCTGTTTAGATGTTGATACGCCTTCTTTGGGTTTTCTCGGGTGGGAATAGCGCTGCGCACTTTTGGTTGAAACTTCCCCCTCAGATTTAGGGACATTGTTCTTCTTCTTCACAGCATTTGTTTTGGCAGTCTTGGTTGCCTGTGATGTGCCCTTTGACTTCTGAGTGAGTCTGCCTGCCTGGTCAGATGCTGAAGCACCTTGCTCTCCGAGAGTTTGAGCTGTGCATTCCATCACCTCTGGGGTGAGCTCCTTGAGAAGCACATCGGGCATCTCACTGTCAATCACACATCTACCTCTGTCTTGTGGACTTGAAGTTGAAACCTAGAGGAAAAAACACAAACAATATTTTAATCACTGAAACCCTTTCATCAAATAAAAATATCTACTTTTTCATATCATGCCATAAGCCGTGTCTAATGCTGCATTCGAGTTACCTCGGAAGTCAAATGTCGGAGCTGAAATGACGTCACACCCAAGTTCCCAAGGTTTCGTTACAAAGTCAGAAAAAAGCAAAATTGGAGGCCTGAAACAAGATGGCTACATCTACAAAAGTTATTGAAGTGCTTGCCTTATATTCGGACAAGGCAAGCGATGAAATAAGTTTCGTAGAAGTAACCATCTTGTTACCGCCTCCGATTTTGTTTTTTTCCAACTGAAACACTGGGAACTCGTGACGTTGTTTTTAACGCTGACTTCCAAGGTAACTCGAACGCAGCATAAGTCCTGAATCAGAAATTTTCTTTTTGCATAGGTTGTAACACAACACATTTACTGTTTTTGCCTTCCCTCTGTTATTAAATATTTTTAATTTAGGGTGTTTTGGCAGTTGAGAACAATGTTTTAATGTGATTTTTTTTTCTAAATTAAATCGCCTTATCCTCAGACTATTATAACTTTTTAAAATTTTAAGATTTTTTCCTATTGTGTAAGGCAGGGAGGATAAGCATCAATTCATCTCGCTAAACCACAGATTTACACTATAAATGTAATTTTATAAAAGCAATAACAACCTAAGTTTTTAAAAAATCCTATCAGACAAATGGTTTCACTTTTAAACTAACATAAAGTTAATGGTTTTCATGGAGCATTCATAAACTTACCAGTCTTTGTGCACTCATTTTCGATTGTCTTGTGTTCTTCTTGGATTAAAATGTCTATTTAAACTCTGAGGTTCTCTCTCAGGATATTCTCTCTCTGGATGAGGTTGTCTCATACATCTCTCAGCATTTGAATTGGTCTGTGGAAGTGACGTCACCGTCACGTCTTTGATTCAAAGGCGGTGACGTCACCACCTTCCATTAAAAGGCGGTGACGTCACCGTGGAATGTGACGTCACCAAAAGGACGTCACATTCCATTGTGACGTCACGCAGTGCACTGAGGGGAATCCCCTCGACGTTCCATCCATACGTGCCGTTGAGCTGTGGCCCCGCCCCCTTTTCAGTGAAACCTGTCAATCAAAATCAGCAAATGGAAACTCCAGAGCATTTGGCAGTTTAATGGTTTAAAATAACAAAACTTGATTTTGAAATAGTGATTGAGAGTCCAAATCCAGCTGCCAGTCTGGCACATTTTAATCTATTACATTACAGCCTTTAACCCTTAAACTTATCAATCAATCAAACTTTATTTGTAACGCACTTTTCATACATATAATTTAGCACAAAATGCTGTCCGTTCAAGCAGGATATTAAAAACAATGACACAACAATCCCCCCACTAGGGAAACACCGCAGAAAGGCAATAAAAACAAAAACTAAATCAGCTAAAAACATCAAACTAGATAAAATTATAAAATATTGATTAATAGCTAAAATACCATTTAAAAATAAGCAAACAAATATAATAAACATAACATGTAAAATGAGGACTAAAATATATAAATGAAATAAAATAAGATAAAAATAGGATAAAAATATAGATTAAAAATAAGACATTAGTTAAAAGCCAAATTAAATAGGTGAGTCTTGAGCCTCCTTTTAAACATATGAACAATCGCAGTTCCTCCGGCAGGTTATTCCAAAGACGGAGGCCATAGTGCTGGAAAGATGCCTCACCGTAAGTTAGTGTTCTCACTAACCTCCTCCATAGCCACCACTGTCTTCACAGTGCAGTCCCCACCTACCTCACCGGACACCTCACCCCACACACCTCAGCTAGAACCCGGTCAGGCTAATTGCACCGTCTGCACCCGCCCAAGACTCGGCACAAGACCATGGGTGACAGGACTTTTGAGGCTGCTGCTCCCTGCTCTGTCTGAATTTGGGTTTTTTTATTGGCTGTAAGTTACAATCATCAAAATGAAAAGAAATGAACACTTTAAAAAACACAGGTTTTAAACTCTCTTTTGGCCACAGCAAAAACAGGCGAAAAAGAAAACCTAAATGTGAACAGAAACATCCTCTATAGCAACACAACAAGACTGTGCAGAAGCCTTTAAACCGTGTACTGTAGTTTATTTTTAGTACCACAGCAGTAAATCCGTCTCAAACAGGGCAAAAGCCTGCAGCTCACTGTGTGAAGGAGGAACTGGGTGTATTTTCTGTTATTGTGACCTATCTTTGTGACCTGTTTTTAGAGATTTCCATCTTCAATGGGAACAAACAAGCATGACAATTAATTCCACAGAGAGGAGGAAAAGTTAGAAAGAGACGCAGACTCACACGCCATGGGATTTGACGAGAGGGAAAAAGACTTACTCTTTGGATTTAGCAGCTCTGCACAGAGAAGAAGGTTGACACATGTGGTGTGAAGTGAACCCTCCTCACAAAGGTGATTTTATACAACTTACTGTGCCGATTCAAAGACAGTTTGACACCTCGCGGTTGTAAAACTCTCTCGTTCTCTTTGTCTCTCTGACTTGTAGCAGCAATTGAGGAGTGGAGAAACTCTGTGGTTTCTAAAGACGATCTTTGTGATGAGTACAGCTTAGTGTTCAGCAAAGTGTGGAACAGTTTACAGCCTTCTGTTACGGTAAATTTGGGCAGTCACAGGGGAAGAGTGCTTCGAGTTACTGAAATGAATGAATACTGATCAATATTTTTTATGGAGTAAAAGAGCTTCTCTTTTGTCCATCAAACTCTTATCCGTTTATCATCAAGTCCAGTTCAATCTTTATTTTACAGATTCTTCAAAAACTGTTCATTTGTCTCAACAAAGAGCAGAGAATCACAGGTAATGATAATCATTTTAAAAATTCTGTTTCCTATGGTGGCCCTGAGGTGCGAATCAGAAAAGAACAACAAAACAGAAAACACAACGGCAAATCAGAGCTGCAGTCAAGCTAGCAGACAATCGTTCTTCCACGGTCAAACAAGCGGACACGATAATAAGTGGACCTGTGTATTCTCAGCTTTACAGTAAATGCATTCAGACATTTTGTGTTGTGTTTTCTGATTTGCACCCATTGACTGTATTTACCCTGGACAACTTGGTTGTGGATGTGGATTCACAGTTCAGACCGGAGAGGCTGTTGTGGTGCTGACAGTCAGAATAAAGTCGTGTACTCTTCTAACAGCTGACACAAAAACGGTATCACCTGAGCTTCAGCGTTTCATTTTCGGGTTTGTTCTCCTCCGTGTTTCTCCTCCACAAAAATCTGTTTTCATGACAAATCGCTAAAACCTTGTGTGTGTTTTCTCCCCGTGATATCAACTTATGTTACTCTCAGAGTGTGACAAGTTTGGTCCGGCTGTCAGCTCCAGTTAGAGCCCAAACTTCAGACCAGCCTGTGTGTGTGTGTGTGTGTGTGTGTGTGTCAGTCCACTGGGGTATAGACTCTATTAGGCTTTTTCTAAAAATCTGTCATATGCACGCAAACAGAGCCGGCGCACGCAGGAAGGGAGAAGACGTCTGTGCAGGTACAGGCTGATCCTAAACGCCGCCTCCTTCTCCATCTCCCAGCTGTGGACGTCAAGATGGCCGTCATCGCTGTCATGCTGTAACAGGCCCGTGACTGACCTGTCTGAGACGGAATAAAAGCTGACAGATTAAAAAAGAAGTTGGACAGCTGGGGAGTCAGCGGGACTCTAATATCTTGTTGAGGTCAAATCTTTGTCTCTGCTGTCACACCTCTAATCTGACGTCTCTCCGACTCTTCGCCGTCCTCCTTATTTCCTCTCTCTGTTCAGCAGCTTCTCCATCGCTTTCTTCTGCTCTCTACATCTTTTTTTTCTTTCTCTCCTCCTCCTCCTACGCGCGCCCCCTCACCTCTTTTCTCTCTCCGTTTGATCAGTGGAGCAGCATCTCAGCAGGAGTATTTAAGGAAAGAGAAGAAGCCTCTCCTGCTTTATTCTCTCTCTTGTAGCTCCCCGTCTTACATCTCGTCTCCTCTGCTCTCCTTTCTCACTTTCACATTCCTTCTTCACTTCTAATTCACACACTTTCTTATCTTTGGCTTCCAAGATTCCCCACAATCTATGATTTAACACTGTTACCGCCATGCATGTCAATGTGCATGCCTAAGTGTGTGTGTGTGTGTGTGTTAAAGTGCAAACATGAAGGGGAGCGGTGGAGGTGTTTAATTACACAGCAGGAGTTTCGCCTTTGAGTCACTCTAACTAATCTGGCCTGAAGTTGCAGCTCCAGAGACCACCACTGTTTGTGTATTTGTATCTATTTGTGTATTTCTACAGTGTGTTTAAGTGTGTGTTTAAGTGTGTGTGAGTTAGGTTTTTTTTAAAGTGCATCATAAACCGTACGTTAATAAGACATTCTGCTTGTTATAAATTTTAAGCCTTTATAAATGTGCTAATGATGAATCTAAAGACCCACTCCGATGAAAATCACGTGTTTCTTGTCGTCTACATGTTCACATGTTCATTTTTCTGATACTAGAGGACATATCATGAGAAAAATAAGTGTCTTCATTTAAATTACTGTGAAACTCTGGCACACCCAACAACAGCAGACTTAGACACAGTGAGATTTCTTACATCACAATTCCAAGCTCCGCCCCCGGAGCCCCGCTATGCAGGCCAGACTCGGAGAAGTAGAGAAGACGATCTTGGAACAAGCGTGTACGTTAGCAGATTGCAATGTCTTTAAGAAAGCTAATTATGATATTAACTTTCATCATGTCCCTAAAGACATTCGTGTCCGAGAGCTGAATAGTTCCGATGTTACCTGCTACTTCTGCTACACCAGCAATGTTAGGCTACAAGCTGTCTCCACCCACGACTCAGAGGAGAATTGCTTCTGAGTAACTGGAGCTCTGCAGAAGAAAAGACCTTAAAAATGACACAGGTAACATGATTTTTGGTTAAAAAAAAC